TTGTATCAAAGTTGAGCGTGGATATACCTGTACACGAGATGTTGATTTGTTTTTTCTTGGTTTTTGACCACTACCCTCGTAGGCATTTTTGCATATATTGGCGGGAGCCTCTGAGTATGATGAACTTCCTGTGCGGCACAATGAGGTCTGTTTCTTTGTTCACACTGTTTTACTTGTGAAAGGGTTTATCTCAAAAAAAGTGTTTTTAGTTATAAGCTGTCTACAATTATCGCTCTTTATGTTCTTTATGCCCTCTTCTTCCTTAGGAAAATTACAACAAAACACTGTCGGAGAAAGTTCGGTATCCCGTGGATATGAACCATCTAGATGATCCTCATGTGAAGGCGAATCTGCTCCTCCAGGTATAGTTTTCACATTTCCATGCATTGAAGGATAAATACAAATATCCAAACTGTATGAGTTCATGCTTGATACACAGAATTTTATGATTGTGACTGTCCGTCCTTTATAATGTACAACTTCTGGTCCTCCAGGCACATTTTTCTCAGTTGGCACTTCCAATCAGTGATTACAACACGGATCTAAAGTCAGTCTTGGACCAAAGCATTCGAATACTCCAAGCCATGATTGACATCTGCGCAAACAGTGGATGGCTCTCAAGCTCGCTGACGTGCATGCGTCTCTTGCAAATGGTCATGCAGGTACTCTTCTGAAAACTACTACTACTACTCTTATCTCGTTTCACTTATTCGGAATCAGACCCAAATACTAATCGTGAAAGGAGAAGGCATTTTTACTTGATCCATTTCTCTTTTTTAATTTCTAGGGCATGTGGTCCGATCAAGATTCGTCATTATGGATGGTTCCATGCATGAATGATGATCTTATTGGATCTCTAACCTCAAGAGGAATCCACACGCTGCATCAGCTATTAGATCTTCCAAAGGGAACTCTACAAAGTGTTATCGGAAACTTCCCTGCATCTAGATTATCTCAGGTGACAAACCTCTCTCACAATTGGTCACAACTGTTTTCTTTTATGCATCTAAGACTTTCTGGTCTGACTCTTCTCTACACTCTCCGTCTTAATTAGGATCTCCAGCGATTCCCACGAATCCAAATGAATGTGAGGATCCAAAGGAAGGATTCTGATGGCAATAAGAAGGCTTCAACGCTGGAAATCAGATTGGAGAAGATATCAAAGAGGAATAGCTCGAGGGCATTGGCCCCTCGATTCCCGAAGGTTTCACTAATGACACTTGCCATATATTTTTCTTTGAGCTCGAAATTAAAAAACGTGTTGGGATGCCTAAAAATTGATCACATTCATATGGGTGGTTATAGGTGAAAGACGAAGCATGGTGGTTGGTTCTTGGTAATACTTCAACTTCTGAACTTCTTGCTGTGAAGAGAGTTTCTTTCACTGGTCGTCTGATCACACGCATGGAGGTGCCTTCAAACATAACGTCTCTTCAGGTCCATTATTTCCTCTTCTTTTCTCTAAGACTCTAACTAAATCAGTCGCTTTTACACATCTGCAGAAAATCAATGATGTGCTTTTTAAATTGCTGAATTTGTTGTAATCTTCTTTTGGTCAGGATACGAAACTAATCTTAGTATCAGATTGTTATTTGGGGCTTGAGCAAGAACACTCCATTGAACAACTTGGACGACGCTGATCAGCCAACAGAGATGATAGGGAGTCGCTATTAAAACAATGTTGTTTTATACTGGAATTGTTTAGATGTTCACGAAATTGTCTTAGGAAATTCAACTTTTTTTTTCCCTTTTGCTAATGTAAAAATCAACCAAAATTTACGTAATAAAGTGTTGCAGATTTTTGGACCAAGGAGGTCAATAGCTTAAATATGTTCACTTTTGTGGTTGATTCTAGCTTTTGTCAATATAACAGTATTATTTTGGACTGATTATCTATCACAGATGCTAATTTTACATGAATTTAGAAAATGATCAATTCGATCCATGATTTGATGTCTTTATTTGATTAAATGAAACAAATTATTTATCAGAGTCTAATTCCAGAGACTACATCATAACAAATGGAGGAAGCAGAGAGTGATATATTTATTAATCTTCGTCACTGTCATAAACCATGGCCATACGACGATGAGTCGGAGCTTTTCTGGGCGGAGATTCCTCCTCATCGGACTCAATCCCTTTCCTTTTCCGGCTACTCCCACGCTCCTTCTCTGCCCTAGTTCCCTGCATTCACCATAACATAACATTACAATCTCAACGATCCTCCACAGTCCTCACTAACAACAACTGATGAAAGAACATTATTTTTTACTTTGCGTACCTCAGCTTCTTCTTCCTCTTCTTCGTCTTCTTCTGAGTATCTGTTAGCCTTGCCTCCTTCCTCCTCATCTTCTTCTGCATCTTCCTCGTACTCATCTTCTGGTTCCTTGACTCTTTTACGTCGTGGCAGTGACTTTTCCTCCTCCTCTTCTTCCGTCTCATATTCTGATTCCTCTCTCTCACTCTCAGAATACTCCACTTGACGCCTTGTCGGTCTCCCCGAAGTCATTGAAGACCTCCCCGCAAAGCCTTTGTGGTTCTGGTTCAACCCGAGGGAGAAGCGGTTAAATAACTGTCTAATTTCCTATGATTTTAGCATGAATCTGTTCTGTTTACCTTCTTGGCGTTCATAATCCGGCGTTCCCGTTGCGCTTCAGCTTCGAGATCCTCCTCATAGCCACGGTTTGAGCGACCATAGTGGTCTGTCTCTTCATCCTGGTTCCAAGAAACAACCAATCAGTCGTTAATGGTGGAGATCTTTGCTTCAGCAAAATGGAAAGGACACAAAGTTGTACACAAACTATATAAAACAGACCTCTTCAAGAGATTCCAAGTACACAGAGGTAAGTTGTCTCCTTTCAGCAGGAATCGGATACTTGCGCTTAATCTTTTCTCTCGCTTGGCTCAGCTTTGTAGTAGCCTTGAGGTTTTGGCTTTCCGCCTTGAGAATGTGAGAAATCAAATGAGATAAGTCTACAATGAAATTACAGCTAAGATTGTTCGAGCTCAATTAAGAGGGTTACCTTCTCTCTCTTCTCCTTCTCCCTCTCAGGGTCAATGTCAGTGACACAGTTCTTAACTTTGTTGTACTTCTTCTGCCTCGAGTCAACAAGGGCAGTCAAAAGCCTATGGGAATTTGACGTCAGGGATGACGGAATAAATCTCATTTTCTTCAGAATTTTTCCTTGTGATTGAAGGATTCCCTGCAACAAACATCCAAAATAAGGCAAGAGTTAGTTGCTTTTCTTTGGTTTTCCCATGAGACGCTTTGCGATATGATAAAGAGAATCATATGGGTATTCTGAAAGCAATCAGATGATCGTTGATTGACAGAATGCTTTCAAGTCCTAGGAGAATGAAGCAACTGCAAATCGATCAAGTAACTATCAAGTCATAGGATAAAGAAGAAGTAACACCTTTTCATGTTTGATCAAAAGGTGATTATTGTCTTGCTGTGCATCTTGTTCAGTTATATCAAGAACTTCGTTTCCTATCAATAGCTGTATACTTCCATCTGACCACCTCACAAACCGAGCATTACTTTCACTCTGCATATGAACATAACGTGGCATTAGTAGACTGCAGCAAAAGTAAATTTAAAAGATGGAAAAGATGAAAGGTTTGAAAAAGTGTTTACTTACATGCATTTTGCCATCTCGGCCCTTAACAAACCTATGGCGAACAATATTATTTTCCAGACGAATACGCTTCTTTGTTCCAGGTTCATCTGTCTCAATTGCGTCTTCTTCAACAAATGTCTTGGCATCAAATGGCTTTGGATCAATGCCCATGATATTGGAAACTTTTATCAGGTTCATCTGAAAATATATCAAAGAGAGAAAAGATAATGGGATAAGTTAATCTCTTGCAATACCACTAACAGGAAGTGCATTTTGGCTACAGACTAAAAATGGTTTTAATATCAGATACACACTTCAGAACCATGGTATGAGATATTTTGATAACTTAGAAGTATCAGCAAGGAAAATTCCAATGAATACCAAACTATTGATTCGCATGTCAGCGAAACATATCTATAGCAACATAAAGCACATATACCTTTACGGGATCACCAGGGGGATCACGGAAAGGAACTTCTATTTCCAACGGGAAGCCAACTGGCCTCTCCCTCTGCCTGGTTTCAACGCGCTCATCTTCTGACTCGTATCGAGGATCCTCTTCAGGGATATCATCAAGAACCATATCGTCGGGTCTCAGATCCTTCTCAGAGCCCTCTTCATCTTCGATTGGCGACCTCTGAAAAAAGTTCGACATCTCAGTGTACATACATGCAAAGTCTCATGATTTCTAAAGCAAAGTAGAAACTGGAAAAGAAACACTTATGCTGTAAACTGAAATGTAATACGAAATGCAAGACTCACAGGCTCATCTGGCTCAATGTCATTCCGAACGTATTCTTCTGCATCTTCATCATCCGAAGATCCAAATACATTACGAATATTTACGTCTGACTGTGCAACTTGAGCCTCTTCCTTCTCTTCAATAGGTGATCTACACGCCATGCCATTTTTTCCATTTACAACAAGCAAAGTGAACCATAAGCAGATTGATAATATCAAACTCGAAAGAACAACATGCAACAAGATATATAGAAAAGGGGGTACCTTGGAGGCCTAATCTGATCAACCTCTTCATCTTCAGACTCATACTGCTTTTCCTCAGACCTCTCTGATCCACTCTCGACAACATCTCGTCTCCTTTTTGTGGTTACTCTCTCTTCATCTCCTTCTTCTTTGTTCTCACTATCACTATCTCTTGCTTCGCTTTCCTCTGGTGGATCAGCAACATCAAGCTCCTGTGAGCTTTGCTCCCTCTCACCCTCACTTTCTCCAGGATCACGTTCTACATCTCCCTGTTCCCCTTCAGATTCAGCTTCAATTTCTTCAGCCTCGTGAACTTCAATCTCAGCTTCACCTTCTCCTTCCGGCTCCCCGCCGCCCTCGGCTTCATCCTATTGGAAAGTTCAGACATTTTCACTCCGATTATATAAAAAAGCAAGAAATCAAACCAACATCATGGATTACATTATGCACTGCACATGTCACGGAATCAGAAATTGAAAACAGATTGATCTCAGAAATTTCAAAAGCTGAATTAGGCCTAATTACTTGCATTTGTTCTTGCAATTCACTTATAACCCTAAATTCAGGCGATAAGGAGCTCAGAAACTAATCACAAACTGAAACATTCCCAGGTAAATTCAAGAGAACAGTGGCCGTGAAAGTGAAAGATATGAAGGAAAATTTGTTTGAAACAATCATCACTAAAAATTAACAAAATTTTAAGGAGAGAAAAGAGGAAGAGTTACGGAAGGATAATTGGGCTGAGGATTGGATTCATGTTCGGAATCGTTCTCTTCTTCCTCAGATTGATCTCCGAAGATATTTTTCATCATCTGAGACCTCTTTACTTCTCCTCCAGCTACCATCTTCGCCTCTCTTTCTCTCACAGTCACTCCCTTCTTTCTTCTGGTCACGGTGCTCGTGATCTGAGCTCCGACGGATTGTTAACTCTTTCGGCTTTAGGTTGAAGAAGCTCTTTGTTTTTTTTTCCGTGTTTATTGGTAAACATAAAAAAAACAATTAAAGGAAAAAATCGCTAATGATTTGGGCTTTTCTCTTTGTATATCTCTTTGTATATCTCTCGTTTCAATTTTAACAAATTTAAAATTTATTTTCTTTTTTTTTCCAAAGCTTTGTATTATTAGATTAGAGAATTTTCACAGCGAACATATATCAACATAAACATAGTTAACTTAAATATTGAGCCTACCAAGTTGAATTTAACATCATAAAATATTTAAAAATCATTTTTGAATAAAGAAATGAAAATATCCATCTCAGTTTTGGTCAAACACAAACCGATCTCCACACCACCGGTCTCATCCCTCCTCTTCGACATTGTGAAAGCCGTATACCGGTCAATGGACACCATCTCATTGTTAACCGGTCTTCCCCACCCGAAATCTGACTCGTATATCCCAATCCAGTTCGACCCAGAAACCGATTCGACCTGAGTACCAATTTTCATACTCTCCATTCCATCAATGTACATGTCGCAAAGCGATTCAATCCCTCGTGAACCCAAACTTTTGACCGAACCGGAGAGAATCTCGACGGCATTGACAAATCCATCTTCTCCCAAAAATGTCTTCGCTTCGTATCCGAAGCAACCTATTGGGAAGACGCAGTTTCCAAAGTAATTCTCGGGAACCGACCGGTTCAACCGGTTTCGGAAATCTGCTGCGTACATGAAAACCACCGGTCTTTCCGCGTCGCCTCCACGCGCCTTCACCATGCAGCTCCACATGTATGCGTTGGCGACGACGAACGTTGACAAGTGAAGATCGCGACGAGTTGACTCACTGTTGACTCGCTCCTTGAGCTTCACGATGTGCTCCTGAGTTAGCTGGAGTGTGAATCGGACGAAATCGGAGCCAATCTTTCCTATCGGAGGCATGTTCAAGGTTCGCTTCCCATTTATTTCATCTGAAAAATACGATTGGGATTCTAAGATCTTCGATTCGAGATTAGCCGGAACTTCGACGATCGTACGATCGATAACCGGAGATAATTCTTCCGGTAGAGTCATGGTTCCGATTTCCTGTGATTTGCAGATGTGAGCCCACGATTTGATGAACATTGATGATCCAGTGGCGTCTTGAACGACGTGGTGTTCTGATGTTCCTATGGAGAATCCTTTGGTAGGAAACAACGTGATCTGCAGAGAAATCAGAGTCGCCGAGTCACGGGAAATGGATAACTCGGGAACCAGGACTCGTAACTCGGACTGGTGACGTAACCCTTTGCCGGAAACGCCGGAGAAATCCGCGTCCGTCTCAGCCACGACCAGCGAGACAGTGCTTTCATCGGAGACGACGATGCGCGGCTTAGGATCTTCTGGAGCCCACCAAGTGAGTCGACCGGCGAGAGGGATATAGTGACGGAGGACGAGGGAAAGAGAGAGCTGGAGCTTCGGGAGAATCACGGCGTGGAAACACTCTCGGGATGACTCTGGCCCTGAGAGTTTGTAGAAGATGACTTTCTGTGTGGGATGTGATCGTACCCACCGCAAGTCGAAAAACGTGAGTGGTATGACTAGCGACTCGACCGAGTCACGGGACGAGTCCGTCGCGGGGCGGATTCGGGATATCTTTATAACGTTTAGCGCCATGGATGACGAATTGAGGACGAGATGTTACCATTTGCATTTTGGCGCGTTTTAATATAAAGTGCATATGTCAATTGGGTAAACATTAATTGATTTTTATATAACCATCGGGTACATTAATTAACTAGATTAGGCCCGCGTATACGCGGGTTTATTTATTTTTTATTTTTAAATCACGGAAGAATATTAAACAAAATTTGATCAATTTTAAAAATAAGAAAATAATATTAAAAACCCGATAACAAATCTCTAAATAAAGATATGTAGTCTTTTACATTTTTATTTTGAATTCATGATATGAAATAGAAAGATTTACATGTGTCTAAATCTAATCGACTCATTATTTTATGAAACTTTGATTATTCCATGATGAAATCTTTATTTTTAATATTTTTTTACCTAACAAAACATGGAAAATTAAACTATTTAATATTAGAAGATCAGTCCATTATAAAATTTTCTTTTTTAATATTATTTAGTTCCTTAATAATTATTTTGTTAGTTTTCTATTTATATTGTTTCTTTTTCAATTTCGTTTTTGCCTCTGACCATTATAAATTTTCATTTTCATTATTAGTTAGTTGTTTTAATATTATTTTGTTAGTTTATTTATTTATGTTACTACATTTTTCCAATTTTCTTGTGTTGACACATGTCATCACTTCATCAAATATTAGACACATGTATCGATCTAAAAATATCTTTAACTTTTAAAGACATGAATTTTATTTCTTAATGAGAAAGAAACTTAAAAAATATAGCTTGTTATATATTGTTTTTTTTTCATTTTCGTAATGGGAATATGTTTTTTATTCCTTTTCTTATTGGATGTAACATTTTTTAATTATTTCTTCATTTTTTCTGATTTTCGTTTTTTTCCTTTTCGTAATAGAATTATGTTTTTTCTTTACTTCTCATAATGGATGTAATATTTTTTCTTTTTAATTGTTTGTTTCCTGTTTTCTGATTTTTCCTAATGTACTAATAGGATTTTATTCAAATAATTTTAATTTCGATCCAATTGACCTAGAGTCAAATAATCTCCACTGTTCTCTTGAACTTTCAAAGACATGATTTTGAAATTAGAGAAAGAGAATCAAAGAGATTTTCTGAATTTGCTTTGATGAGTTTGTGAATGAGAAAAAGAGACTACAATAGCTCTCTTTTTATAGGGGGTTCATGTAACCAATTTCATACAGTTTTAGGATATTTAGTTTACATACCTATTACATGTACTAATAGGATTTTTTTAAATAGGAGTTTATATAACTATTCCATACAATTTTAGGATATTTAGTTTACATACCTATTCCATATACTAATAGGAATTTTTTATTACATTATTTTCATTTTATTATATAAAATTTCGTTTTTATTATAAGATATTAAAATTTTCAAAAAGACATGTGTCACGATCTTAACGGATATAACATTAAAAGTGACACATGTCGCAATCCTATATTTTATAAAAATCTACGTGTCGCAACCACGTTGTGCGCATCCAGCTTTATATAATAAGATATTTATATATATAAGTATATTATTACTTGAAATCAAACATTTATCACCAACCAATAATGTTGACATATGAAAGTAAAATGAAATTTTGGAGTTACCTTTAAGTACGACAATGTTTTTAATTTTTTTTTTCCAACATGACAAATGATTATAACTTGCAAAACAGCTATTAACATGTGAAGATTCGTTTTCAACTTTTGAAGGCTGCTGGAACTTTCATTAGAGTTCATAACTAAAATCAATTTTAGACCAATGAAATATAGCCACTATAGACATTTTCAGTGGCAAAAAGACAATTTTTATTTACTTCTTGAGAAATTTCGAAACCTGTTTTTGTGCTTGGGCCAAATATGTTAAAGGCCCATGACCCAAAACAGTAAGGGTAGTTATGTAAATTGCCAGACCCTCACTCACAGGAACTCTTCAAAACCCTAATTTCCGCTTATCATAATACCTCTCAATCCCTTTTTCGGATACATCAGACGCAAGCCGACGCCGCAGAAGCCAAGGAGGTGAAGAAGGATCCAAAGCCCGGTGACAATGGCGTCAGGAAAAACAGTGAAGGATGTCTCTCCACACGAGTTCGTCAAGGCTTACGCTGCCCATCTCAAGCGCTCCGGCAAGGTAAATCCGACGATTCGTTATAGCTTTTCGCTCCCATCCTTTAGTTAGATTAATTTGCTGTTTGGGATTAGGGGAGTGCGATTATCACCGTCGAATCGAAACATTGCCGAGAAATGATAATCTTAGTCGGATTAAACATTGTTTCGTGTTTATCTTCATCTTGTTGAGATTTCAGTTTGAAAACTATAGATTGGTATTGGTATTGGATGCTTGGATTGGTTTGTTAGCAGTCGTTTACATTTGGCACTAAAATGTTTCTGCTTCTGATCATAAAAAATGTTCCTTTGATGTAGATTGAGCTGCCTCTGTGGACAGACATCGTCAAGACTGGTAAACTTAAGGAGCTTGCTCCATATGACCCTGACTGGTACTACATCAGAGCCGGTATGTATAATAACCTTTTATCAAGTTTGCATATATGTGAATAAACTGTGGAAGCATATATCTGATATTGTGAGACAAATTTGTGCTCTTTTAGCTTCCATGGCAAGGAAAGTGTACCTAAGGGGTGGTCTTGGAGTTGGAGCTTTCCGTAGGATCTATGGAGGAAGCAAGAGAAACGGAAGCCGTCCTCCACATTTCTGCAAGAGCAGTGGTGGTATTGCTCGTCACATTCTTCAGCAGCTCCAGACCATGAACATTGTCGACCTTGACACTAAAGGGTTAGTTTACACGTCTCTTGCTCGCATCCCTCCATGGCCTAACTCGTATTAGTCCTGTGTTACAGAATGATAAGAAATTTAGGAAAGACGGAATGATGTTGTTCTTTGAATATCTCATGATCGTATCTTTCTGTGGTTAACGATTACAAATTCTGATGTAACCAGGGGGAGGAAGATCACCTCAAGTGGTCAGAGAGATCTTGACCAAGTCGCAGGAAGGATCGCAGCCGCTATCTAAATCCAAATGGCAACGACACAGACTGTCAACTTCCGAGTTTAAAGTTTTATGTTTGAGATTAGTTTTGGAACGAGCTTTTCCCTTTTGCTCATTTTTTGTTCTCTGCGACTTATTTGGCTTTCTATTTGATACTATCGTTGACCTCTTTTCCTTTTTACAATGGTGTTAGACTTTTAGTTTCTAAACTTATAATCGTGACAAGTTTACTTAGATTTTATCAAGTAAAAGCCCACAGCGACGATTCTCTGAAATTAGCAACATAAGTTGGAAATGGCTTCGCAGGTGTTAGTGTTGATTTTAAAAAGAAAAGTTACAAAATTAAATAAACTTCCACGGATTCTGATTTTCCCTTTATTTTTATTCAAAATCACCATCAGAACCAATAAGATTTTGCCAATGGATTTCTTTGGCTTTCTTATAAAACTAAGTCAAGATTCAAGTTTGGGTTTCAAGAGAAGAAACAAGAGGAAGTCCCTTGAAGTTCAAGAAACTGAATTATACTATTTGAGTAATCGGACACCGACATGCTATCTAATTCGGAATCTGCAAAGTGAATTTCTCTTTCAGGCTTGGTTTCTGGTAGCTTACCTTAACCGTTACACAGACGGATTTGGTTTTTTTCTTTTCGTGGGTCACAAGTCATTTTACAAGTTAAGTTAGATTGGACTTCTTTTGACTGTTCAGTCACCACTCTAGTATATTCCTCTTTCTTTGCTTCTGTCATTGATACTATGAAGCTATGATATTTGGGTACAAAAAAGTCTAATGAGTTTGATCAGCTATGGAGTAGCATTCACCATATATTCATCAGTTACTCTTTTGAGTTTCATGTTCATACATTTCAAAAGATCAATATAAGTAAATGTTATAAGAGATATGGGTTTTTCCATTCAGTTGTCAATTTTTGAGTTGTAAACCATTAACCCCAAAATGATAATAATAACCCCATCACAAAAGCATAACATAAGATCATTAATCGGAATATCCTCATCCATCGAGTTTGATACTTATTTCAAATTTAAATTCCACGAAGCATACTCCACTTATGTAGGGTGTTTACCGTTAGCTCTGATAATATATAATTATAAACTATATATGTTTCTTTTGATCCATCTCAAAAGCTCACACAATCCTTAACCTGCCATTTCAGTTTCTCTACCATCTTCACATTTAGGGTTTTATATGCAGTTGGGGAACACTCGATTTGTTTCAAAAATGGCGTCACTAGCTTCGAAGTTCACCGGGAATACCGTCGCAGATACTGAGTACATAATGGCTATAATGTCGGAGTTCGAGTACGAGGACGGCGAGCTTCTCAAGGATTCGGAATCACTCGGCGTCACCATCTCTCCCCGTGACGCTTACGGCACCGGTCCCATCACTCCTTCCGTGCAACTGTCCTCCAGTGGCCTTGCTCTCAGCCTCGTCCCCGCCAAGGCACACCATCTAGCAACCACTGGCGGAGACACTCCAGTGGAGGCTGATCTCGCTGCAGCAAAAACGTCAGTGTGGTGGGACATTGAGAACTGCGAGGTTCCAAAGGGCTGCGACGCGAATCGGATAGCTCAGAACATAAGATCCGTTCTGTTGAAAAGTAACTACACTGGTCCTCTCACCATCAATGCCTACGGTGACACCAGTCTAATCCCTTTCTCTGTACAACAAGCTCTCTCCTCCACCGGCGTATCGCTCAACCACGTCCCTGCTGGTAAGTTTTTTAGTTTGTAGTCTTTATAAATGGTTATAAAGTGTCTTTGGTGTGATGGCGGAGAACTGAACAGGAGTGAAAGATGGGAGCGACAAGAAGATACTAGTGGACATGATGCTGTGGGCAATGGACAATCCAGCTCCTGCTAACATAATGTTAATCTCTGGAGATAGAGACTACTCCTATGCTCTTCACAAACTTGGGATGAGAAGGTACAACATTCTTCTTGCACGTCCTGAGAAAGCATCAGAGCCGCTCATCGCTGCTGCGAAGAAAGTTTGGTTATGGACAAGCAGTGCTACTGTGGATCTTCCAAACAGATCCATTGACGACAGTGCACGTGATCATCTTTATTCTGATGGCTCTGAGGTAGTAAGCTACGTGGTTCCTAAACAAGCTCAGCCTAGAAAGCGGAAGTATTCAGATGCGGTACAGGGAAGCTGCAGGATTTTGTGTGAATTGTGCAATGTTTCTTGCTGGAGCGATGGTTTAACCACTCACATCTCTGGTAGAAAGCACAGAACTAAGGTAAACTTTAACATTTTACGTTGTCCTCTCCTAAAGCCAAATCTAGAGTTTTGTGTTGATGATTGTTGTTGTTGTTCTTCTTTTTCTCAACTTGTATAGGCTTTGTTAGTAGCACGTAAACGCCCTTATCTCAGACGTAATTCAAACGTAACAAAGTCTGTGTGGTGCGGAGTTTGCAAGATGAGTTTCCAGAGCGAAGCTCTGTATGAAGATCATATCTTAGGGAGCAGTCACCAAGACGAACTTGAAGATCAAGCTGAGTATTCCCAAAAGCGCCTCTGCGCGGCCCCTTAATCATATCTCTCTCTCTCTCTCTCTCTATTAGATTTAGAGTGAAAGAAAATGCAATTTGAGTTTGGAAAATTGCATAAACTTGTCTTTTGAGTTTTTTTAGTCTCATCTATCTCATCTTCATAACTTTTGGTTTTTGGACAAAGTTTGAAGATTTTAGATTTTAATGCAATTGATCCCATGTTTGCATTCGATGCAAATTATGAACTTTTTTTTTTTTTTTCATTTCTTTGGCGTAGGTTAACTGTTAATACATTTCTTGCACGAAACTTCTTGAAATATTATGACAAGAATCTAAAAGACTTTCAAAACCGGGAACTCTGGAATGTACATTGTATTTAGATCATTAACTTTTACAAAATCAGAAAAATCTTAATCATTAACTTAGATTCTTACGCTATACGCTTGCGTACATTGTATCAATCTGAATTTGGATTTTGTTTTGCTAATTAAACCGATGGAGATACAATCATTAGCGGCTGTTTAGTATCCCCCTACTTTTAATTGGCGCGCTTTCACTTTGGCACTTTGCTGACGTGGCTTATCAGTCCTATAAAGAAGTTGCTCAAGTTACCAACATGTTTTGTACTCTTAACTCTCATTTCCTTCAAAAGATCAAAACAAAACGTAAACATGATGTTCGCTTCACATTCACGAGCACGTCCTTTCTCAACATTTATCCGAGTAGTTACGGCGGCAAGAGCTAAAACAATAGAGAAAGGCGTCGCACTTCCTTCTCTTCAGCAGCGACTGTCTCTCAATGGCGTTGGTCTCAAGTTTCTAACTACAGCGGCGAAGGGCGGAGATGGCGGAGATTCAACGACGGAGCCAGAATTTGCAAAAGCGAAAACTTCAGTGTGGTGGGATACTGAGAACTGTGAGGTCCCAAAAGGTTGTGATGGCAGCATGATTTCTCAAAACATCAAATCGGCTTTGGAGAAAAAGAACTACTTTGGTCCTCTCACCATTTATGCATATGGTGACATCAATAAAATCCCTTCCTCTGTACAGGAAGCTCTCTCCTCCACCGGCATATCTCTCAATCACGTCCCTCCCGGTTAATATCTCTTATCTCTCTCCTAAACTAGATTTCTAGTTTGATGTTTGTAATGATGATTAAGGTTACTGTGATCTTGGTGATGGTGTGGTTTTGACAGGAGTTAAAGACGGGAGCGACAAGAAGATACTTGTGGACGTGATGTTGTGGGCAATGGAAAATGAAGCTCCTGCTAACATAATGCTCATCTCTGGTGATGGAGATTTCTCTTACCTTCTTCACCGATTAGGGATGAAGGGGTACAACATTCTTCTGGCACGACCTGAGAATGCATCTCACTTTCTGATTTCTGCTGCAGAGACTGTATTTTTGTGGAGGAGGATCGTTTCTGGTGGAGTCAAGATTCCTAAACAAGCTGAGCCAAGCAAGCGGATGAACACAGATATGGTCGTTAAAAGAAAGAGTAGCCAGAGATTCTGTGCAACATGCAAGGTTGCTTGCTCAAGCCTTGTTGATCACAACTCTCACCTCTCTAGTAAAACGCACAAGAAAAAGGTAAAACTGTGTTTTATCTTTTTATGTGTGCTCGTTTTGCTGTCTTCTTTTTTACCACAGTCTAGAGCTCACTCTAATTAGGAAAATAATTTTGATCCTCATAATCCATTTTTCAGTTCTAAGTAGTCCATGATGTGAAGAAACTCGTAACCTCTTTAAGAGCCAACGAGATTAGATGTGTGGCACTGGCAGATATTGTTTTTGATTAGCTTAAAACTTTTCTTAATTGTGTTTATTTTTGTTATGTAGACCGCGCTAGTAGCCAGTGAAAGGGCTCTTGTAGAAGCAAAAACCCAGTGGTGTAGCATTTGCGAGGCCCATTACCCATCAGCTGGGCGTGAAGAACATCACTCAGGAAGAAGGCACCAAAAGAAACTTAAAGTTTAAGCCGCGCAATCTCGATAATATGTCTTCTATAATCATGTTTTGGAAGTAACTGCTGCTATTAGGTTTTGTGAGTTTCCAAACTCATTTGTGGTATCAATATTTTGAAAAGGAGGAAGTTTGAGCCAAATTATGTATGATATTGTTATTTCCCTTGGTGCTCAGTTTTTATGAGATGGCCTTATAAATTCCGAACTTATTTTGTAAGGTAGAGCAATGACTACATGTATGGTGGAATTAAGATTTCAGAATCTTTTTTATGACAAAAATGTATAAACAAAAATAAAAACTGGACTTCTGGAATGCCCTCAAGTATGCATACATCTACATTTAGCAGGGCCTGATTATGAATTTTATTTGAATAGGATTACTTATTAATCTTATATTCCTGCTAATTACCGATGGAGAGATACAGCTTCCAAAAGTTGCAATTTACAACGGCTACTACATAGCCTTGCAGGCTTTATGGTTCACCTCCCCTTCTGATTGGCGCGCTTTTAATTTGCTGACATGGCATAAAAGTAAAATGTAAAACAAAAAAGGAGTAGTACTGTACAAATAATAAATGAAAAAAGCGGACCGAAGAAAAGCGAAAGGTTTCTTCGTCAACCTGGTAAACAAATAAAGTGGACAAACAACACTTCTCACTGTTGAGAGAGAAATAGAGAGTAGCTTTTTTTACTGTTCACTATCGCTTCATCCGAAGAACAGCTTTGTCTTCTCTCAAGAATTCAACTCCGGCGATGACCACGGCGGAGAAGACGGAGTACTCACGGGCCAAAACCTCTGTGTGGTGGGACATAGAGAACTGCGAGGTTCCTAAAGGCTGGGATGCGCATGCGATCGCTCAGAATGTGAGCTCGGCTCTGTTGAAGATGGGTTACTGTGGTCCTGTCTCAATCACAGCCTACGGCGACACCAATCTCATCCCTCTCCCTGTTCAGCAAGCTCTTTCTTCTACCGGCGTCACCCTTAATCACGTCCCCGCAGGTTTCATTCTCCTTAATCCCCTTTGATTAACCCTTTTTTTTAGACGCTTTTGATTTTGTGTGATTTTTTGTTTACTGTTATTGGTTAGACCATGATCATGGATCTTTAACTTTTAGGCTTTGAATTTGGTTTCATCATAATGAGTATTGACTTCTGAGTTGCTCTACTTTGGTAGAAAGTGATACAAACTAAGTCTTTGGGTTATATTTATTACAAGAAGACTAATGTTTGTTCTGTTTTGGGGTGGTGTGAACAGGAGTGAAAGATGCGAGCGACAAGAAGATTCTAGTGGACATGTTGTTATGGGCAATAGACAACCCTGCACCAGCCAACTTCATGCTCATCTCCGGTGACAGAGATTTCTCCAACGCTCTTCACCAGCTAAGCATGAGGAGGTACACCATTCTTCTTGCTCGGCCTCCACGTGCCTCTGCGCCGCTTGTCGCTGCTGCTAAAAATGTATGGCTTTGGACTAGCCTTGCATCTGGAGGTCCTCCTCTTACAAGTGTTGAATCCTCTCTACTTGTTAACAGTGGACGTTGCCATGTCTCTAACTCTAACTATCAAGTCTCGAAAGATCCAGTTTCTAAACCAGCTCTCTTCAGCAAACCAACTGGCTCAACTGATCACAAAGTCAGAGAAAACAACGTTCCGAGAGGTAAAGCCAAACGTGTACAGGAAGCAGAGGTTTTGGAACCTTTGTTGTGCACTGTTCGCCAGATCATCTGCACCAACAAGGATGGGTATGTAAAGCACACGTATGGTAAAAGACACCGACACAACTTGGAACTGCTATCAGGCAAGTCCGGAAACATCTCGTGGGGGACAGTTGAGATTCCTAAGGAGGTTCTTGAGAAGGAGAAGAAGGCGAGTGAAGTTGTCCGAGCTAAACCGAATGGTGACTTTGCTTGTCGTATGTGCAATGTTGTGTGCCAGAGTCAAGTTGTCTTTGCTTCTCATCTAAGGGGTCAGAAGCATATTACTAATCTATGTCAATCAGAGGCAAGATTCTAACTTTTGGCTATTTAAGAACATATAAATTTTACAGTTTGGTAAAGCGTATGGTTGATATATTATCGTTTGTGCAGGCACTCACTGATTCTAAGAAGCTTCAAGAGGAAGGTGTTGGAGCAAAGGATCAACCAAAAGAAACAATTGCAGAAGCTAAACCAAGTGGCCGCTATGATTGTAGTTTATGCAATGTGGTGTGCCAGAGTCAAGTTGTATCCGATTCTCATCTAAGGGGACATAGGCATGCTGCTGCCTTGCTGAGTCAATCAAAGGCAAGTATTTTTTTTTTTTTTTGGAATTGGACACTCTTGTAAATCCTATGCCTGATATAAAGGTTTGGATCAGGCACTCGTTGATTCTAAGAAGCTTCAAGAGAAAGATGTTGCAGAGAAGGATCAACCAAGTGAAACAATCGCAGAGACTCAGTCGCTGTCTCAAACCCCTCAAGAGAATACCAAGTTCTTGGAGAAGCAAAACGAAGAGTTAAGAGAGACATGTGGCACCACAGAGATCAGTGTAAAAGAATCTTTTCCATGTACTAAAGACACTGTTAACAAACAGTTCCCAAATGGAGAGGTTCCTAGAGAAGGAAGGTAAACTTTTTACAACTTGGACTTTGGCTTAGTATGTCAAAAATGAAAAGTCCTTTGCTTTTATGATATTTCGCAACTTGTGTCACAGAGAATGTTTTGATGGCAGTGTCAAGCCTGTAAACCTGTCCCAAGGAGCAAATAAGCATTTAAGAGAGGTGAAGAAGAAGCAAATTGAGATGATGGTAAGCCAATCCATAATAGCTGCATATAAGCTTTGTAGTCTTTGCGTAGTGATTTGTGATAGAAAGGGTTTGTGATAACAAATACCATTAGACGAATCAGAAGCGTAATACGGTAGTGATGATTTACTTCTTCAAGTACCTTTTTACTTTTTGATCAAACTCAAACCCATTTGACTTTTTTGTTCTTGATGTAGGCTGCCTTTGTAGCCAGTGATGATGCTCAGTCCAGCGTTTCAACCAAACATGTAAAGGAAGCAGAGGATTTGCAGCCTGTGTGGTGCCAGGTCTGCCAGATAATGTGCAACAGCAAGGTTGTATATGCAAATCACACATATGGGAAAAAACACCGACATAAGTTGGAATTGCTATCGGCCAAGAACGAAAACATGTCTAAAGGACCAGCCAAGCTTTCCAAGGAGAATGCAGAGAAAAAGAAGAAGGTTATATATTATTTCAATCTTTAAGGCTTGAGAGCAGTTATGGGAAGCAAAGAGAAAGAAGCTTAACTAAAATGTCGTTGTAGCAGGAACATGTTGATTCAAGGAGAACTCGACAAGAAATTGACCAAGAAAAACCTGGCGAAGCATTGGAGAAGAAACTCATTGTGGACTCAATGAAAATCCAAGAAGAAAGCGATCTAGAGAAAGAAACGACCGAGGAGCACACACTTATCAATACCGATGATCTTGGGCTTCAAGTGGCGCAAGAAGATAAAGAGGAAGTGAAGGAGATAAACGCCATATCTGAGAACCTAGCGCCTGCCTTCAGTGAACCGAGTCGAGAGTCTAGGATGCCAAAAGAATCGAGGTAAGAAGAGCCAACAATTCAGGGAAGTTGTCTAATAATCTTGTCATGAATTTTGATCAGTATGTGTGTGTTTTGGGCTACAGAGGATGTCTGGATGTGATTCCTGAGAGAGTACAAGTGGCACCAGATGGGAATGTGACCGAGAAGTTGGAATATGAGTCGAAGCACAAACCTGAGATTCCAGGACGTAGGGAACAACCAGCTGGAGAGGTTGCAAAAAGGGAAAACGTTAACTTTTGGACACTCTTTTGGGGGAAAAAGAGTTAATTCAAAGGCTGGAATCTGGATTTTGAATTGTTGGAAACTATAACAACTTGGAAAGTAACTCTAATATCATGTTTAAGTTGATGATGACAACAAAATGAATGGTCTCGTTTTATTTATAAACTCTGTAACAGCAGTATTATGGGCAAAACTATGAAATTATCCATATAATGTAGTTTGTGTTCTAATGCGAATATGACAAATATTATAAATTGGTCCCTTACAAAAACTATATACAAAGTTGTAACTCTTCATTAAGTTTATTCATTAGGTTTTGTCTAAAAGTCAAGTCATATTTATACTTTTTAAAGTGTTTTTTTCCTCTCTTTGTCGTCTTGCTGTACAAACAAAAGTGACTTGCAGTCTTCAATAATACGGAAGAGCATCCGAGAGCCCCCAGTCATCACACGGTGACGGAGATGATGACCGCGGCGGCGCAGGTGGCGGCGGAGGGTGAGTACGCTAAGGCTAAAACGTCGGTTTGGTGGGACATTGAGAACTGCGCGGTTCCCAAGAGTCAGAATGCTCATGAGATCGGTCTGAAACTAAAGTCGGAGCTGATGAAGATGAATTACTGTGGACCTCTCTCAATCACTGCCTACGGCAACACCAATCTCATCCCTAAATCCGTCCAGCAAGCTCTCTCTTCCACTGGAATCACTCTTAACCACGTCCCCTCCGGTTAAATCTCTTTTCTTTAATCAATCTCTGTATAAAGACTTTGGTTGGAAAAATGATGAATTAGGGTTTAGATTCAGTTGAATTAGGGTTTAGTCTCTCAAGTCTTTTATTTTGTTAATAAACAGGAAGGAAAGACGCGAGTGACAAGAAGATTCTGGTGGATTTGCTTCTGTGGGTGGTGGATAATCCCGCTCCGGCCAATATAATGCTTATCTCCGGTGACAGAGACTTCTCTGATGCTCTTCACAAGCTTCGAATGAGGGGATACAATATTCTCTTGGCACACCCTCAACAAGCTTCAGTCCCACTTGTGGCTTCTGCAAATGTCACATGGATCTGGAGAAGCTTATTGCCAAGTGTTAGTCCTCCTACACAGTGTGTCGTTGGCAATGGAAGTTATCCCTCTCAGTCCCGAAGTAAACTCAATGGAATCTATGTCCAGAAATCAGTGAACCAGCTCTCGCAACAACAGAAGACAGGTAGAAAGAAGTTTCAGAAGAGCTGCATTGAATCTGTCTTGTTCTGCAAAGTTTGCAATGTTGATTGCAAAAGCTTTGAGCATCTCTCGGGTAAAGAACATGCTGCTCAGGTAAGCATCTTAGCGTTGAGAGCTAAATTGACTTTCTAATTCTTGTCTCATTTTCCATTTATCTGCTTCTAAGTATGTAATATTTCTTCTATCAATCCATTTGTCATTGTTTAACTGTATATTTCTCCACTGGATATGCATTTTATTGTGAAGTGGGAGCTGAAGCAGAACTTGGAGTTGTTTGGTGAGCCTGAAAACATGGTTGCAGCACCAAGTGAATGTCATGAGGAGATGACTAATAAGGTGGTTGAAGCCAGAGTTGAGGCGAGTGAACAATTCAGTTTGTGCAGTGTGGTAAAGAATCAAGCAGAGGTTAGTTTTAATATCAGAAGATGAGATTTATAATTTCTAGGAAATAATCTGATTTTTTTAGAAACAATTGAGTCCAAAAGTGAAATAGAAAACATGATTTTGATTTACTGGCTTTGAGGCAGGTTCTCGTTGATGCTAAGAACATTGAAGAAGAAAGTGTTGAAGACAATGAGATTCAGTCTCGGGATGCGCAACAGTATATGAAGTGCTTGGAGAAGGAACTGATGGAGCAGACTTGTACAGCATCTGAAAACAGTAGCAGAGAGTTTTTGCATGATTTTAAGGAAAGGCTAGAGAGTGATGGTGTAGCTTCTGTGAATGTAGATTGTGTCTTCAGTGAACTAAGCCGTGACTTTCAGGTTCCGAAAGAAGTGAGGTAATTTTACAATTATGCTTCTTCATTGTCAAATTTTGAGTATTGCTTACTTTCATATAATGATATTCTGTGTGATAGGGAATGGTTTGATACGATCCTCAAGAAACTAGAACCTTCACAAAAGGAGACTAATGAGACTGTGATCGAGGAGTTGGAGAGCATGCTTAACCAGGGCTTGGAAATGAAGTCAGGTGAGTCAGAAAATGCACCTGCAGGAACTGAGCATCTCGAGGAGGACATGAACAAGAAGAAGAAGAGGAAGAAAAAGAAGAGTACATTGGTTGAAGATGGAGCTGAACCATGTATTTGCAGTATTTGCAGTTTCTCTTGCGATCATCCTACCAATTTCGAGTTTCATCTTAAGAGCCGAAAGCACAATGCTAAGGTTAAGAAGCACGCAGAGGTACGTTGATGAGTTTTCGATTTCGCTGAAAGGCAGTAGTTACTTTAGGTTGAGATGAAGAAATCTTTGGTTTTGTCGAAATGTTAAATCATGAAAGTTGATACATTAATGTTAAAACAGGCTCTGCTTGATAAGCATATTCAAGGGGAGATCATTCAAGATATTGGTCAGCTGAAAGAAGTGATAGGGGAGATCTGTTTTCAGCCTGGAGAGGCAGTTGAGAGCATGGACTGCTTAGAGAAGCAAAACCAGGAGCTGAGTGAGGAGAGATGTGACACCTCTGAAAAGAGTGTCGAAGAACTTTTTCAAGAAGTGGTAGTGGAGAATGAGAACAAATCTCTTCCAAACGCCGAGTGTATCATCACCGAACTAAAACCTGAGCTTTCAGCTCCCAAAGAAGCTAGGTAAACTTCAAACTTGGACTTCTTTTGTATCTCAACTTGGTTTCTAATAGTCCCAGATTCTATCCTACAGTGAACGGACTGCTGATGCAAGTTTAACCCGGGAGCTAGAGAGTGTACAAGATCTGAACCTCGAAATGAAGTTAGGCGATCCTGAGGAGAAGATGGAGAAGAAGAAGAAGAAGGACAAAGTGGCTAAAGAACGTGAAGTATATGTGTGTAGTATTTGCAGTGTGAGCTGCGATCATCCAATGGTCTTTGAGACTCATCTGATGGGCAAAAAGCACTCTGCCAAGGTGAAGAAACACGCAGAGGTAAAAGTCCATGAGTTTTGGTTAAGATTTGAGTGAGTATGAGACTCAAAAGCATGAAGCTTGATGTATGTTGAACACTGAAACAGGTCCTCTTTGATGACAAGAAAATTCTAGAAGAAAGCCTTAAAGAGAAAGATCATCCAAAAGAGCTACCGTTTCAGTCTAAAGAGGCACAAGTTAGTACCAACGAACTTTGTCAAGACACTGAAGAAGAACGAGCAAGTTATGAGAGTGAACAGATTCAACAAAGTGCCGAGTTTCCGGAAATCAAAGAAGCGAGGTGATGTACAAACTTGGTCTTGTTTAATTAATCATTAAAGCTTTACTGGTTTCTGATACTACTGGTGGCTCTTCTCTTGATTTTTTATGAAACAGCGAGCGTTTTGATTCAATGGTCAAGAGGTTAGAACTTTCACTGGAGGAAACATTGAAGAAGAAGTCTAGTGAGGCTGATAACGCATCTGAATGTGAGCGTGCGGAGGAGGAAGTGGCGGAGAAGAAGAAGAAGAAGAATGGGAGTCAAATTTTGTGTTGTGAGTGGTGCAATGTGAGGTGCAATACCCAAGTTAACTTTAATGATCATCTGGCTGGTAAGAAGCATGTGAAGAAGCATCTTGCCGTGTTGAATCTGTTGATGACTCAATAAGGAAGCTTGCTGCTGCCAAATTTATTTATGTTTTGAAAATATTTGTTGTTCCTTAAGTGGGATATGACACAAAAAACACGGTGAGTAATGGTCTTATTAAATTTTGTAGTTTCTAGTCATTTTGAAGGGTTGCCCGCCTATTCCCCCCAAACTAAAACGTTTCCATCGTGATTCACACAGACTTTTCAGCCCCCTCTATTTTCACCCAAACTTTTACTCTCTGTCGGTTTCCCCATTTGCGTTTTTAAATACAAAATCCAGTTTTCAGAACCGTGATTGCCCGTTTTAACTCAATTGATCCGAGGTTTTAAAACGCAAACCCGAGGTTTGTCTAACAAATCAGACCCGATTCTATCTAACCCTAACCCGAAACCCACACTCAAAAAATTAAAATTGATTTAGGGGAAATCAAAAGGGGATTAGGGTTCGTCGATTTGGGGGAATCAAAAGTGGATAGATTCGGATCCGTGGAGAGGAGAATTAGACATCTTTTACTCCGACAGAGACAGAAAGGTAAGCTCTATAATTCCGAATTGGTTTCTTTGTCGAATTCTTGGGTGATTTCGTTTTTTGGTTCAAGTAGTGTCATCATTGTTGCTGGTTTCTTTTTCGAATAGGGAACAAAACAATGAGTAGTTCATCTTCAGCTCATCTGTCTAATTCTCCTCTCCACGGATCCGAATCTATCTCCTTTTGATTCCCCCAAATCGACGAACCCTAATCCCCTTTTGATTTCTCCCAAATCGATTTTAATTTTTTGAGTGTGGGTTTCGGATTAGGGTTAGACAGAATCGGGTCAAATCAGACAAACCTCGGGTTTGCGTTTTAAAACCTCGGGTCAGTTGAGTTAAAACGGGCAATCACGGTTCTGAAAACTGGATTTTGTATTTAAAAACACAAATGGGGGAACCGACATAAATTAAAAGTTTGGGTGGGAATAGAGGGGGCTGAAAAGTCTGTGTGAATCACGATGAAAACGTTTTAGTTAGGGGAAATAGGCGGGCAACCCCATTTTGAAGGATGATCTGTGTGTACGTCAAAATCTGAGCAAACTATTGTTGTTGCAAAAACTGGAGAGCACAGAAACTGAGACTACAGTTTTCGGCCTTTGGTGAGCGGATCTCATTTGAGCGATTTTGGTAGCCCAATTTCTTTCTTCTTAATATTTTTCCATTTTTTTCCTTAGTCAAAATAGAAACCTTCCGAGTTGTATCATGTTAATCTTTGACGATTTAGAGGGATAAATGAACATGTCAATGGAAATAACCGGTTGTGTATTATTAATCAAGAAAATTTTGTTTTCTCACCTAATCCAAGTTGACTTTAAGAAAAACCTAATCCAACTTGATTGATCTTCACAAAAGGAAAGAAAACTATTCTACTTGTTATCGATGATGATGGTAAACAATCGGTAATAAATAAATAAAATGTGATAAGTTGCGCATATCATATTCAGACAACGTATGTATATATTGTCAAACAATTTTCTATGTTCAAGTAGGATAATTTGGGCAACAATATGGTCTTTGACAAATTCAACAAAGAACTTTCTTTTTGGTTGGATACAAGTTGACAACTTATCCCAAACGTAAACCATCGGTAGAAAAAAGAACAGAAATTTGACAAATGAAAAACTTGTGTTAGAAACTGTCTTTCTTATTTATCTTTTTTACAAAAGGAGTTGTTGTTCTAGGAGAAAAGGAAAAGAGAAGAAGAGGATGAGATATATGACCGTTCAGATTTGAATTTAATAATTTCTGTTTTATTTTAATATATAAATATCCACGTCAATTTCTACATGATTCTCCCACTAATTGTTTTATCTTTTTAGTCTCTATCCTCTTGATCAATTCCGTCAACTAACATTACCCAAAGAGCAAAGACTTAACTCAAAAATTCGTGGGTCGTTCCAAGTCGTTTCCGCGTTCAATCCTTTTCCTTTTTGATCCTTTCTTCTTCGCATTGATTTGGTCCTCCTCTCCATTTCATTAACACCCCAATCTTCATCTTCTCCTCTCGACTCCACTTCGCTCTTCCAGGTTAGCCGCGATCTGCTCTCCCTCTCTCTCTCTCAGTTACTTTCTTCTCAATTTCAGACTTTCCTTCTTTTTCGTCATCTGGTAGATCCTGTTGATTCTTCTGTTCCCCTTCTGCTTTCCTCCTGACGATTGATTGTTGCTTAGAGAAAGTAGTAAGCGAATTTTTGTGAGCGGATTCTTCGATTGCTTACTTTTGTTCTTCATATGCTCGATTTCAGCAGTCTCTTTTTCCCCCAATTAGGTTTAAACTTGTTTATCTGAAGGAATTGTGATATACTTAGTTGGAGTAATTCATTTTTTCTGGTGTTTTGTGTTCTATACTCTTTTAAATTGTTCTTAGAAGTGAAATCATCGAATGCTACGCTTTTAAATTTGTTGAAATTCTCCTTTATCTTAACTTTTATGCTATGTCTTAGATTTGGTGAAAAGCTTTACCATCTTAAGATCGTTACTTTATTTCTCTTTGTTTAGAAGTTAGAAGAATCACAGCATCACATTCTGATTACTATTTGATTTCTGCAGGAAGTTTTATTTTTCATTTCTCTGAATCAACAAAGTTCTGTGAGAGAAAATGTTTGGTTTGAGGAAATCACCGGCGGCGGCAAAGCTTCCCAAGCATAACTCAGTTGGTCCTGGATTTCTCAACTCTACCAAGCCAAATCCTTTTGATTCAGATGATGAATCGGACGACAAACATACCCTAAACCCCTCAAAGAGGACTTCCTCTGCACCCTTTTTGGATGAAATGACAAACCCTTTTGATGGTGAGGTTAAGAAAGGACCTAGTTCATCGAAACAGTCTTTGACTTCGAACTCAAAGTACCAGTACAAGAACAACTTCCGCGATTCTGGAGGTGTTGAAAACCAGTCGGTTCAGGAGCTTGAGGGATATGCTGTGTACAAGGCTGAGGAGACGACGAAATCTGTACAGGGTTGTTTGAAGGTTGCAGAAGATATAAGGTCAGATGCTACTAGAACTTTGGTTATGTTGCATGACCAGGGCGAGCAGATCACAAGGACGCACCATAAAGCTGTTGAAATCGATCAAGATCTTAGCAGAGTAAGTTTTCCTTCTTTACTGTGTGTCCCCTGACTATAAGTTGGTTGATTGAGAATTTGAGATGCTGAATTATTTGGCTTTGGTGTTGTTAGGGTGAGAAGCTTCTTGGAAGCCTTGGAGGCATGTTTTCAAAGACTTGGAAGCCGAAGAAGACTCGTCCTATCAATGGTCCTGTGATAACTAGAGGTTTGCTTCTTCTTGGTCATTGATTCCTCAACTCATTCTCGCAGGTTTTTTACGTTTACCTAATTTCCCGTTCTGTGTATCTGCGTAGATCACTCACCAACGAGAAGAGTTAACCACTTGGAGAAAAGGGAAAAACTGGGACTGAGCCCAGCACCAAAATCACAATCAAGAACCCGAGAACCTCTCCCTGAATCAGCTGATGCCTATCAGAGAGTGGAGGTTAGGACTTCTCTTCCCTCTCTTCTTTTTTTCGTGTGTTAAAGATCCAAACCTGAGACAGTGATGAACATCGAAAGCTTTGAGTAAAAAAGTTTTGTCTTTTGGCTGTAAACTTGCTAAAGATATACTCTTTGACTACAGATGGAACAAGCAAAACAAGATGATGGGCTTTCAGATTTGAGTGATATTCTGGGGGAGCTAAAGAGCATGGCAGTCGACATGGGAAGTGAAATCGAAAAGCAGAACAAAGGACTTGATCATCTTCAGGATGATGTTGACGAACTCAACTTCAGAGTCCAACAATCTAACCAACGTGGCCGCCGTTTGCTTGGGAAGTAGATGAACAGAGTTCTATGTTCATTACACGCCTTCCTCTTTTTTTTTTTGATCTTCTTTGAACTTGTTGCTTAAAAAATTTCTACTCTAATCGTGTTATATACATTTATATCTATGCTTGTATTTGATCTTATTATGAACAACCAAAAAAACTTATTGTGCATAACATAACATGAGCAATTTTGCTGTTTTTCTCTGATTCATACAGACTTTTTTTTTTTGATCTTCTTTGAACTTGTTGCTTAAAAAATTTCTACTCTAATCGTGTTATATACATTTATATCTATGTATTTGATCTTATTATGAACAACCAAAAAAACTTATTGTGCATAACATAACATGAGCAATTTTGCTGTTTTTCTCTGATTCATACAGATATCTCCGGAAATTCTGACTATAGATGCGTTCAAATCCGGATTTGTAACCTAAAAGTATAAAGTGCTAAGACACAAGATTACAGAAACTCCAAAAAAGTTGGAACACTTGTATGCAACAACTGCATCCTCGTGTGAGATTATTAAGATGAATCAAAAAGCCAGAAACTCTTCATTCCCTTTACCAATCTATTCCTCTCAAATTATTCTCTTCAGTAACACAAATAGATTTTGAGGGTTCTGAAATGACAAACATCAACATCCACCTACCTGAGGCTTGAGTTCCATGATGTTCTTGGTCTTGGGAGGATAAGCCAAGTAAACCTTGAGCACCCTCTCTACAACCTCCAGCTGCTCTTTAGCTTCAGCATAAACCTCATTTATCTTTGATGGGTCAGTGAGATCCTTGTTCATGCGGAACCCATCCATGGTCCTTCGCTTTGTGTACTCCCTGATGTTGTAGTCAGGGTATTGACGTCCTGCTCGAAGCATGGAACGACACAGGCTCAGGACTTGACTTTTATTTACCATTTCAAGATTGGCCTTTATTGTACAAAGCCTGCGTAGATGCCATTAGAGAAGAGAAAGAGTCAAGATAAAGGCTACATACATATATTAAGGTTTATAGACAGTGGATCAAGAACATAATTACAAAGCAAAAAAGCTATTTTTATCTCAAGAAAATCTAACCAGTGAAGAGATTGTTATGCAAGATTTTGATTTGAGTAGTGCATAACGTATGAGAACCAGCTCCAATATCAGAACCAATAACCAGAAGGACATAAACGCACTTTAGGATCTAAACTTGGTCAAAATCGATAAAATTTCAGCCACAACCTAAAGACTAGAACATTTGATTCCACCGACAGATATACACCAATAAAGCATAGAATTGACGATACCGAACTCCAAATCCATATACATACCTAATTGAACGATCACAAGGAAGAGAAATTCGTGGAGCGATAGGATTAAAACGCCGGAAGCTATTAATTTCCTCGCGAGCTTGGTGGTGTTGTTGAGCTTCTCCGTTCCAAGGTGGACGATGATGATATTGGTTTGATCTAGGGCTACCCAAAATTGGAACCGGGAAAATGATCTAATAAACCGGTTTAAAATGTTAATTGGTTTGCTTCTTTCTTTCTTTGTTCAATCTAAGTAAAAAAGAACCGGTTTTAGAATGGGCCATATACTAAGGCCCGATATGTGAGAAGCCTTTCTTTAGGATGATGTATGAGCTGGAATATTCGTCGACAAATAAATTTAGTAAACAAAACCGATATTTCTCTCCGATCAAGCCTTCTTCTTCTTCGTCAGAGAATTCGATTCTATCTCCACGAAAAAACCCTAGTGCAAACTCAATATCCCTCAGCGAGAAGAAAATCTGCAATCCCGAGTTTGGTTTCACCATTTCTCTTTCTCTCTCTCCTCGCTGGGTACGGTACGAGCCTCTTACGACTTTCTCGATCCTTGTTTTCGTCGAATCAGTTTGCCTGGAACTCCTCGATTGTTGTTAATCCATTTTTGAAATTGATCTGTTTTTTTGCTTAGTTTTGGTTGAATTTGTTCTGATTTGTGTGAAATTAGAAGCTTTTTGGAGGGCTTGATTGGTGATGAACGTTAGCTCTTGATTCGATTGATTTGATTGGTGATCAACGTTAGTTCTCTTGATTCGACTGATTTGTCTTGTGAGGGTTTTGTGTCTAATTCGATCGCCTCGTTTACAGAGTTTTTAATACCTGAGAATCCTACGGCCATTTCTAAAGACTATAAGCGTGTTGTGATTGGATTTTGGTGTTTGTACGCTACCTGAATTAAATAATGAAAACTCTACAATAGCTGAAGTTGAACGAATTTGGGACTGTTTCACTGTTCTTATCTTTTTCATCTGGCTTCACTAATTTGGTTTTCTTCTCCTTCTTTTGTTGGCAGATATTGAGTGTTTGAGCCTAAAGTTCCCATCAACTACTTTCTTGGCTAAAGTTCTCAGTCTCGATGTGGTTGTGCTCTGCTAGGATCCTCAATAATCATTAGGCTTCTAACCCTTTCAAAGTGATGCTCATTTCCTCTTCCCTGTCTATGGCGTTGTCTGTGATCCCTCAAAAGCTTAGTGTCTTTGGCCCTGTGTTGAATCCCTCTTTCCCTTACTGCATTGCCAATTACTTTGTTGCCTCTCCATAATTTAGTTGCTCCGTTTCCAACTGAATTACATAAGTCTTCCTCCTTCCTGCTTCTGTGTGTTTTCTGGATATTGCTGCGTGTCTCTAGCCAAAAGTAGTACCTGCTTGCGAGTTCTTGAGGAAATCTTCTTTGGTTATAAGTCGTCATCCTACTTTCGTAGCTACTTCTTGTTAAACTTCAGCTCAGACCCGAAATGATCCAAGAACAGCCGGTTGTATTCTCTCTCCGGCGTAACTCATTCAGACGCAGATCCTCAAATGTGGACGACAGAGGCTGGACTCCGCTCCACATCAAAGCCAGGAAAGGCGATCTGAAATCCGTCAAACAGCTTCTCGACCAAGGCTCTGACGTGAACGCTCTAGCATGGGGACCCAAATCAAAAGGAGTTAGCCCGCTTCACCTTGCGGCTGAGGGAGGTCACATAGAGGTCATGGACTTGCTCCTCGAGCGTGGGGCCAACATCGATGCCAGAACCTGGGGCTCCTGCGGGTGGACACCTCTCCATGCTGCGGCCAAAGAGCGGAAGAGAGAAGCGGTGAAGTTTCTGGTGGAGAATGGTGCGTTCTTGCCGGATGAGATTACTGATACCAGGTTTAATCCTCCGGTGCATTACTGTCACGGACTGGAATGGGCGTACGAGGAGTTGAAGAAGCTTAACAGCGAGTCTTCTTCATCTGGTGGAGACACATCTTGCAGTTCTGAGGACTGATCTGCTTCTTGTTGTTTTTTTGCTCTCTTTATCAAACTTAAGAATATTGTGGTTTTTATTTGATCTTTTGGCTATATGAAACATTGAAACTGTGTGTTTGTCATACATTTGATCTTCTATTATAATATTTTTCGTTTCAGTTTGAGAACCTAGCCGACTTTGATATAATGAACTGATTTTGGTTCAATCAAATATGAGTAAACCGGTGTTGATCACACTGAAGGAAATTAATCTAACCGTGTTTTGTTTCTCTACTAAACCGAATGTTCATGTTCAAAGAGTGTTCAATGGCTAAATCCTAATGGCCTTTAATGACATCACTATTTTTCATTTGTCATGTTTAACACTACATGTAATGTAACTACTTAATTGGGGAAAAATAACCATAACCGATTTGTCTACATACAATTTCCGCCGGTTATATTTAGAAAACGACGTTGTTAACATAAAATGACTTAAAAATATACCCAACAATGTTAATTCATTGGTGAATTTGTCATTTTACAGTTTACATAACACTAAACCGGACACGGTTGATACAAAACCAATAATCTGGCACGAACCGATGAGAATTTAACCACCGCACCCGGATCGCTACCCAGACCCGTCGGTGAAATGCGGGTTTGAAAACACGTATTCGAATCTCAGGAGGTAGAACAAAAATGGATTTTTTAATTTCGCTCGTCTCTTAGATCCGTTTGTTCTCTTTCACTCTGCCTGTTGAGCAAAAGTATGGCTTCTCGCTGTGAGCTTCTTCTGATCTGCATCTTCTCTCTCTTCTTTGCTCTTGCTCACTCCAAGACGTTGAAGCGAGATGGTAAATTCTGCTTAACAACCGTCTGATTTTGTGTTCATGGATCTTCCATTGATTGTTTTCTATAGCTCTTAATAGATTTGGAAGATACCCATTATCGAGATTCGTTATATCTCTTATCAATTTTCATGATTTAGCATGCAATTTCGAGATTTTCTCTTAAAAAAATATTTCTAATCTGAGCTCAGCTCAGCTGAAACTTAGAGAATTTGTGTGAACAATGAACAGATCTGATAATCTCAGTGATTTGATTGGCTTCTGCACAGTGAAAGCTTTGAATGAAATCAAAGCGTCTTTGGGATGGAGAGTGGTTTATTCATGGGTTGGTGATGATCCTTGTGGAGATGGAGATCTTCCACCTTGGTCTGGTGTCACCTGCTCTACACAAGGAGACTATAGGGTTGTCACAGAACTGTAAGTCTAATTTCTTCTGATATTTTGGTGTTTGAATTTGATTTGTTTGCTTGACTGAGCTTTTCCTCTTTGATCAAATCTGATTCGCAGAGAAGTTTATGCGGTTTCGATTGTTGGACCTTTCCCTATTGCAGTAACAAACCTTTTGGATTTGACTAGACTGTAAGTTGCTTCCTAAAACCTGCCATTTTGGTAGATTTATGTGAGAACTCGTTTGATTTATCGATTTTGGCAACCAGGTTTTGTGAAATGAAGATCATTGTAGTACAATAGAGAGATGCCTGAGAATTCTTCAGTGCTTTTTGCTGTTCTGAGATAGTTACATACACTGAAAATGGTTTTTGGTTTGTTTGGTTTTCTCAGGGATCTACACAACAACAAGCTAACCGGTCCAATCCCTCCACAAATTGGGCGACTGAAACGGCTGAAAGTACTGTATGTTCTTTTTTTTTCCTTCAGTTTATTGTTCTTAGACCAATCTCAGGACAGGATTCAATACAGTATCGAATTTGTACTAAGAAATTATGTGACAGGATTGTGTTATTTGTATCAATTTTTATAGATGCTTAGCCTAACCATTAACTATTGTTGTTGTTACCATTAGAAACCTGAGGTGGAATAAACTACAAGATGTGATTCCCCCTGAGATTGGGGAGCTGAAGAGACTAACACATTTGTGAGTGCCTTTGTGTTGTTTCTTGTTTAGCTTCTGATGATTGTCCCATTTTGTTGAAATGAAATCATGATGTTCTATCTTCCCCATTGATATGAAAGGTACTTGAGCTTCAATAGTTTCAAGGGAGAAATTCCAAAAGAACTGGCTCTTCTTCCCGAGCTTCGTTATCTCTATCTTCAAGAAAATCGTCTAATTGGTAGAATTCCTGCAGAACTAGGGACGCTGCAAAGCCTCCGCCACCTGTAAACACCAAATCCCATCTTTCTACTTACAGTTTGGGTCTTTTGTCATACATTTTACTGAGATTTTGTTTGGGTTCAGAGATGTTGGTAACAACCATTTGGTGGGAACTATAAGGGAGCTCATCCGTTTTGATGGAAGTTTCCCATCTCTTCGCAACCTGTAAGCATCTCTCTGGAATCTGCATCTAGCTTCCGTGTGATATAATGCGTCACAGTATATGCAAGCAATGCTTTCTCTTATGAACATCTCGATTCTTTAGGTACTTGAATAATAACTATTTGAGTGGAGGCATCCCAGCTCAGCTATCGAATCTTACAAACTTAGAGATTGTGTAAGCGTTCTACACTGCACGGTTCTCTAACTCATCAAACCGTATCGGGATATCTCTGACCTCGGTTTAATTTGGTTTTGTAGGTACCTGTCTTACAATAAATTCATCGGAAACATTCCTTTTGCCATTGCTCATATTCCTAAACTGACATACCTGTGAGGCTTTGTCTCTGATTTGCTTACTACTATCTAAAAACATTATGCAATTTCTCATGTGATCTTGATGTTTGATGGAAACCAGGTACCTTGATCACAACCAATTTACTGGGAGAATCCCAGACGCATTCTACAAGCACCCATTCCTTAAAGAAATGTGAGTTCTCACGGTTTTGTAAAATCCATCTGGACGAGTTTATGACTAGTTTTTAAGGTTTTTCTTCTTCAGTCTTCTGACAAAAAGGAGACTTGCTTCGGTTTTGCAGGTACGTTGAAGGTAACATGTTCAAGACAGGTGTGAACCCTATAGGTACCCACAAAGTTCTTGAAGTTTCTGATTCCGATTTTGTGGTGTGATGGGATAGAAGATTCTTGAAAGTTCTAGAGAAAACGTCTCTGAACTACCTAGAAATGGTTACACTATAGTTCTCTTCATTACTGTTATTTGTTTTGTATGGTCTTGATCGTTGCAAATGGAAGAACTCATAGACTACAAAAGTTTATCTTCACATTGTATAGGCAGTCTAATCTATATCTCTCCTTTATCAAATGTTGAAAGCTGGATTGGAGTAAACCACTTGCCAATATAGATACATTTACACAACCTGTTATTCAAAGTTTCATTTTTACTAAAAAGAAAACAGAACATTTTATCGTGTTCATGATGAACAAGCAGGAGCATCAAAGGTAGGCAACACAATGAAAGAGATGGACAACGGATTGATATAAACTGGAGATTTACAACTGTGGCGGACCGGCTCAAGGTTTGGGATATCTCCGGTGGCCGTTGGTTCCAAAGGTTTACCGTTCAAGAGCATTATCTTGCTGCGCAAGTCACCGTCTTTAGGACTCAAGTGGTACTCTTCTCTGTTCAAATATCCATCCGAAGCTTTGTTTCCGACCCAAGAAAACTTGCTCTTGATTGTTTCCCATATAGATTTCCTCTTCATCGAATCTGCATGCAAAATCACCTTCACACCATTGCTGACTCCGACTGTAAACGTCGTATGCTTACTCAGATTGATCAGAAGAATCGTTATACCCGCCTGATATGATACATTCCATGGTTACAAACGAAAAGAGAGAGGAGGATTAACAGACAGATATATATATATACACTCACTCTTCCTTTGGAGCAATGAACGTAAACCCGTAGATACTCCGAGGCATTTGTCTGAACGCCAAGAACGCCTTTACCCATCAAACGATGCCAAAGAAGCGCACTGGTCGCACAGAAAAAAAGAATCGTTTGCTTTGTTCAAGATCAAGAAGTTTATGTTATGACTCATGTTGGTTTTGATGAACTTGCCTGTAGTAATCTGGATTGGGAACAAACGTTTCCTTTTCGAGCAGACCGTAGAAACCTCCAACCAAAGCTTGTCTACAGTATACTTTGGTGTTTTGCTTAGCTGACATACCGAACTGATCTAGATACCTAGGAAAGATCAGTCTTTGTCAATCATCACAGAAACGGAGCAAATATAGAGAAATGTTGGTCAATCATCATAGAAACCGAGCAAAAATCAAGAAATCTGAATGTGGGATTTGGTTTGTTTCTTACCAGAAGCTGTTAATAAATGTCTCGGAAACCTGTCGGCCACCGCTGTTATAGGCTCCACCGGCTTCTCCAACCCAAGCAGCAGCCCAAGGTCCATGTTCTTGAATCGTTCTCTTCACATTCTCAAACGTTCCCGAAATCTCGCTTAAGTAACTTGGATCTAGTATCCTATTCACTAGCTCAGGATCATTCCCTGTAAGATTCACACTCATCATTGTGTAGGAATGCTACGAAGAGAATCTCTGATTTATCTTTATCATGCTTATGCACACACCTGGACCAAGATTGTAAATATGATGAGTCATGACATCAAGAACACCAGGTCCAGAGATCCGAAGAAGATCCGAGTACCATTTTTCTTCATAGAATCCTCCTGGAGCTAGCACCAAAGGCTTGGTACGAGAGTTCTTGTAAACGTTCTTGATTACATCTTTGAGCACAATCAAGTCTTTCCCGTAAAGCTCTACACTCACGCTTGCACCAATCCCAGTTCCACTAAGCTCATTACCTAAGTCGAGAACAGGAAACAAAGAAAGCTAAACCAAAGAGCAGGAAAAAATCAAAAACAGAACAGACAGAAAAAAGAGAGGCCTAAGTTTCTATAAATATACCAAACTCCCAGGAGTCTATAGCGTAACCCTTTGAGACAGTGTAGTTCATGAAATCCTGAGTGTTGATATGATCCCAATCTCCTCCCCACGCATTTCCACTGAGTTTGTTTCTCCCGTAGAGCGCATTCAAACCGAAAGTCACAATAGCTCTGCGGAAAATTAGAGTTACATCATTGTGGATTCTGCACATAGTACAACTATATATACCAAGGATTATATATATATACTAACCCAGTGGCGTTGAAGAAACGGTTAAGTTCGTCCCAGCGATTCATATACAAACATCCTTCAGAGAAACCGAACAATCCGTCATCAGTCTTCTTGAATTCACTACAAGGAGTCTTCAAGTCTCCCACGTCGTAGATCACTTGATCTTGCAAGGAACCACCTAGTCTTATCCTCAGCGTCTTAAAAGCTATAGCAACAATCCAGAGAATCTCTTATTCGTGATTAAGTTTCAGCGTAAAGTATATGGAAAGAACGAGCAAAAACATGTACCTTTAATAGCTTTAGCAAGCAGAGGAGAAGCCAAGTTCTGAAATTATTCCAAAAGATTGGTCATTAGCTAAACGATGAAGTTATTGTGAGGGTCAAAGATCAAAGTTGGGTTATATTATATACCAAATTGATGAGAGATGCGTAACCCCAAGGACACTGATCATAGTTGCATTTTTCAGGTGGCCACCAATCAAGCGTTGCGCAGACAAAGTTCTCATCGATCTCGGCGATTCGATGTGCACCGTCTATAACAATGGTGGTTTGCTCCATGTTGCTAAAACTAAGCGGAAGTAGAAGTAAACAACTCAAGAACACAAGGAAACAAACGTTGAAGCCCATTTTGGTTTGTTTGTGCCTCACGTCTTGAACGGTTGATCTGTTAGAGAACAACGAAAAGTGAGTTTTCAGAGAAAACAAGAACAAAGATCAGTTGAGAAAGAGTAAGAACTAAGAACTCTAACAACATAAATCAAGAAAATGAAAAGTATGACTCATAAAAATACAGAGGAAGCAGAGCAGGAACAGAACTCAACCTTGCTTACTAGAATTGGCAAATGATTACAGATAAATTACGGAAATTATTAAGAAACATTCTATAGAGATGAACCATTAAGAAAACAAATATTGGAGGGCTTGTTCAATGGTGTAACTGGTCTCTTAAAAGACCAATCCAATATTTTGTAGTTGAAAAGTAAACCTTGTTATATTAGTTTTTGAGTTTTGTATGGATGTGGTTACTTCATTTGTGATATTTTGGTGAATTTCCAAGATTTCATTATGTGGTATATTTCGCATAGATTCTCTCTAACCAGCTATACTTCAAAATATTATTGTCTTAAGATACGCAAAGCCAAGACTAGAGAGAGCATTAGTTGACTTTTGCCTGCTGATTTAAATTTTGATCGTTGATATTTAATTGAATAATGAGATCGTCTCTGAAATTTAAATTTCGATCGTTTGTTTCTGCCTATGAATGGGTACAAAAGACTCAAAAGGCAAGTTGGCCCCCGATGGACACAGTCACTTTCAAGTCCGTCTTAATTTTAGTCTCTTAATCGGAGTTAGTGAATTTTAATAATCTTGGAGCTCGAAGACATTTTATAAGTCTGATTAAGATAAAAAGCAAAATCAAACTAAAAAACTCAGAATATAAACTGACCTTAGAATCCAGCATCCATGGAGAAAAAACAAGAGCAGGTGATGTTGTTCTTGACGTCGACAACACTTCATCAAAGTCTCGCCATCATCTATGGGGTTATAATTGCCTTTCATAAAGCGTGCTCAAGCTATTATCTACTTAAACCGTTTCATACCGAACCGAAATTGAATTTGAAAACCGAAAATTAAAAAGAAAACCAATGCATCTCACTTTTTATTGGACCTGGCATTCTGACAGAATCTAAGATTGGTGTGGTACATTGCCAAAAATAACATTATTCTTTACAAAGTGCAAAAGGACAAAATTAAGGTATTGAATCCTCGGAAAGCTTGTATGTCATAATCATGTAACACAAGTACAAGTCAGTTCATTTCCTATATTAATTATTTTCCCCTTTCGTCCGTACACATAAGTAACATACAGTATTAAACATGTATCTAGGATAATTAACTTTTGAGATTTAGCAGTGATTTCAGATTGTTAATATATTTCATGCGGATATATAGAATTTAATGGCGTTTTAAACAACACAGATTTTTATTAAGGGGAGTTTTTTGGCATCAACTCCAAGTATCAGTTTTTCTTAATCTGAATTAAAAAATTAGACGAAACATAAAATAGTAGTTGAGCCAAAGTAACTTATATTATAAGAAGAGATTATTATTATAAAATCTATGTATATCCCTCTCTCATAAGACTCCTCCCTCCAAAGGAAGATTTCTTCCCCACTCTGTGTTTTTTGTGTGTTTTCCTTACCTAACAAGAAAATCTACCTTTCTTCTTTCATCAACTCCAAGTTAATTAGAGAATCTACCCTAATCTTCTGGAATACTATATATATATATAGATATATATTTTTTTTTCTCATATATTCAGCCGGTTTGTTGGTCTTCTTCTGTTACAATTCTCAGAGCATTAGGGTACAATTTATCTGGCAGCAATCTAAAGGTATCAATTTTCTGAATTCTGGATCATCTTTTTTTTTTTTTTTGCGTTTTTGGTTAGGTTTGTATCTAAAACTGTTGGTAGGGTTTTAAAGCGTGTTGAGTAGTTTCTTGAGGTAGTGTAGAATTAGGTCATTGTCCTCCGATCTCGATCAGAACTCAGTTTTTTTTTTAAAACATCGTTTTGTATACAACTGACTAATTTTCGTAACGGGTCACGATCAAATTTCAGTTTTGTCTTTTACGTATTTGATGTGATTGATGATTAACGAGTAAAACACATATATTTGATTGAGACTCTCAAAGTCAACAATTTGTCCTTCTTTGAATGTAGAAATTTCTTCATTTAACCTTATATTCTTGATGTTGAAATAAAGAATAATGTTGAGACGTTGCTGGTGATCTTCGTTTACAGATTTTTCTTTAATGATGTCAAACTCTATAATCTGATCCGATCAAATTCTATCATGTTTGGTTGCATCAGTTTTTGTCTCTGGATTTGCAATGGCTGAGGAAAACAATTCAGATGTCAAAGAGGTTGAGAAGTGTGTCGGCACAAATCCTCCAGTGATGTCCGAAGAAGAGATTGACAAGTGTGTCGAACCAAATACTCCGGTGATGTCTGAAGAAGGATCTGTGGGAACAGTAATTATAAAGGATGTGGAAGATGTTACATCTGTGGTGTCATCAAAGGGTCAAGAAGAGTGTACATCAGAGACTAATGAAGTGCCGCCCAAGCCACAAGTTGCAAATGTGAGACGACATTCGACCGGAACGATTGGTACACGAGCTGGTAAACTTCAGGTTCAGTCTCGTTACCGAGGGAATCATCATGTGCCTTCGAGACATGAACACTGTAAACACGGCGGGAACAAGAGGTGTGATGGTCAAGATAATGCGGTGAAAGTGAAACCATGGAAGATGGCGAGGAGGAAGAGTGTTGATGAAGTCTCTAAAGTGGTAAAGGTTGAGACTTCAAGTTTGACTAGGAAGTCCTTGGGAAGTGTGACTAGACAGATTCCGGTCATTACCAAACCGGAGAGTTCTCAGGCTGGAAAGAGAGATGTCTTGGCTGTGAAGAAAAAACCATGTGCTTCTGTGAAATCAGAGTCGTCTAGCGTTAAAGATGAAAGTGAGATGGCGAAAGAAACTAGGAAGAAGAAAGAAACTCAGAGTGGTTCTAAAAATGTGTCTGGCTTGAGGAATGAGAAGTCAAATTCTGCTGTGAAGAAAGTCTCAAGGATAAGTGACGGTGAAAGTTCTAAAGTCTCTGCTCCAAAGAATAAGGAGAAGGCAATTAGCGGTGAAGATGTAAAAGAGAAGACTGTGTGTGTTGTTGAATCTAGCGTCAAAGGTGTTAAGAGCGAGAAGCAGCCAACAACCATGAGAAGTGGACATAAAAGCTTGAATGGTTCTAAACAGATTCCTGGTACAATCAGTAGTGGTTTGACTAAGAAGAAGGAAAGTGTTGCTGAAGATCTTAAAGGGATAAATACAAAGCCTGAGAAGAAGATTAGGGCTAAGAAGACAGGAGTAAAAGTGACTACACCTAAGCAGCTGAGTTTCAAGAAAGGAAAGACTCTTGAGCTGAAACCTGAGAGTTCATCTCCGAGATGGCACAAGTTCAGAAGGAGGGCTGTGCAAGAACAAAAACCCCAAACCGAAGGGAGGAAGAAGGTTCTGAAAGAAGTTGTTGTGACGAAAAGTGATGCTTGTGAAGGAAGTAAACGTGCCAAGGTTGTTCTAAAGCATAGAAAAGTAGAAGGGAAGAAGAAGATGGTAACACTGTTCAACAGTGTGATTGAGGAGACGTATAATAAGTTGACAAAAGTGAGGAAACACAAAGTGAAAGCTCTTATTGGTGCTTTTGAAACTGTTATCTCTCTTCAGGATGCCAAGACAAAACCTCAGAGCAAGGCCACAACATCTGCGTCTCAGGTTAGTCCTTTAAGTTCCGAACAGTGAACAAAGGAACATAAAACTTATTTCTGTGCATATGATCTTTATAACTCTGACAACATATTTTAAGAGAAACATAGATAATTGTCTTTATATGTCTTCTTTGACAATTACTGAATTTCAGCTTTCAAGTTTTATCTGCTAGTCTTTTTTTTTTACATACTCAAAAACATTCTTTGTCTACAATTACGATACAAGGATCTTTCAAGCTCAGTAACACTTAGCTCTCGAGACTAATCTCTTTTCTCGTGATTCGAAGAACTTGAGGGCATGCCCATATTTACCTTTGTAGTCTGATCAGACTGTTGTCTATAGATCGCTGCAGCCATTTTGTTATACATATCCATATTCATTGTCTGCAGCAGAACATGACCAACAAACAATGAAGCCAAGAGTTTGTAAATCTGAATTTTTGTTTTTTAATCGGAAACAGTTTAAGCGGTTTTCACCTGTGCGAGGAAAACGCTGTAGGGATCAGTTAAAGCGGCGGAAGAAGCATTGGTGCAGTCTCTGTTGACCATCAATGGTGGTGGAGGAGGAGGAGGAGGAACTAAACCTCCATAACCATTGCCACCGCCTCCCATTCCCATTCTCGCCATTGTTGCAAGTAAAGACATCTGAAACTGTTGTTGTTGTTGTTGCTGCTGCTGTTGCTGTTGTTGTTGCTGTTGGTGTTGGATGCTGAGAACTGATTGTGGTGGAGGTAGTTGTGGCATCATCATCTGTTGTGGCAAGTTGGCTCTTAAGCTCATAAACTGAACTTGAGCTTGAAGCTGTTTCAAGTGTTCGATTACATCGTCCAAGATCGACACTTTATCTGCTTTACTTGCAGTAGGAAGCAGCTTCTGAAGTGTTCTCATCCTCTGGTTTATCTTATCACGCCGTCTCTGCATCCAAGAAAGAGTCAGTTTCGATTTCAGTTAGCAAAAGAAAATATCCTTCTTTTTTGTTGTTATTACCCTTTCGGACTCGTTGTGAATCGCTGCTGCTCTTCCTCGTCTTCCATTAGATCTCCCTGCTTCTCCTCTCGTTTCTTGTTCATCTCCTTCAGTGTCTTGAGTTTCCTGTTTAAGTCCTCTTTTGGTTATTTCTCAAGTCATCTTTCAGTTAAAAATTGTATTTCTTGTTAGTTCTCTTACCGATCCAGAGAGGAAACAGTCTCTGTCTCCGGTTTTAGCTGTCTTCAAGCTCCGACCAGATTCAAAAGACGCCCAAGACATATTAGTACCACTCGCACTTGCTGTTACGCTGTGACCAACTCTATGGCTCTCTTCTTGAACAGCGAACCAACGGTCCATTTCTTGAGGATGGCCGCGTTTTCTTGAGCAAGATCCGTTCTTGCTTTCAGAATTGTGGTTTGGACCAACCTGGCTCGGCAGCTGTAGTTTGCTTGGCTGTAGAACCGCCTGGTGGACCACAGACTCCAAAGTCTCACACCCGTTGAGAGTTTGAGTCCATACCGGATTAGCCGAGGGGGTTGGTTCGACTTCTTGGCCTAGACCATGGACCGTTAGCTGCCCATTTTCCCATGTGAGCTCTTTCACTCCGTAATTTGACCTGAGTCACCCAAAAGAAAGAAAACATTGCTTTTGTGTTAAGAGAGAAAGAGAGAGTAACAAGACAGAAGCGTTGTCACTTTTTCTGGTGTAAACAGAGAAGAAGAGTTTTTATCAGAAACAGAGAGGATACATGTGTTGTTACTTAGGCCGCACGTTTGCACAAGAATAAACTGACAATTAAGCTTTTTTTCTTTTTCTTTGGCCCTTGTTCTCTCTTTCTTCTTGCTTGAAAATAATTGTAATCTTCTTTCTTCTTTGTTTTTTCAAACTCTTGACAATCACAGCGACAACTCATGCAATGTATCTGTCTTTGATCCATGTATTGAAGTTGTAATAATAAAGAGCCTCTCTTTCTCTCTCTCTTCTCGTTTCCTCTCTCTCCCCCTAAAATGGTCCCTGCAAAACGTCAAATGGTTTTTATGTGGAGGAAGAAGCACATGTGTGGCAATGGATTCTTGTTTTCTGCCTCTCAAATCCAGAATCCTCTCTCTCCTGCCCAAATATCCAATAAATGAAAGAAGGGTGTTTTCGTCATTTACTCTATCGACTGATTTCCTCTGAAATGCCATTATTTGCAATTTTGCATGCATTTGACCATTCTGTAGACAAGGAAAGCGTGTGGATTCAATTCATATCACCGATTAGGAAAGAAACACATTTCTAGTTTTCTACTAATATACTGTAGCATAATTATATTTTTTCCTCGAATGTTATATTTCATCTTTTATATTTATGTAGAGTTGAAATATATATATAGTTCCATTTTAAGATGCATTAAATAATAGAAGACAAGATATATTTATTGGAGTAAACACGTAAGAATCCGAAACTATAGTTTGGTATTGGAATGTCAAAATGAGAGTGAGATGTGAGGTTGATGGGAACAACAAGTCCATTTGATACAAGTTGCTGAGGAATAAATCAATATGTTCTCACTTCTTAGCCTCTTTTCATCTATTCTTAGCCGCTTTTAATCTAATTCTTCCTCTTTACGTCCACCACATTCTTCTCTCATCTCACCACAATATACATGGGTTATTCAGGATTTGATTCATATGAAAAAAAATGCCTTACGTCTTTGGTGGAACAAACATTATACATATGAATTATGTGATGTTTGAGTTAGAAAAAAATTGAAAGAAAGCCTATATGTAAAGTTTATTGAAAAGGATAATTACGAGATAAACCTTTGTAATGTAAAACCGGAGAGACTTCCCAATCATTTGGTGTCACATCAGAATCTTAAGTGATTTCACCCAGACCCGCTCGAGTTACGGCCGACAGCTTAACTGATGTCGTCATTATGACACGCGTGTAGATCCTATTGGATTGTTTATTTGGGACCCAGTGGTGATCTGTGAAGTTGAGCCAATCAACTTCTCGCATTAGATTCTTGACAGCGAATCCTAACGCTCCTCAGAGTTTATCTCTTCATCATATATAGTCTCTCTCTCTCTTTTCAAACTCTCTTCTCTTCACATCAATGATTTTTCTGTTATAATTTATGATAAATCTTTCTTTTCACCATTGCAATTCTAGGGGATCACTGCATTAAGACTATAATGATCCGAGTGATCTTATGTAGAGTAGATAAATTTCAAATTGAAAACTCTTCTAGAAAAAACATGTAATACATATTTGTTGGACTTTTTCAATTGTACTATATATTTAATTTGAATTGGCCATCATTTTTCACGAAACGCGGATTCCTAGCTAGCATCTGAGCAGTGAACAAGCTAAGAATTTTACGTCATATATTGAGAGAAGAGAACACGGCAAAATCATTAATAAATAAAAATAAAAGTTGTCAAAAATCTAACTGATAGAGAATTGTACAGCGACAATATTGCAAATTTCCAAATAAGAAGAGGGAATAGTAAATGCGAATGGTCCTGGCCACCACATAGAGCAGTTGCCGCTCTTACCAATGGAGAAATAAACTTCGGGCAAGAGAGAAGCTTTGGCTGGACCAAATAATGCATCATTTGGCTTCGAGAGCATATCGCTAAATCGAGTTATCGATCTATCAAAATCCTTTTTGGTCCCCTTTTTTGGTGTTTACTCGTCTTGCTATAATATTAATACATTTCATGTGTGAAATAGGGTAGAGAAAGCGTGTAAACATTGACTATCACATCAACATTTGAATATTTTTTCTCAAGCATTTGTCGATAATGGTGTTCAAAAGACTTATTCATAACTTTATTTATGACTTCATTCTATCGCGAGTTTCTCGATTTTGTTTCATAGGCCCTCACAGTCATAATTAGTAGATATTGTTTTGATTTTAGTAACACCGAAAGCAGAAATAATTGATAGGAACTTTGCTAGTTCGACGCATTTTCTTTACTTTTCCATGAACTTGATCTTCTTTGCTCCTCCTCTTCTCCTCAAGCTGTTTCTTGGCTCCATCAGCAATTAGTTGGATCCTTGCTAATTTTGACTTATAATGTTGATTATTTATTTCTTTTCTCTTCTCCAATTCACTCTTTAGTACATAAAAAACAAAACAAAATATTAGTCTCCGCACATTTAAAAGATTTTTAGCGATCAAACAGAAAAATAACCTTTCTTTTCTCCATTTTGAGTTTAGCTGCTAATTTTCTCTCATTTTCCCAAGCCACAATTTCAGCTTTCATTTTATCATACCTTCAAGCACAAATTACTTTTTAGATAAATAATAACAAATTGTATAATTTTAATTAACTAAGAATGAAATCTGACCTTAATCTAATTTTGTTGATTTGAGATTTTTCCCAAGAATCTGCTTTACTTGGTACTGAAGCAAGTCCAGATGTTCTAGATGATGAGCCAGTTTCTTGTGCTTGACGGTTATCTAGTGTAAACTCTAATGGGTTTTTTCTGAAACTAGCTTCTGCAAAAAAAAAAAAAAAAAAAAAAAAAAAAAAAAAAAAACATTTGTAACAAAATAAATGTTTGATTCCAAATATGAAGGTAGTAGTCATTTAGCTATTTATTTTGCTTAATAATTACCTCCAATTTTCACCTCTTGAGTATATGATTTGTTTAATCTCTTCCCTTCGGTTTTAGGTATTATCATATTGGCTTTTTTTGTCTGCGACCTTTTGATTTGTTCTCTTATTCTTTTCAACTTTTCTTCATAAGCTTCTTCCATTGATTTAATGAAGAACGCAGCAGCCGCAACAGATGCTGCGAATTCGCTTTCTTTCTCGTTGTAGTAATCATTTTTCTCGTACCAATACGATTGGTTCTTCAGCCAATTTAGTGCTGGATTATCTTGGATTTGTTATTAAAGAAAGCAAAAATTTATCATATACAGTATTTTCAGAAATTTTTGGGAAAAGATACGTTAAACAAGTGAGATTTACCGGTTATGGCCAAGTCTGGTAGCGTTGGCAAATCCGTTTGTTTGTTCTCAGAAATCGAAACCCTATAAAGATCAATAAAAATAGGTATCTTTCCACAAGAGTTTTTTTTTTGTGATATAATGCGATTAGTCTTATCAAATACTACTATATCTACACGGTTAATTTAATAAAATGGAGATTTGGACGTGTACCTTCTTCTTCCTCTTTGCTTGACTAAATTATCCATTTGATTTTCCCAAGAGACTCCAATATTGTTTGAGTTTCATATATGCTCTTAAACCAAAAGATGTCTGTCTTATATTCTCTTGGATATCACAAATAGAGAGGAGATGTGTTGATTTTGTCTTGAAGCAAAAAAAACAAGAAATATATAAATAAGCTAAATTCGTATTCCACTGTACAGGAACATGCCAAGTATCAACACATGTGATTTCATATATATGCCATTCTTCATGTACATATATATTTAGTCAGATAATAGCAAAATAAAAGCCATCGTTTCTTTACTATTAATATTGGTGATTGTTATCACTTAAAGAGATGGAAAACGTATTTAAAATTAAGGAATTAGATTTTAAACGGACGATGAAATGTATAAGTTCGACTTTCGGACTGCATTTCTTTTATAAAGACTTTTATTTTCTCTATTTGGTCAACTAGGGGTTTTCTATTTATAGCCACAAGAGAAGAAAAAAAAATCAAAGCCCATCAAGAAAACATTACAAAGCCTACCATAGGCCTAATCGTTTCTTTGAGCAGATTAAACCGAGTAAAGGGAAACAGAAAAGTGAACGAAACGGACTAATCTTCAGTTACCAACAGATTAAGGGATTACAGAGAAAAAATAATAATTTTGTTTAAAGCAATAGAAAACATGAGATCCGTTAACTAAAAAAAAAAAAAAAAAAAAAAAGCAAATAGCCACCTAAAGAAGCTTAGAAGTTAGAACCACACGATGTACATTTTTTTTGGCTCAACTTGCTAAATTACTTATTTATCGACCATGTTTTCCTCGTTTTTGCATGTTTCCGTCCTTTTCCTCTTTTTTTTTTATCTCTTTTTCAAATTCTGTAAAAAAAAATCTACAGAATTTGGATTGCCTCATAAGGATGATCGAATACTTCAACGAAATAGTAATTTACATACTTCGTATTCCTATTCGTGTTACCGAAATATGTGAGTTGTCCATATGTTTGGCTTCCCACATGAATCACGTCTAGAGTAGGTATGGCGCACTAAACATCTATAACTCGCCATCGACTAACGTTTTAGAAATAATATTTGAATTTTTGAATAGTGAAAATTGAAGAGGTCCACCAAAATCACTTGGCCATGTTTCTTTTCGATTTGTGTTGCTCAACAACTGATTTCTTCTTCTGCAAAGATCCATAAGCTTTGTTACCGTTACATACCACTCGTTACACTGTGACTGCAGTCACCATTCAACCAGTAATAATATCAATTATTTTGTTGATGTTTGTCCGTATTAGCGCATTTTTGTTTGTGTCCACCTGATGATTAAAGCGATGACATTCACCCTCACACCAATCATTCTGTCCCTTCCCGTCTTCACGACACATTTACACATATAGTAACAACTACAGAAACTATTTCGTCGGCAAACAAAATTATTTAAAAATTTAGAACGGAAACGTAAACTAATCCCAAAGCGAAATTATTCATTATGCATATACCTCAGCGATATGATTTGATGCGAGATTTTGTGTTATAGTATACAAAATATGTTGATAATAGCTCTAAGTTGTAACAAACAGATCTTTATTCTCTTTACTTGGGGAAAAGAATATTATTAACATGAAAATTTAGTAAGACAGTTAGGCTATGATCGGTGTCACTATATTCAGCAGAAAACCAATTACTCTGAGATCTGCGTTTATTTCAGCAGTGGAGTTGAAATGTATATAATCTTTTTTTATCCTTTTTACGCTGGTAATGGTAACTGTTCATAACAAGACAAAAGGATTTGCTTTTTTCCTAATGGTTTTCAAAGGATAAGAGGGGAAAATACTGCTCTAGTTTCAACGTTTTTTTTTCACTAGTTTCAATTTTAACAATTTTCATTACTCTACAACTTTCCCATTCACACCCTTAGAGTAATTTTTACAACATTCAAATGCGGAAAGCAACGCTGTAAGAAAGACTATTGATTTATGAGGAAAATTAGTGTTGTAGAACATAAGTTTCGAACTAGTATCCTTTTTGACTAAACTACTCTTTCTAAGGAATAATTTATTCCACATTAGTGTGTTCTTATAGTTAGTAGTTTTATGGGAATGTTATAACTAAAGTATTTGGTAACCAATAAACTAAGAGGAGTTAAGAAGTTTAATGCTACTTGAACTAATGAGGGATATGTGTCACACATACATGAATCAGTGAAAACATTAAGTTTTATGTGTCACTCAATGACACATTAAGAAACTATGTGTCACTTAGTGACACCATTAAGGTTTATGTGTTACTTAGTGACTATTAAGAAGTTATGTGTCATTCATGTAATGTGTTAAAAGATTAATCATCAATACTTATCATTTATTCCTTTAATCTCAATTTTGATGGACAATTGAGATTAAAAACTAAACGAAAATCTAATGAGCATATTGGTACTCTCCTTCTCTATAAATAGATGTCTTTGCTCCATCACAGACACCAAGAAAACACAACACTTAAAGTATAAAGTTTATAGGGAAGAGGAGAGAAACCAAATCTCATACTCAAAACCTTTCAAAACATCAAGGTTTTCATCTTCAAGGTAGAAACCTTTCAAAACACTTCTCTACCATAATGAATGGAGGTATTCTATCATATGATTATCTAGATGTTTAAAGATTTTGGGATTCATGTTAAATAAAGTTTACATGTATGTTTAAATGATATTTTACATGCATGATTTTATAACACTCTTTTGTAAAAACACTAGTTGGACTTGGACCTACACAAAATTTGTAATAGTCGTATTGACGTTAGGTTGGTCTGTCATGTATCTTGATTGATCAAATCGGGTCCCCTTTATCAAAATGAATATATAAATATGTACGTATTATATGGATACATCAGTATGGCTCGATTTCAATAGATAATATGCATAAAAATATTTAAATTCTGGATATGCCTACGCCCGATTTGAATTGAATAGAATATATAGTTAAGTCATAAACAAGAATGGTATTCTTCTTTTGATAAAGGATCAATAATGATATTACATTTTCTGAAAATTACAGTTACTAAATCACTGTTCTTACAAATTCATTTCTTGGAAAAGATACTTATGAACAATCAATCATCTTTGATATCATCTTTTTTTTGTACCACCTGCCTACTGTTTTTTTGTCTACCACGTCCTCAACTCTTTGAATTATTATTAGTTTACTTCACAACGCAATTTGATGATTTATTTTACTTGCAAAGCAATTTGATTTTTCCATTAATTTACAAACACATACTCCCTCCGTTTTTTTTTATAAATTTTCTAGGATTTTCACACATATTAAGAAAAAGCAGATTTTCAATCATTAGTGTATTGATTTTTGCGATAAAACAACTTTCTATAATTTTCAACCAATGAAAATCTAGCAAATACAATCATTGTTTCTTGAGAACTGAAAAAGTGTATCAAAAAAGTAGAAAATTTATCTTTGTGAAACAACAACTAATGTCGAGAAAATTCATCTTAAAAAAACGGAAGGAGTATAACATTTACCCTTCTGTAATGTCCCATTTTAATAATAAAATATAATATTTTCGTCAAAAAATCTCACATCTGGCATTCGTGGTCCCTTTCCCTTTCTTATTTAACATGTTGAATCTATTCAACTTACTTAATTATACTCCACATCTAATTCAACACCATTTTCAACACTTTCCCATTTCATGTTGAATCTATTCAACTTACTTAATTATACTCCACATCTAATTCAACACCATTTTCAACACTTTCCCATTAATGCAATGTAATAGTTTGAATTTCTTTTTAGCCTAAATTGGCAATGCAGTAATTAAAAATATATATTTTGACCAACAAAAGCAGAAATCAACTATATAAAGGATGCCCCCCATGAGCCATGAGACCACGAGAAACAAACCAACCTAATAATCAAATAAAAATCATTTCGTTTCCGACCACCAACAAAAATGGTTTTAGTGACATCAGAGCCAATTAAGAGCCAATCAAAGACAGTGTGCGTGATAGGAGCCGGACCATCAGGGTTAGTGTCGGCGAGAGAGCTAAGGAAAGAAGGACATAAGGTGGTGGTGATGGAGCAAAACGACGACATAGGAGGTCAATGGCTCTATCAACCAGAGGTGGAAGAAGAAGATCCATTGGGAAAAAACAAAACCCTAAAAGTACATAGCAGTGTTTACTCATCCTTGAGGTTGGCTTCGCCGAGAGAGGTAATGGGTTTCTCTGATTTCCCGTTCACGGCAAAGGAAGGAAGAGACGCGAGGAGATTTCCGGGTCATGAGGAGCTTTGGTTGTATCTTAAAGATTTTTGTGAAGTGTTTGGGTTAAGGGAGATGATTAGGTTTAATGTCAGGGTTGAGTTTGTGGGGATGGTGGATGATGACAAAGATGATGATGATAATACGAAGAGATGGATGGTGAAGAGTGTAGAGAAGGAGAGTGGTGAAGTTATGGAAGAAGTGTACGATGCTGTTGTCGTTGCCACTGGCCATTACTCTTATCCTAGATTGCCTTCGATAAAAGGTATGTTATATAAATTCACCCTTTTTTGTTTTTTGAAACAAAATTTATCTTTGCTTATATGTTATTATATTGTGTATGATTGATGGATATGCAACATTTACAATACTAGATAAAATAATATTGATAATATAAATGGATCATAAATCAATTTAGTACTATTCAAAAATTATATTTTAGATCCGAAAGATGCAAGTTAGAAGCCTAAGAATGGTTTTTGGTGTTTATAGGAATGGATTTATGGAAGAGGAAACAACTTCATAGCCATATCTACAGGGTTCCTGAGCCTTACCGTGATGAGGTAATAAGCAATTAGCAATTAATAAACTTGATGGTATAAATAATATGGAATATTGATGATGCGTGACGATGGTGTTATATAGGTGGTGGTGGTCGTTGGGTGCTCAATGAGTGGACAAGACATATCAATAGAGCTTGTGGGAGTGGCAAAGGAAGTTCATCTAAGTGGCAAATCACTTGACGTTCCTCCAGGCTTGACTAAAATCATTTCAAAACATCAAAACTTCCATCTTCACCCACAGGTACACTCTCACCATCACCATCACCATCACCATCACCATCACCATGTTTATTTTTTTCTAAAACAGTTGTTTAATTTCTTTCTAATGGTTTGTAGATTGAATCTCTAGAGGAAGATGGACGGGTCCTTTTCGAGGACGGATCTTGTATTGTAGCTGACACCATTCTCTACTGTACCGGGTAAGTTAAGTTTTGTTAATTCTAAAAAGTGTTGGTTAAGTTATTTCCTTTTTTCAGCATCATGATTTTTGTTTTGTCATCTAGTACTCTAGTATGATTATTTTAAATATAAATGGTTGGACTTGGACTCATATGTCGACGTGAGTGGACTAAAAATCTTGCCAAATCGCTTTCCACGACAACATCGTTTTCATATCCCTACTTCTTGGGACCGACAGATTCATTCAGTTTTTTTTGTAACATAGATTCATTCTATTTTTATGCCTTATAAGTTTTATGTCTGCGTTGTTTCGTATACTATAATGCATTTTTTTTATTAAAAACATTACAAAATGCGTGCAGGTATTCGTACAAACTTCCATTTCTTGAGAGTAAAGGAAGAGTAGAAATTGATGACAATAGAGTGGGCCCACTCTTCGAACACACTTTCTCTCCTACGCTTTCACCTTCTCTCTCCTTTGTCGGCATCCCTCGAAAGGTGAAATGATTTGGTTTAGTTTAAACCAAAAAGACTAATCATGATTAATCAATCTTCCGTTAACAGCAACATTAACTGAAACAACGGTTTAAACAGTTGATAGGGTTCCCATTCTTCGAAGCACAAGCGAAATGGATCGCAAAGCTTTTATCAGGCAAGACTTCTCTTCCTTCTTCCGACCAGATGATGCAATCCATCGCCGAGTTCTACCAATCCAGAGAAGCCGACGGTATCCCCAAACGTAACACTCACGACATCGCCGATTTCAACGTAAAAATTTCGCAGTTTCTCTTTGTTTTTTTTTTTCTTCATTTTCTTCCAAAGAAGATCCTTTTAGCTAAGAAAAAAAACTGTGTTTTATTTGTATATTTGCAGTATAGCGATAAGTACGCAGATTACATAGGGTTTCCACATCTGGAGGATTGGAGAAAGGAGCTGTGTATGTCAGCTTTATTGAATTCCCTGGAAAATCTTGAGACTTATCGCGACTCTTGGGACGACGATGATCTCCTTCAACAAACTCTTCAAGACCCTTACTTTACCCAACTCTCTCCTCCTAATTAAAAAAGCTTGTGACGCAAGACTCAACTCTTTTATGATTTAATAAACCTAAAAATCTCTGTGGTATATTATGTAATATGTAAACCTCTTTGAGTATCATCATCTATCTAGTTTTTACAAATTCAGAAAGCTAGACAAAAAAAGCTTCACTGATTTAGTGAGTTTTTAAGTATATCTCCTATATGGTGTGAGAGTTTGCTGCAGAAGACGAAATCATCTTCCTTCTTCTTCTTCTTCTTTAACAGCTTCTTGATTCCTCAAGAACCTGAAAAAAGGAACCTCGCAAGAAAAAGCTATGGAGTTTTGGTATTAGCAGAAGGAGTCCTGATGCCTCTACTTCGTTTTCTTAAGATTCCCCAATCAATTATCATATTCTCCATCAAGCTGCACTGAGTATCCTTCGTTTCAGAAACTTTGACTAGCCTTCCAATCTTGCTTAGATCCTGAGAAGCTTCGTTTCCTGTAAAAGTTCTTAGTCTCGGGTGAATCTCGTTGTAGTGATATTCGTGTTGTTGTCGTTTTCGCTTTCTCTGACTCCGTGGGGTCCTCTTGCGTTTAGGATGAACAGTGTTAGTAGAGACTGAAGTGTTTGTTTGGTAATCAGAGTGGAATCCAGTCGCTGACAATCCAAGTTCATTCTTTGAGTCTTCAACAACCAAAGAAGCGATCTTAGCGAACCAATGCAGAGGAGTGATACAGTCAGAGGTTTCGATGCTGGACTTTCTTCTCCCTGATTCTGATAATGACAAAGCTACTAGAGACTCTGCTGCTGCAGATTTTTCTTCTTGCTCCTCTTCCTCTGTAACAAGAAAGCTCCCTCTGGTCTTGGATTTGGTTCTTGCAATCTTTCTCATAACCTTGTCTGGTTCCTTTTGTGGTTTACCAAGTCTTTTCTTTCCTGGTTTGGTCAGATTTCTAGCAGATTTAGCCTCAGGCAGAGAACTTGCACTCCCTTTCCTCAGATGCTCTTGGCTGTGGTTACCATTCTTTGAGCCTCTTCGGGCTTTGCTGCGAGAAAGAGTTTGTTTCGGTTTTGCTTTCTTTCTAGAGCATGAGGAACGGTTGTGGAAGAGTGAAATGTGTTCCAAACATGGCAGCGCTAGAACTATAGATCGTGATGGCTCTGTTCCGAGCTTGCCTTGCAATGAAGCTGAAACAGACTCTCGTCGTTGCTCAGATTCTACCGTTTTGAGACTAGTAGTTACTTCTTCAGATTGAAGCCGAGACCTGTCCAAGTCGATTCCATTCTCTGAACAAAAGAGCAAAGCTGATCAATTCTCAAAGATCACATTACACAAATAAAATGTTACAAGAAAAAACATGATTATGTTACCATCTAGACACATTTCTCACCAGCTTGACTTTTTGTAGATATCAGTGGGTCCTGCATTTCTTGTTCTGCTCTTTCATAATCACTCTCATCTCCAAGAAACTCAGCTTCATCGATCTCGGCAGGCTCGTCTCCCTCTGGTGGCAAAACGCTAGTCATGGATATGGCAACGCTTGAATTTTTAACCAGTGAATGCTTCTTCCTGGACTAGAGACCCCAGCATTAAGTAACAAATCTCGATGTTGTTGAGTATATACGTTGTTGGTTACCTCCATTTCCATCATGAGCTCCTTCTGCCTTTGGTAAAGACGATGAAGCTCGTGGATCTGAATAAACAGGATACAACTGAGATGAAAACATCTACTAGTGAAATAATTCACAGCTTACCTGATCTTCAGAGACAGATTCTTGCTCAAGCATGGTCTGTTTCAGTGTTTCCTTGAACTGCCTCAGGTAAAGATGACAATACAGTAAAGATAACGTCTCGTCCGCACCGCCGTATCTGTTGGTTAAGACTGTATGAATATCCTCAACAGGACACAAACTCCACAAACTATCCTCCTACATTTCGATTTGTTCAATACCGGGGAGAGAGATTGTAAAACCTGGAGTAGCAAGAAGAGAGGAGGGTTGCGTCAAAAACACTATTACCAAAATTGATTGGCGTCTTTACTTAGAAACACAAGAATCTCTTCCATTGTAACAATGAATTTACTGTATAACGAAACCTGTGGAAATTGACTTTGTGTATATTATAAGCAACAAAATTATAAGACTGTTCAGATCCCAAAATGTCTTAGGAACAGGACTTTGCAAGTAATGCACAACATTGTAAACTTAATCTACTCAGAAACATCAAATTGATGCAGATTCTTATCGATTCAGAGATTTAACATGGAGGAAGAACATGAGGAAATTGCAGAGAGCTCGAAAACGAGAATTTACCAATGATCCATGACTTGTAAGAGGAAATAACAAGTATAAATCTGCGAGAGCAGAAACTCGGAGACGATATTCGAGCAGGATGAATCAAAATAGATAGTAGATTTCTCCAACATTGGTGAATTCTTACTTTTTAGAAGCGAAGAATTTCAGCTCGAAAGACGAATCCGAGGAATTTCTGAGATGCGAATTCAGCTTCTCTGCTCAAAAAGCTGAGGAAACCGACAAGATCAACGCGATAAAGTGGGGAATTTCTCAAGTTAAAATTGATTCCGGTGAACGATAAGAAATGCGTACTCGAGATCTGTTTAAGCTGAGAGGGAGAGAATTTTCCGAGAAAACTTAAAGAAGAAGCGAAGCAAATGGGAGTTGAGATACTTGAGGAAAAGGTTCCTCTTCCGTACTTTTGATTCGTCTTTTTTTTTTTTTTTTTTTTTTTGTAGTTCGTTTATATTTATTTACTTCTTCGAAGTTCGAACACCAGTCTTTTCGTCGCCGTCTTCTTCAGAAACAAAGTCGCTTCACTTGTACATAGTTTCTAGAAACATTGCGAAAAACACTTCGATATAGTAGCTAGAAAATGAACATTAAACTTCATATAATTTGGTGTTATTAATTACATATTTTTCGTGAATTTTATTTTCTTGCAATTCAGAATTTCAGACGCAAGAATAAATGGCAACAATCGGAAGTAACAAGAAACAGTAACATCTGAGGTAGTCGTCATCGTCATTGTCATCGTCATGCTAAAATACAGGCATAGCTTCTGTCTCTCTACTACTCCTCTGCGACGACAACACCGATCTCGCCTCTCTCAAGCAAATCGTAAAAAGCTCTCGTCTTCCTCTGCTCGTTCCAGTGATGCATCTTCCATAGCCCACCAGCCGCTAGCCCCAATGCGAGACCAATAACAAGCTCCTTCACAACGCTTGGGCCTTTCAAGGTTGCGTGTGCTATCTTGTGCCCAGCCATTCTCTTCCACACTCTCCTGCTCACTAAGCCAAAACAAACAATGAATACCTAAAGAATCAAACATAAAAATTGTCTACATTAACAAAGCAAGACAGAGAACATATAATATAGTATTGATAATAGAGAGCTTATGTGGATCAGTCAAGGAGGTCTTTGATCAGTGCAGGAACTATGAGGGCAGCTAAAATGATGATAAGAACAAGTACGAGGAGACTAATGCTATGTAGGGAGAATTCTAGATTGGCAATCAAAAGTAGAAAGCAACCCCACGCCTTTATAATCGACCCATCAGATTGCATAAATCAATCAGGTTCAATGTTGGAGAGGTTGCGACGCCACAAATGCCATAGCTCAAGGCATGGACAAAGGCCCTCTCCGATTAGGTTCGTCTCCTCGAAAACTAAATCAAACCATCAAAAGCCACCACATTTTACTCATAACCTACTCAGACCTTTTACTTTATCATTCCATCATCTCCACCACTAGCAGTGTCACAAACACAAAACCGAGCACATTCTAAAAAGCTAACACAAGTTTCAAGTGAGAAACTTTCGAAATCTAAGGCAACATGGGAAGAGAAAGGAGTCGACAAAGTTTACGGAATCCGATTTTTCAGGATGAGAAACGACTATACAGATGCAATCAAAACAAAATCACGGAGACATTGTGGGCATATACGGAAGAGAAAACAGTTTAGTTTTGAAAATTACCGCCGGAAATTGTTATATCAGATTGTGATTAGTTACAGCACGAAGAATCACAGAGAAAACTGTTTAGCAAAGCTGAGAAAATGGAATCAAAGCAAAGTGGGATGTGCTTTATAGGTCCTAAATCACTAGGGCTTCAGGAAATTAGAACTGCGAAACGACAGCGTTCCACTAATGGGCCTTTCTGCCTCCAGTTGACAAATTCAGAAATACTCAGATTTTGGGTTTAATGAAAGTACGTAAATAACGCAGGAATAGAAATGGTTCATTGACAACAACAACAACAACAACAAAAGTTTGGAATTTGGATTCAGTTTTTCATGACAAATCATGATTATGAGTATTTTGTAATCTCAATTTATTAGCTAGTTACTCTTGATAATTGCTACAAAAGTAAGTTGTTCAGAAAATTAGATGATGTTCAGAGTTTGAGTTTCCAAAATTTTGTTACTTCAGCTGACCAAATTTGGTTACTTCAACTAGGATTTTTCATGATTTTTCGTTAATATTTACACACAAAAACACAATACTTTGCTAAACAAAGTGCATCAAACTAGTAGTCTTTTCTAAAATACTAAAACTGAAAACCAACGACAAATCCAACTAAGAAAATGAAAACTACTAATTAAGCCTTGGCATTGACAATCTATCTTCTTCTAGGCACAGCAAGAGCCTTAAGCGGATGCTTCATGACGACAGTGAACTCCATCTTCTCACTCAAATCAACTTCATCACCTTCAACCTCCTTCCACTCAAACTCCTTCACCATATTCGCCACATAGTACTCCAAATGCAACATCGCCAATCCAATCCCTGGGCAAATCCTCCTCCCAGCTCCAAACGGAATCATCTTTATCCCTCTGCTTCCGGTTATATCCACCGCCGCTTCTCCTCCTTCTCCCACAAATCTCTCCTGCTTAAACTCCATCGGCTCCTCCCACACCTCCGGATCTCTCCCAATCTCCGCCACATTGAAATTGATCGTCCCTTTCTTCGGCACTTTGAATCCTCCCAATTCCGCGTCTTCACTTACACTGTGCGGTAACAGTAAATGTCCCGGAGGATGTCGCCGGAGACCTTCCAACACCACCGCTTTCAGATACGGCATCTTCTTCATCTCCTCTTCCTCGATCTCCCCTTCTTCTTCCCCGATCACGCTTTTGATCTCATCGTATAACCGCTCCTGGATTTCTGGATTTTTCACCAGATTCGCCATGATCCATTCAAGCGCCGTCGCCGTTGTATCAGTCCCGGCGTTTAGAAATTCCGAGCATAAGCTCACGATCTCGTTCTCGTTCAGTTTCCTCTTCTCCTCCGGAAGCTCGAGATCGATCAGAGTATCGACGTACGATTGCACGTAACCTTTCCTCTCCGATTCGACGATCTTTCTCCGGGAACGAATTAGCGGAAGCAAGACCTCCGATTGCTCTCTCCGCATCTGGAGAAACTCGTCCCATCTCTTCCGGAGAAAGAATTTGGTGAAATTGGGGAAGAAATTGAGGATGCTGAATCTGGGGAAACTGAGAAGCTCTCTTCGTTGAACGAATTCGACCTGCTTGATCTGTTCTTCGTCGAGCTTATCTCCGAAACACATTAGAACGAGGAGCGAGAACATTGCGTAGCGGAGATGATCGACCACGACGACGACGATCGGCTCTTCTCCTCCGTTACGGAACCGATCGAGTAAGGTATCGAGAACCCAGCGACGAGCGTGGGAGTAAGATCTCACGCGCGACGGGTGAAGAATCTCGGATGTGAGATTGCGGCGGAGAATGCGCCACGTGGCGCCGTAAGATCCCGAGCTGATGGTGTGTTGGTTACTGGTGATGATCTTGCTGGTTGGAATCGCCGGGGGACGATCGGAGAAGACGGCGCCGTTTAGAACGAGAGCCTTGTGAGCGAGAAAGCGGTCAGAGACGAAGATTGAGGGGAGGAAACTGATGCGGATGGAGACGATAGGGCCGAGACGGTGGTGTGCGGTGCGGAGGAAGGAGCGGAGACCGCCGAAGCCTTGAGTGAGCCAGCGGAAGGGACCGAGGAAGGGGAAGAGGTTGGGGTCAGGAGGTAGAGGAAGAGAGGAGGAGTTACGGCGGAGTAAGAGATGGAGAAAGAGACTGAGTGTGAGAGAGACGAAGACGATGAGAAACCATGTCGCCATTGTTTGTTTTCTTGGACTCTCTCTGTTTTTTTTTCTGTTAATCTGTTTAGTTTTTCTTTCTTCTCGAACTCGAGTGATATTGGCGATACACACGTGTGTTCCCTCTTCTTCAGGTTTTTGTTAGCGTGACGCTCAAGGAAATAATATTTTTTGGAGGGCAGATAAATCTATGTTTTCGAAATAATTCGAAAAACTGAAAATATATCCGATTTGTTAGGTTCTTGGGCGCTACGTCTAGCTCGAGGAGAAAGTCATCCGATCTCTTAACTACGTTTAGCTATATTCCAAACAGCACAACACTCATGATCTTTTGTGACATCATGGAGTTGATGAGTCTTGTGAAAAAAAAAATCTCTGTTTCTCTTTTTTCTTTTAATAAACCCTTTAAAAATCCAATCAGATCATTGGCTATTAATCGAAATTTGGGTTAACATCCCTGTGTTATTTGAGAATTTCATAAGTAACGGTGTCTGTAGATAAAATGAGTTTTTCGGTTCGAACTTTGAATAATACAAACACTCCACACAAAAAGTAGGCAAACTATTCTCTGCGTTTCAAAATTGCGGTTTGATCAAATACTATGCTTCAGACGGAACGTTTCTGGTCTTGAGACCGAAGAGATTCTTGAGCAAATCAGCAGTGTTTGGAGGAATCCTAACAGGTCGTGGAGCCATGAAGTTGACCATCTTCTCATGAACATTATACCTGTTTCGTTTTTTTACACGATGATTTTTTAAAAATAGAATTGCGCTTGATAAATCCAATCCAGCGAGATGAAACGTTTTATTTACCTGATCTTTCTGCACTCAGAGGCACGCCGATCCACAAGTCTACTCTTCTTCGTCTGAAATTTCTTCATCACATAGAAAGCCGCCTCGGCAATATACCAAAACTGAGAATTCAGAAAACCATGAAACCAGAAGAATCGCTAGGCATTTCATATCTAACAGATGTTTTTTTTCAACTATACCAGAGGAAGCTGGATCGATGGTCTCAAGGAACTCCTTTAGCAACTGCTGGTATAATTCAGCATCCTCCACAAGTTCAGGATCTCCTTCTACTTGTTTCTCCTGAACAAAGAGAGTACACCTTAAGGACGATCAATGAGACAGGTAAAATGATTTTGATACTCTTGATTTGGCTAGAGAAAAACGTGACAATACTTCTTGATTTGGTTCCATGGCTTCCTTGGGCACCTGTGGATCGAAATTTAAAGATGAGAACAAATTGATGTATCAAGCACTAATGCAAAAATCTTGGATGGTTTTTATTATGAGAGACAAAAACTTACAGTTCCAAAAACAGCAACAGTAGACCTTGATTGCTGCATTTGTTTAATCATTCTACTTGGATCCCTCATGTAAGAAGCAACCTGTTCGCTCACGTTCTGGTTAAAGGCGTGGAGCTTTCCTTTAATAGCAGCTGCACCAGTTGTGACTTGTGTTCTCCTCTGCCATTTGTCCACAGCCTTGTTTCGGAACACAGACATTCTACATAGCAAAACACCAATTTGCGTCACTAATGATAATGAAACAAAGGTAATGAGATTGGTCTCCAGATGATGTTGTACAGTAGTTCGTCTCAAATACCTTTTTTGCAAGTCAGATATTCGCTGCCATTCATCGCTATCTTCTGCATCTGATTTACTGGATTCTGAACCCACTGAAGTAGCTGTTCCTGACAGGCGATAGAAAGAAAAAAGAGAATATGTAAGATTGACCCTCGCTTATGCTAAATAACAACTATGATCTATTAGTCTTTTTATGTCATGTGTTGTACCATTTACTTGTTGATCAACTGAGGGATTCTTCTCGAGCAAAGCCTGCAAATATCAATAATATGGATAAAAGAGTAAGCAGAGGTGACAGAGAAGAGAGACAACATAGTCAGAGACGGCAGGTGTACAGTTACTGAATTCAAGAGGAAATAGACAAAGGATGTTAGCCTATCTTCGAATACATACCTCTTGCAACTCCAAGAGGGAATCTAGTGTCTTCTTAGAAGAAGTAATTAGATCTGTATATGCTGTTGAGACCTTCTCATCTTCCGAACAAAAACACGATTTAACAGCCTCCTGTAAATCATTTCCTTCTGTCATTAACATGATAACACAAACAACGATGAAGGTGAAGAAAGAGGAGAAGACGAATAGTTTACCTGCGGCAATCTGTTAGAACTACTAAATGATTTCTGAAGTAAGAATCTGAGCTCCAGAGTCCTATCCCAAAGAACCTTCACATGATGCAACAAAATATATAATTGTCATAAACATAAATTCTCTTTAGATTAACTTCTGTAATCGCTCTACTAAGTTTAAATGAAACATCGTAGAGAACAAGGTCATACCTTCTGGTTCTTCACTGCTTGGCCTTTAGCTGCACCCTCACCCTTATCACGCTTCAAGTTCTTCAATATATCCCTACACGAGCAACAAGCACATTACACAAAAGAACAAACATCTTTAGCTCTCAATCGCTCATTGTCTGTTGTTTGCCTTTCCACAGGTCATGAATTAATCCAAGCTACTCCTAAATTCCAGTTTCACCATGATGGAAACAAAAAACTGACAACGAAAATGAAAAAGAAAACTTACTGTTCTTGTGAACGGAGCTCAACATATTCTTTTTCAAGCTCTTCCATCTCGGCATCTTTATTGCCTTCGTTATCTTCATCGCCACTCTTACTCTCTTCGTCATTTCCATCTTCAAATCCATCGCTTTCTCCGTCCTTCTCTTCCTTGTTATCTCCTTCATCATCATCTTTCTCGCTATCTCCTTCTCCTTCTTCGTCTTCATCACTCTCTCCCTCGTCATCATCATCTTCCATGCTATCTCCTTCGTCATCCTCTATCCCATCAGGAAATTTATCATCTTCAATCTCGCCTTCCACCTACAATAGAATCCTCAAACAAAATTAATTCACCTACACAGACATCTCAATAACTTAAGCCAGCCAAAAGCAACACTAAATATACCTGAAGGTTCTCTTCGTCGCTTATGTCTTCTGATTCACTATCATCAAGTCTTGCTCTTTTAGACCTCTTTGATCCCCCAGCCATTTTAAACACTCTTTAATGCTACAATAACCAAAAAAAAACTAAATCAAATGAGGAAGCAGAAACTATTGAAACAAACAATAAAAGGATCAAAGATGAGGCAATGACGAATTTGAGAAAGTTGGATTCCTGGGTAGCTCAAAACATTACGGCTTCACATAATTCATACCATAAATATTTCGGAATTACAAATTCTGTTTGTCAAAACATCAAATTTAATAGAACTGGACCTTAATCGTGAACTTAATGTATTGAAGCAATCTCATCCGAAACAATCAGACGAATGATTCTTATTTGAAACAAGTAAGTAATCAGAGCAAAAATAGATTAAACAGTAAGAAAAATATGAATTGAAAAGCAAAGGAAACTAACTTGCAAACGGTGAAGAATTTGGTTCCGAATCGTGAAAACTGAGAATCGTCGACTTTCAGAGCTATCTACGACCACGAAGGAGAAGTTGGGGAAGAGACTGAGCTACGAACAAATTAGAAACCCTAGAGCAGATTTCACTAAACCCACGAACCGGTCAGTTTAACCAGTTAACCACCTTGAAAATCGGTTTACAGGGCTTTTTAATTTTTGTAAGGAAATTAAAGGCCGGTTTGCAGGTTTTAACTGGGCCTTTTTAATATGAAAGTCTTAACTGGGCCTTGAATTGGTTTACCGTTTACGTTAGTTTTTTTTTTTCATTTTTAAACCATTCAAAATTTTAGAAAAGTAGTTTAGATTTAGAAGTTGTAGAAAATTCAAAAGGATACAAAGTTCATTTTTTCTCCATTAGAAGAAATTTAGATGACATTAATTAAATGTTGTATGAAAGATGATTTTGCTTTCACATGTTCTCAAATAGAGAGATTAGTGATAAAGACCACCCACTAGTCATTTTTGTTCTTTTTAGTGCAAACTGTATTATTAACAAATAAATAACAAATGTATTTTTAGAATTTAGTTCAAAGGAAAAAACAAAAACTTCAATTGCTTTCGCCTCTGTCTGTTTCATGATAACCGTGACTGATCTTTTTCTATATTCGTAATGAAAGATTGTGCTTGAACTTATCTATACTCAAAGACAAGGACTCTTCTTATAAATGTTAATTTTGGTCAACATCTCCATTAACTTAAAGGAAGTATTGCTTATGGATACATAAATATATAATGTCGGCAATCAAATTCTACTGTAGGATTAACCAAATGTGAATTCCAAGATTGGCATTTAATTATAATTTCTGGTGTATGACTTTACATGGTGAAAGATAAGTAAAAAAAGGAAAAAAGAAACTAAAATAAACAAAAGCAGAATAAGAAGAAAAAGAATTTTGAAGATCCTGTGATTGTTCTCTTACTGTTTGCCTTTGCTCTTCTTTGAAGTGAAAGCTACTTGAGAGACTAACCTTAAAGAATCAATCATCTGGTAAAAAAGTTTATCACTGTATTCTTTTTTCCAATAATTACATGAACTAAAAAACAAAAACTCACAAGACTTCTTGGAAACACTTTGGTCCTTTGATACATATCTTTGTGTTCTCTGTTTCGCTGATTTGGATCTTGATCGAGTACTCTTCTTCTCTACATATCTTTTGATCCTCTTCGCTCTTGATGCAGCTTTGGTAAAAGAGGAAGTTGACTATGGTGTCAAGAACCAAGAAGAGAGCGTATAAGTAAGCTATGAAGGTTCCTTCAAGAGCAATGGAGGTGATGTCTCTGTCTCCTTTGTAATAAGACCTAACTACTCTGTACTGAAACAAGGCTTCGACGCCTGCTAAGCAGAGATTCGTAGGCAGAGCAAGAGCCAATGCTGTTGAAGTTCTTCCTCGAATAAGAAGACACGCGTTGAGAATCGTTGTGTATCCTCCTGAGGAAGAGGAAGCTGATGAAATCAAGGCTAGATTGGAGATGACGAAGGCGTTGGCGAGGATAATCGAGTAGACAATCGCTGAGGATAAGGAGAAGAGAGTGTAGAAGTTTCTTGAAGAGAATCCAAAAGATTCAAGAAAATTGTATGCTAAGAAAAACAGAGCAAAAGCAGAGGCGTTTGCAGAGATGAGCAAGAAGAAGTTGCAAATGTAAGTTCTGAGGAGACGAAAGTAATAAACAGAGGAGTCTTCTGATGGATTGTTTGATAGAAGTTTGATGACGTAGGCTTTGGAGAAGAGGAGGAAAGTGAGGGAGAAAGGAAGAGTGAATAAAGAGGAAGATAGGGTTTGTGAGAGTTTAAGGCTTAAGATGTTGAAGAAATCGAGAGAAGATGAGAAACCAGCTCCACGAAAGAGCGTGTTAAGCCTCGAGTGGAGCAAGGATGAGGAGGAGGAGGAGAAGAAGGGCTGAGAGAGGAGGAGAGCGGCGGAGAAAGGGAGGACGACGGTGGCTGCGGTGGTGGCTCGGTGGTAGTTTTGGAGGAAAGTATGGATTGATCTTCTCATGATCTTGCTCGGTTCCTCCATTGTCTTCTTCATTCTAATTTTGGTTTCTTTTCTCTGAAGAAATTGAATATATGTGTTTCTTGAATGATCCACCAAATCTTGAAAGGAGTTTCTCAACGAAGGTCTCCTTTATATATGTATATAAATATGTAATGATTTTATATTATATAATTTTTTGGGGGAAAATTAATTGTGGGTTGGGTGTTGGAGAAGGGAATAGAGATAGGCCAACCGATTTTGCCTGAAGATGAGGAGTTGTTTAGACAAATTAATCAACTTAAAACTTTCTTTTTCTTGTAAAGCAATAATAAAGAAAAAAGAGCAATGCTTTTTTGCATGGAAGTTATTTTTCTTGTGAGTAGAATACCATTATAAAGTTAACACGACGTTTTCTTGTTAGGTTTAATTGGGTATAATGTAGATTTGTTTCTTAGGTAATGTTGTTGGGAGAAATAAATTTTAAGTTATGGGTTTGGTTTTGTTACATACTTCTTGAAAAAGTCATTTGCTTGTGTGATATGCTTAGTGCTTTAATTGGATTTGGATGTTTACAATACACTCCATTGCATAAATCCATACATTATACTATGTACACATATGTCTGTGTGTGTGTGTTGAGTAGATATATAATAAATTGTGGGAGAGTGAGTCTGTGTATTAATATTCAATTGAGAGCTTAATAATTATAGTTTTGAGGAAACTGGAAGGCTTAGCTTTCAAGAAATTCAATAATGATAAGAGCTTAAAAGAGTAAAGTAATTTTTAAAATAAGCAAATTAAAATTGTAAAAAACGGTGCTGGTTTTATGCTTTTTTCATAATGCAAACAGCTTCAAATGATTTTTGAGTGAGAAATTTCCAAACTTTTCGAACTTTGTCTTGAGGTGACTTAATCATGTGTGTTACCAAACCTACTAAATTTAGCTTTAGTGAAAAGCAAGAATGTTTACAAAGTCTAACCTATATATCATTTGACCTATTATCATAAATATTAACTATAAAATAACTTTCTTTTATCTACATTTATACTAATTGACAATCGTGTTCTTGTAACTATTCAATAACACGAAGCATAACCTTTTAATCAGTTTTAAAATAATCATGAGAAAAGTATTCAATAGAAGTGAGAAATTATCAAACTTTGTCCAACCTGTGGCATGCATTTGGTGCGCAGTCTTATTGACTTGGACCTGGTGGTTAGGGAGTTCTCCATTTTTGTTTGAATTGTTTTTCTTATATATAGTTTTATATATTATATTTATATCGTTTCAACATTGTCTATTTATTAATGGCATATTGTTATAGTTTAGGCGTGATCCATCATTATTGAGTTCCATTAGAAGAAGTAACTAAACGAGAAACTACACATGAAAATTTGCAAATTTATTATTTTCATGTATATTCTGTTGAAGGGTTTAACGTTTACCAGGTAACACATTCACTTGCTTTCATGTATAAAATTAAATATACATATGTAGTCTATGGAGAAAGAAAACTCAAACTAATTGATAATTAGCTCTATTAATAATCAAAGGCATCAATTAAATCGTTTTTGATATGTTTTGTCTACAACGCTATATGAATTCTGTAATGGTAAAAAGGTATAATTCCAGCAATAATTGTTTTTGTCGTCGACTATAACAACTGTACTATTATATATTTTATCACTGCTGCTATTTTTAAAAATTTATATATAACAAGATTCTATTATGAGTATTTAAATCTATTTTTGATGAATTTTTTCAGTTAGTAACGTCAAGTATCTATTAGGATGAACCTAGGTCTCAAAATATATGGAGAAGTTAGACATCACAATCAATTCATTTTAATATTTATGTTCAGTTAAAAAATAGTATTGATTAATATGGTCAAATCTCACAGAAAGGGTTGTGGTGTTGCTGTTGATGTTGCTGTGTTTAGTACAACCGACCATCTAACAACACTATGGTTAGGTGATTAACCAATATGAACCCTTCTCGTTTACATGCCTCTTTCCTACTCTGCCGATTCAACTATGCTATTAATTATTATCTTATTATTTTTTTGGCTATTGTTCTAATTCACTCATATAGTTTAATTGCTTTCCCGACTGTAGTCTAAGCAAATGAACTAGAGTATAACAGATACTTAGTAGTGCTTTATTCGATCAGTAAGTTTACATACTTTTTATAGCCAAATCAAAACTTAAAGATGAACATGAATCCTATCAAATTTGTTTGCGTCATAGAGGAAACATACTTCCAGAAACTGACCTTGGTAATTGGTATGGTGGGATTAGAAGGACCTCCCAAAACTAGAATGGACAATATGCTATCACCAATCTAAGGTCAACGTACGTTTTCGCATACCTTTGTTATATATTTGTTCCTTTTCCATTTGTTTTCTTAAATGGAGATTGTATTTATCTAGAGTTTGAAAACGTCTGTAAATATTTATTTTATAAGAAAAAGATGAAAAAAAACTAATACTCCTACTATTTTAGCGTTTAAAACCAAACGAATATATGAAACATTTATTGTACCATTAGAGATATCGATGAAATTTAGAAATGTCTTAAGATATAATTGGTTTTTTTCTATATAATCACTCACCATCACCATTATATTTTGAAAAACAAAGAACTCGTCAATCATTGTTCAACATGATTTTGGATAGTGTTGTTTTATCAACCGATCCAGACTAGTGTGACATCTAGTCTACCTAATCAATTATGCATTTGTATATGAGATACATATCAATTAGAATCAAAGATAAAAGTAGGGTACAAAATTAGCATTAGTAGAATACCCGTTACTTGCTTGAATGTTTCATTGAGTGATGTAGATTATTGTGTTTAAAGAAAAAAAAAAGATGTAGATTATATATATTTCTTTGATGTATAACCGTATGAAATCATTAAATCGAGTGTTGGTAGATATTAACAAATAAAGTTACCTCAACTCGAATTATTTATTTAAATAACTAGTTTTTGTTAACACGAGTAGTTATTTATATAACTCGAATGATTAAAATTGTACAAAAATCATGTGCAACTACGGCTGGATAATTTACAATTCTGATCTGTAAAGCAGTGGCGAAGAAATAAACCTATATCCATATGGGTTATTGTATAATTAGATCTTAGAGTTTATCCAAAGTTTAGTTGACTTAGAAACATACTATAAGATGAACAAGTCGTAGTTCAACAGAAATATAATCATATTAATTATCGAATTATAGGTGACAAACAAACACTACTTGACAAAATAATACTGCATGGTTGGTATAAAACTATATTAAATATGTAATTATGCACCCAATTTAAATACTAGTTATAATGAATCCGACCCTTTAAATTTTTAAGATGAAGCTCGTTTGCTTAAACTTTAGTATGTGTAGTGAAAATAATTTTGTTTAGTATAAAGTATAAACAATATATCTATTAATCCTTTTGTTTTCTATCTTATTCCAGAAACACTCTGTGGGGGAATTGGAAATGAGGAGTGTAGTAATACTGTCAAGTGTCAACTACATTGGACAAAATTCCGCAATCAAAATTTATTCGAGAACCCATGAAAAAGTAGTTTTTTTTAAACATGGAAAAATAAAATACGTCAAGAACATTGTGGTTGGCCCAAAAAAAGCTATGGTTCAGAATACTGTATATGCTTTAAGGGAAAATGATTTCTTCTAATATGAATCCGGCAGTCCAGAATAATATTTTCAGATTATAAATATGTTGGGCTTACTTTGATTAAAAACATGGAACCATTGATATGGGCTAATATGGTTATCATGTAGTAATTTCAATGGACCATCCTCCAAAATTAATGCGTGTGAGTGTGTGACATTCCAAAAATTCAAATGGGCGTTGAAATATAATGCAGATAAAGATATTCGATTTTGAGGGTCACACAGAATGTCGTTTTGACTTTTGAGGGTCACCAACACTTTCTCTGCACAATATAAAACTACTGAAACAAATTTGTCAAAAATGTTTATAGTCTAAAGTCTAAACTGATAAGATTCATAAGAATATAAAATCAAATATCTGAAACTGATTTCGTAAATATGATCCAAACTTAAACCGTGAAAGAGCTAAACATGGCTTTCACTAATTTAGAACAAAAACTAATACTATTACTTAAACACTGGAGAACTTTTAGTTATCGTTTATGGAGCGGATAAGAGTTTGAAACTTTGTTTATAACTGCCTACCGATTTGGTTTCTTCAGGTTTTGTCGTAATAGTAAACTCAAAAAGACTTATCCCAGAAAACAATTTAAGCTTTTTGAGTTTTGACTAAACTTTCTCTAATTAACAAAAAAAGCCAATTACATACACTTTTGCACGTTGCTCACTTACGTGCTTCCAACGAAACAAAAACATTATACTTTCAAAAAGATTCAAATAAATTAAAACCGAAAACAAAATTATATCGTCTCTCCGGCGGCAAAGATTTCATTAATTTCGTTTAAAATTTTAAACCATTCGTTTTTATTTCTCTTTTATGCTAAACCTCTCATTCTCTCCTCCACCATCACCACCATCAAATCTCACCGGAAACAATGGGAGGAGATTTACGTCATTTCATCTCCCACGTTTCCCTCCTCCTCCTCTTTCTTTCCCTCCTCGCCGTCAAAACCAATTCCTCTTTTACCCCTTCCGATAATTACCTCATCGATTGCGGCTCCTCCTCCGAAACAAAACTCCCCGACGGCCGGAATTTCAAATCCGATCAACAATCCGTCTCTTTCCTCCAAACCGACGAAGACATCAAAACCTCCGTCGACTCAATCCCAGTCTCCGATCCCCTCCCCTTATACCTAAGCGCCAGAATCTTCGCCGGAAAATCAACTTACTCCTTCTACATTTCCCGACCCGGCCGCCACTGGATCCGCCTCCATTTCTACCCTCTCCCTCACCCTCTCCACAACCTCACCGACTCCGTCTTCTCCGTCACCACCGAAACCACCGTCCTCTTACACGATTTCTCCCCCAGAGACTCTTCCTCAATCGTCTTCAAGGAATACATAATCTACGCCTCCGAGAAACTCTCTCTCTATTTCAAACCCCACAAAGGCTCAATCGCATTCATCAACGCCGTCGAGATCGTCTCCGTCCCCGACGAGCTTCTCCCCGATTCGGCTTCCTCTGTTCCTCAAGCTCCCGATTTCAAGGGATTAGGCAGCTTCTCTCTCCAAATCACCCACCGGTTAAACATCGGCGGCGATTTAATTTCCCCCAAAATCGATCCCCTCTCTCGCACTTGGCTCTCCGATAAACCCTACAATTCCTTCCCGGACGGATCTCGAAACGTCACCGTCGACCCCAAAACCATCACTTACCCGGAAGGCGGAGCCACGAGGCTGATCGCTCCACATCCGGTTTACTCCACGGCGGCGGAGATGGCCGATGCGCAAACCACGGAGCCTAATTTCAATCTCTCGTGGAGGATGAGCGTTGACTCCGGTCACGATTACTTCATCAGGCTTCATTTCTGCGACATTGTGAGCAAATCGCTCAACGAGCTCGTCTTCAACGTCTTCATCAACAAGCTCTCTGCAATCTCCGGACTCGACCTCTCCGCCAAAACCAACGCTTTAGGCACAGCTTATTACACCGATTTCGTGCTCAACGCCTCCGCGATAACCAACGGTTCGATCTTGGTTCAAGTCGGTCCGACTCCGAATCTTCATTCGGCTAAACCGAATGCGATTCTCAACGGTTTAGAGATCATGAAGCTGAACAACGCAGCCGGAAGTTTAGACGGACTCTTCGGCGTCGACGGGAGATACAAAGGGCCTAGCGGCGGGATGTCGTCGAAGAAGCTTGCGATTGCCGGTATCGGATTCGTCATGGGTCTAACCGCTTTTTTCGGGGTTGTCGTCTTGCTTGTGAGATGGCAGAGACGACCTAAAGACTGGCAGAAACAGAACAGTTTCTCGTCGTGGTTGCTTCCTTTGCACGCAAGTCACTCGAGCTACATCTCTAGCAAAGGAGGCTCGTCGACGTCGAGGCGGATGAGTATTTTCGGGTCGAGGAAGAGCAAGAGCAACGGTTTCTCTAGCTTCTTCTCGAACCAAGGGTTAGGCCGGTATTTCCCGTTCACCGAGTTGCAGATCGCGACGCAGAATTTCGACGAGAAGTCTGTGATCGGAGTCGGAGGATTCGGGAAAGTGTATATCGGGGAAATCGACGGTGGGACGCAAGTGGCGATCAAAAGAGGGAGTCAGAGTTCGGAGCAAGGCATCAACGAGTTTCAGACGGAGATTCAGATGCTGTCCAAGCTCAGACACAGGCATTTGGTTTCTCTGATCGGATTCTGCGACGAGAACAAAGAGATGATTCTCGTCTACGAGTTCATGTCAAACGGTCCTTTACGTGACCATTTATACGGCTCTAAAGAAAACGACCCTAACCCTATACCTACCTTGTCCTGGAAGCAACGTCTAGAGATCTGCATCGGATCGGCTCGTGGGCTACACTATCTCCACACGGGTGCAGCGCAAGGGATCATTCACCGTGACGTCAAAACCACCAACATTCTCTTGGACGAGAACTTGCTCGCTAAAGTCTCCGACTTTGGACTTTCCAAAGATGCCCCTATGGAGCAAGGGCATGTGAGTACTGCGGTGAAGGGTAGTTTCGGGTATTTAGATCCCGAGTACTTCCGGAGACAGCAGCTGACTGATAAATCCGATGTTTACTCGTTCGGTGTGGTGTTATTCGAGGTTTTATGTGCGAGGCCAGTGATAAACCCACAGTTACCTAGAGAGCAAGTTAACTTAGCGGAATACGCTATGAATTTGCATAGGAAAGGTAATTTGGAGAAAATTATTGACCCTAAAATTGTGGGGACGATTAGTAAAGGATCGTTGAGGAAATTCGTGGAGGCTGCGGAGAAATGTTTGGCCGAGTATGGTGTTGATAGGCCTGGAATGGGAGATGTGTTGTGGAATCTTGAGTATGCTTTGCAGCTTCAGGAAGCGTCTGCTCAAGCTGATTTGTCGGAGGATAAGACTACAATGAACATTCAAATGGAATTTTCCGGCGAGGAAATGCAGACTCAGACTCCGCCGCGTCCGTTGCCGTGACATTGGCAGTTTCCGATGTGAAAACTTTGTTTTTTTTCTTTGTTCTTATATTTTTTAGTTTGGCTTTCAGAAAGATGTAGGATTCAAGAAAGCCTTTGACATTTTTTTTTATCTTTCTTAATTGCAGTTCCAGTTTATTTCTTTCCTTATTTGAGTGATCTTTTACAAAAGACATTGGGTTGTCTTGTAGATTCTCTTGTGTATACTTTGAGTTCGATTTTTCATTCTGAGAAATCTTTGTTTGATGATAATGAACTTGGTTTCTTCTTCCCACCAAAATACATTTTTACATACTGTATGAAAATGTGATAGTCAAAAGTATTAGCAAGACACGGAAAAAACTATACTAGAAAAATACAAAGACGTAAAAGATTTGATAGTGCGACATTTATGTGGAAGATTACGTTGTGTGCACGAATGGTAAAACGAAAATAGTAAACAAAAGTAACCAAGCAACGAACCAATCAACGAACGCAGACTCGTGTGCCGATGTTTGAAACTGTGAGTTTCAGGCTCCATCGTTCCTTACTGTGGAGCAAACCCTAGCCACAAAAATTCCCCTTGGATCGAACAGAAATGGTGGAAGGTGACGAACAGAGGCTGAGACACTTGGATCTGAGGAACGAGCTGGGATTGCCGACGGTTTCCATCAGAGAATCGACAGATTTCGCTAAGGACGACGATCTCGCTATCTTCCCGCCGACTAACCACGAGAATCTCTACATCGATGGGTTCAATAAGGACCGAGAATTCCCGTCGGAATCCTCTTCTCCCTTATCTTCGTCGAGACTCTCGGATTCGTCGTTGTCTCCGTCCGATTCAGATACCGGACAATTTGAAGTTGACCGGAAATCGCATCCCCATCTGTCAGATGCCGTCGGAAAATCCATGAATCACTACTCCATACTTGATACGTGGAAGCTTCTTCTCGCGCAACTACTGTCAAGGTTTCAGAAACTGGCAACCACCTGCTTCTCCAGTAACAGTCTCTGTTCTCTCTCAAGGACTCTCCAGTCATATTATCCGATTCTGGGCATTGTAATCTGGTGGTGGATGCGTAATCGAGCTCGCCGGCGACTTCACGAAGGTGAAATGACTCATCTAAGAAACACTATCAAAGACAGAGACGAGGTTTGCATCTCTTTCCGATTCTGTTTTTTCTTCTTTTCCCCACAAAGTGTTCGATGAAATGTCAACGAGACACGAATAGTTTCAAACTCTCGTCTCTAACAGTTTCTTTCGTTTTTTTTGCAGAGAATTGTTCAACTCTTGCATCATATTGCTCAGACGAACGAGTTACTTGTAAAGAAAACACATTCGAATTGATCACAAGATTCCTTTGTATTCCTTTTTTTTTTTTTTTTTCAAAACAAGCAAAGCAGCAATTGTCAAGAAGAAAAATCAACAACAGAAACACATCAAGTCATCAACTAAAAGTTGCTGAAATTGTTGTCGTATTGCGACAAGTGAACAACAATCTTCATAATTCTTGCTTTTAGCATTATCACTTCATAAAAAGCAAAAAAAAAATTACCTGAGTTTGTTGTTATACATTGCTGCTACATCATGGCTATAAGAAAATCACCGCTGCATATTCTTCTTCGTCTTGCTCCTGCGATTCCGTTTCGGTTTCAGTTTCGGCTTCGTTTTGTTCATCCTAGCATGAATCTTCAAGTTAAGCGCACGACGATCCACCATCACAGCCTCTTCTTTCTTCTTCACCGGTTTAAAAACCTCTGTAACCGAAGGATCAAGCAAACCAGCAGAGCAAGTAAGCGTAACACCGAGAGACATTGCCTCTTCCCAAAGCTCTTTCCCTTTCTCAAACTCTCCTCCTTTACATAGTTTCGCTATAAGCATATCATAAACCGGACCATAACCACCCACAGCGCTTCTCTTCATCTTATCAAACAACTGAAGCGCGAAATTCACACGCTTGACCCCACAAAGAACTCCAATGAGATCATAATAGAACTTCCGGTCAGGTCTCAGTCCTCTCTCGATCATCTCATCCACAGTTTGGTTCCCTTTACCAAACCTTCCCGTCAAATACAAAACTCTCACAACAAAGTAATAGCTCGCTGCATCGGGATCACATCCCGATCTCTTCATCTGTTCAAGAACCTGGCAAGACTCCTTCACCCTCCTCGTCCTTCCCAAGCAAGAGAGCAACACGTTGTAGCTCATAGACGTAGGTTGGATCTTGTAAGACCTCATCTCCATCATAACGTTCAAAGCATCAGGGACGAGACCGGAAGGGTTTCGAGTGACGTTTCTCTCGCAGAGGCAAGTAAGCATCGTGTTGTAACAGAACAAGTCCGGTGCGATCCCGGCTGATTTCATATCCTGTATTACTCTTCTTGCTTCCTTGACGTTTCTTTGGACCGACCAACCGAATAAAAGACTTCTGTACACAGACAATTCGTTCCCTGAGATCACATCCTTGTGATGATGCATAACTCCCAACGCTCTTTTGACATGTCCTCTGGAGCAGAGTGCGCTTATGATAGCTGTCACAGTGAAACTATCTTGTGGGCAAGAAAACTTGTCCAAGATCTTGAATATACCTATTGCATCTTCTTCCTTACCAATCTTGACCAGAGTTTCAGCTACAAGGCTAAACGTTTGTTTCTCCATGGCACGATTCTCCTTCCTGAGATCTGATAAGAGTATCTGAATAGCTGTGTGATCTTTCTTCTCAGCTAAAACTCTTAGGACATGGTTGAATTCCTTGTCTTCTAAGCTAGGTCCCATGTTTTTACAAGACCAGGAGAAAAATCTCAATAGTCTTCTCGGTGAAGTCTCGTTCTTGCAAGACTCGATCACTTGGCTAACGAGGTTGGGTGATGAAGAAACCGAAACCTTGTTCAAGTTTTCTTCAAGGTCATCTAGACCACCAAAGGGGGAAGAAACAATCCGAATAACCTCCTGCAGCTCCATCGATGCATGGTCCGAGTGGTTTATCAAATGATGAGAGCATAAATAACGTCTCAGTTTTGTAGTATCCGTTAGAAACGCAAACGCGTTTGATCTGACAATGGACTTCATCTTCGTTGAGGAATTTCATCAAACACTTGGGGTGCACTTTGTTCTTAAGTAGCAGAGAGGCTATTAGCCATTTGAAAGGCTGAATCAAGAATCAATAACAGCTCAAAAGGAGTCACCGGAGATCCGGCGCACGCTAAAGAACGCCGGCGGTGAGATAAGGAAGGAAGGAAGTGAAGTTTCCGACAATACTAGTGACTGAGAGACTCATTTTTTATTGTCACCGTTCAAACAAAACGTTGTCGTATTGTCACTGAATTAACATTTTTCGTATAAATCATAAAATCTTTTTCTTGTTTTCTTTTTGTTTGAGTAAAGGAGGTCGATATGGGCAACAATCCTAAGGTTTGGTATTTAGTTTGGTAATAGATTTTTTGTGTTTTGTTTTTTTTGTATGTCCCAAATTATTTCTGTCAATACAATTTATGATTTTGATATCAGAGAGATGCATCTTCTTTATCTGTACCCACCACCACAAAATATCTTTTGATATTTTTTCCCGACATTGACGTGGCCTTTTCTCTATCTCTACCAAACTATCCGCACCATTTTTGTTTCTTATTTTCTCTCTGCACTTTTTTCTTCCACGTCATCTCCTCCCCCTAAAATATCTCAAAGTCCCCACCTTTACCACTTTCGAAGAAGCTTTCAATCTCCACCGTCCACACTCTCCTCTTTCAACGCCTCAGATAATCATCGCCCATTTCTCCTTTTCGCGTCTCATAATTTGACTAAATTGATTGACAACAAAAATGACTCTTTCTCTCTATCTCACTCCTCTTGTCGGAAACTTCTCTTCTCTCCTTCCTTTTCTCACCGCCGGCGTTCTTTGACTTTCGCCGGATCTCCGGTGACTCCTTTTGAGCTGTTATTGATTCCTGATTCCTTATTTTCCCGGAGAAAAGAGTTCAACTTTTTTGTTTTTCGTTTTATCTCTTAGCTTTTAGATTTTCCATGGCTAAACGATTAGGTTGGGGGATTAAGAGAGTAATTTTTGTTTGGCTGTGAAATTGAGTGAATTTCTGTAGGGACGAATTAGGCAGCTTTGTAGGGACACTGTACCGAAACCCTAGCTCTAATTTGGCCATGGAAGTGTCATAGCACATACTATTGTCGGGTTGTTGTAATTTTGTACAATTTATTTTTAATTTTTTTGGGTAGGCAAGATTAGTTTCTGTGATCAGGATTTTTGTTTTGTAAATCTGATAATGGATTTGAACGCCGAGTGTAAGGGAGGAGATGGGTTCATTGACAGAAGCAGAGTCAGAATTTTGCTTTGTGACAATGATTCCAAGAGTTTGGGAGAGGTTTTCACACTCCTCTCACAGTGTTCTTATCAAGGTATGATTGGTTCTTTTTAACTTCTTGTTGTCGGAAAAGATCCTCTTTTTTTTTGTTTACTTCATTTTTGGTTTAATTAGTTGGGGATTACTACTGTTGATTGTAGATCATGGAGCTCTAATAGTTAAAGATTATTTCCTTCTTTGTTCTAGTGTTTTGTGAAAAACTCAATGATGGTTTTGCTTGTAGTGACTACGGTGAAGTCAGCAAGGCAGGTGATTGATGCACTAAATGCAGAGGGACCTGATATCGATATTATACTGGCAGAGATTGATCTCCCAATGGCCAAGGGTATGAAGATGCTGAGGTACATCACGCGAGACAAAGATCTTCGGAGAATCCCTGTGATAAGTAAGCTGTCTTCTTCTTTGTTCTTCTTACGGTCGTTTGCGTTATGCTAACTAGTTTTGAAATATTTCTCAATTGAAGTGATGTCGAGGCAAGACGAGGTCCCTGTTGTGGTGAAGTGCTTGAAGCTAGGTGCAGCTGACTACCTAGTGAAGCCTCTGAGGACCAACGAGCTTCTTAATTTGTGGACACACATGTGGAGAAGAAGACGCATGGTTTGTTACTTTTGCTTTTCTCTACTTCTCTCCATATCTGTTTGAGATTCCTTTCAAGTTGTCTGCTTCATGTGTTTTTGCTCCTTAGATTCCTTTCAAAACCTAATAGACTTCAAGTTTAACGATGATTGGTTTGTCACTCATTTCCCTCTTAGGGAGATTCCCTGTGCATTTATATTCATCTATATACTCATTTACTGCCATCAATGTAACAGTCTTGATGCATGAAGTTTATGCGATTGAGCATGTGTGTTTGTTTTGGCAGCTAGGGCTTGCTGAGAAGAATATGTTGAGCTATGATTTTGATCTGGCGGGATCTGATCCAAGTGATCAGAACACAAATAGTACCAACCTGTTCTCTGACGACACAGATGACAGAAGTCTTAGGTCCAACAACCTGCAGAGAGGAGCTTTAAGCCAACAGGAAAATGAGGTGAGAAAGTATTTGAAAGTTAATAAAGTCCTTCGAAATTGGAGAAAAAAACTGATTTTAGTTTGCGCTCATGTTTTTTGTGATAGTGGCCTGTTGCTATTGCTTCTGTTTATGGTGGTGACGTTGGTCTTGGTCCTGACGGCACAGCCACTTCAACTCCTGCTGTTGCTGCTATAGAGCCTCCATCAAATCATCTTGCTGGCTCTCACCATGAGCCAATCAAAAGAAATAGTAATACAGGTTTTTGCCTTTCTTTAGTCTGTAAGAAAGTTTTTATCTTTGTTTCCGTGAATGTTAACTTAGTTAGGGGAATTTTTTCTTGCAGCGCAATTTTCTTCTGCACCAAAGAAAAGTAGATTGAAGATTGGAGAATCTTCAGCCTTCTTCACATATGTCAAGTCTACTGTTCTTGGAACCAACTGTCAGGATCCTCCAAATGGCTCGCTTCATCTTCATCCGGGGATGGCGGAGAAGCTTCAAGTGGTGGCCAGTGAGGTGATCAACAAAGCCAAACAAGCATGCGGAGTTGGAGAGACGGAGAAAAACTATCATCCTCAAGAAGATAACTTACAGAATGGCGCCAGCTATCCAACTCCCCTTGAGCGGTCTCGCACGCTTCCCACATCAATGGAACTTCATAGTAAGAGTTACCAGGAAGGAGCCCGGGTTGCTATGAACAGAAGTAAAGACTCATCTCAAGTTGATGCTTCGGGTTTCACTGCACAAAGTGCCTATCCTTACTATATGCATGGGGTCATGAACCAAGTTATGATGCAGTCAGCAGCAATGATGCCTCAATACGGTCATCAACTTCCTCATTGCCCACCTAATCATCATCTGAATGGAATGGCAGGGTTTCCTTATTACCACCACCCAATGAACACATCGTTACAGCACAGTCAGATGTCACAGAGTGGTCAGGTGTCTATACAGAATGGTCATATGTCTTTACAGAATGGCCAGATGTCTATGGTTCATCATTCTTGGTCACCGGTAGGGAATGCGCCTTCAAACGAGGTGAGGGTGGTGAGTAAACTTGACAGAAGAGAGGAAGCTCTGCTGAAATTTAGACGTAAAAGGAACCAAAGGTGTTTTGATAAGAAGATTAGGTATGTGAACAGGAAGCGCCTTGCTGAGAGGAGACCGCGTGTTAAGGGTCAGTTTGTTAGGAAAATGAACGGCGTGAATGTTGATTTGAACGGACAGCCTGACTCTGCTGACTATGATGACGAGGAAGAGGAGGAAGAAGAAGAAGAAGAAGAGGACAATCGGGACTCATCTCCTCAGGATGATGCTCTGGAAACTTGAAAAGCATCAAGAACTGTAAACCGTGTTATATTCACAAGATGCTGCTACAGCCAAAAACATTGGACATCGAATGCTCTCAGTGGAAATAATGGCTGTTGCAGAGCACTGATAATCACACTGGGTGTGTCTTGGTTCGTTGATGAACATAAGATGTGTTTTGAACTCTCTTTGAGTAGCATGTATAAACCTTTCTTCTCATTTCTCCTTTTTCCTTGAATCTTGTTTATCCTTGTTCCCCTCACCTGTTTTAACATATATAATCACTTCTTGGAAAGATAAAAGTTTCTCTCTTTGCTTGGATAGACATAGGATTGCAATTCTGTTCCATACAAGGAACCATGTGCAAAAGAACAATCTAAATCTGGATTGCAAGTAAATTGAAACTAAAAACAGAATGAGCTACATTTCCACTGTGTCAGAAACATCAAGTCTGTGTTGGTCTTTCATGAACTGAATAAACAAATCTCTATACTCTCTGTTGTACTATCACAAACTTTCTAGCAACTATACGAATTCCAGCTCTCTCCTGATAATCATATGGCTCCAGAGACAAGAAAGCGTCGAGAACAGTTCCTGACTTAACCAAAGACTCAAGCTCCTCAGCCCTCGGGTTGCTTGAAATGAGTTTCTGAGTAGTAGTATCTCCAGACAATTCTCTCTCGTGTATCTCAGCTGCGTACCGCTCTCCATCTCCATATAACACTGTCGGTATACTGCAGTAAATAACAAGAAAACAATCAGTAAAAACTAAGCAAACATGGCTTCTAAATGGAACCGCAGCAAAAGGAGATGTAGAGAAAACTTACTGTATCCTTGCGGTAGGACAGTTCACAAATCCATTCATTTGAATGACCACCGGGTTCCAGTCAGAACCACTTCCTGAATCTACAGATATTGTCTTTGCAGCACTGTCACACTCTTGCAGTACCTTGCAGAGACTTGGGAACAGATCAATTATAAAGTTCAACTTCCGTCTTCCAGCGCTATCCAGAAATTTCCCATTGACTCCAAACCGTACTTTCAGACGAGGACAATGGAGCTGAAGGGGTCTGTCCCCAAGGAAGAGCTGTGGCTTCATTTTTTGGCTCCCCTCAAACAACGGGACATGAGCTGCTCTGATACTTGGAATAGATATTTCATCCAGATCCAAGAATCCTTCCTGGTCACCGGTAGCCTCAGAGGCAACAACAGTCTCAGACTGCTGATTTTGTTCTTCTTCCATGGGAATATCTAACTGAAGAACCTCTGGGGATATTACGTTCCTTAAAGCACTCATATCAAACGGATCTGTTTGAGCTTCTTCAGCGGGTGAAACGAATGATAGAATAGGTATAGGTATAGCTGTACTGTTCTTCTCCCCTGTCTGCTGATCAACGGGAGATTGCAGCGGAGACGTTTTGATACTCCTACGCCTTCTTGAACTTGTTTCTGGAGAAGGAGTAGCCGAGTTATCCACAAGTTCATCTGGCAAGCTTGACTCCTGTTGAAAGAGCGAATTTTTTCTGAATCAGCTCTCTATAGTGACATACTGACATTAACAAATCACATTCGAAGAGATAAAAGAGAGCATACTAAGAACAAAACAGTGGCGCAGTATTTGAGAACCTCCAAATTCATCCTGACATCGTCCAGACTCCTAAAGAGATTTTGAAAAAAAACACACTCACAAAGCATTAGAACTCAAGCGGCCTGTGGAAACAACGTAATGCTAAAAGCTTGCTTATTTATATACCTATGCGTCTGGTTGCCAAGCCCAAAGTATGTAGCCAATGTCGCCATCTGCTCAAACAAAGTCCACAGGAAAAAAACATAATAAGCATCAAACAGTTGCCTCAAACCAAATTCAAGAGCAAATACAAATTCAAAAGATCAATCATCCGAGAAGAAAACAGAGAACATCTCGCTTTTTAGTGTATCATTGTTACCTTCATATCACCAGCTCTCCTCCCAAACCTTTCAGTAAGCAAAGCTAACGAGTCAATGGTGCCCTTTGGCTCAGGTGGATCTCGTCCAATCTCTGCAAACGCTTCTCTTATCCTTGGACAATCAAACCTCAATATGTTGTGCCCTGCCCATATCCTTCCTACATTATAAACCCCAAAAAAAGCTCGAATTTTTTAACATTTTCATCTAAAGAGCAGAACTTTTGTATCAAGTTTTAATTCAGCTGAAACAAAAACGGGTAATTTACAAAAACGAAAAGTTCCAACCATGGAGGATATCGTAGACGGTGTCGGCGATATCTGCAAACGGAGGTTTCGATTGGACGTCCTCTCGCTTGATGCCGTTGCACTTGACAGACCGAGGCGTGATGTAGCTGAGATTAGCGGGTCGAACGAGGGCTGTGTAGCTTCCAAGCTCCACTAGCTTCTTGGGGCAAACGAGGATCGATCCGAACTCGAGAATCTCGAACTTTTGGCCAGCTCGGAACGGAATTGTAGTCTCGACGTCGAAGAAGGCAATCTCAGACCGATCCTCCGCCGGAGCTAGACCGTTCATTGTGAACGGGTTGGATTGAATTTGAGCGGAAAAACTGGTTTTTGAGTATCGAAATTTCGGATTTTTGGTAACGAGATTGAGCTTGAGATTTATATATATACTAGTAGAGTACCCGCACGTTTGTGCGGTGTGACGTTGTTGTTTTGTGTAGAAAATTTAAACCCTAAATCCGAACCCGACAAAAAACCCTAATCAAAAAATTTAAAAACCCAAACTTTTTTAATAGGTCTAAACATGAAAATCCGAAATAAAAAAATCCCGAAAACCCTGACTGAACAAAAAAATCTGGAAACTTTTTCACCCGGAACCCGACCCCAATACCTAATCAAAATTTTAAAATACTCAATTTTTTTAATATATCTAAACCCGAAAACCAGAAATCTAAAAAATCCGGAAAACCCTAAACTGAAAAAAAAAATTGAACCTAACCCGAACAGAAATTTTCAAAGAAACCCGAACAATTTCTATATCTCTATAAAATTATGTCTCAGATTTTCACCCAAACCCGAACTTGTCTATAAAAACCCGAAAATCCAAAAAGCATATTCTATTGATTTGGAATTATCGTTAGATTATGTTAAGTTTTCTTTTTTGCAGATTTTTAAGAGATGGAAAACGGAAGTTTTCTAAACCATCGGTTTATTTTAAGTTATTATTCTTGTATCCAAACAATTTTTTCCATTTATTCTTCTATCCAAATAGATTTTTCTCTTATTCTTATATCCAAACAACTTTTGTTTCCATTTATTCTTCTATCCAAATAGATGTTTCTCTAATTCTTGTATCCAAACATTAGAATGTACTTCTCAATTAATAATATAAATATATGAAAGATTACTTGGTATGGTGGGTTTGCTTATTTGTCTTTTATCCAATTCTCTAGGCAAAAGGGACGCTTCTGAAATTGGTTCTCTTTCTCGGTCGATTTCCTAAGATTTTTTCTTTTCTTTTTTTGGTTTATTATCAAAGTTTACTTAATTAAGGAGGTATATAAGATTTTTAAGTTCATAGAACCTGGAAGAAAAAAATTAACTTATATGCATATAAAAGAATGACATTACAAATTAAGTTATTTTGAATTTGCATTTCATTGTATCATTGGAAACTTTGGTATTAGTGGGAATCATTTCTTTGCATGTTGGGGCCTCTAGCGGTCTCTTTGTCCCGCTGGTATGGATGGTAACGGTCTCGCTTTGGAATGTCCCTCCGGGATACTTCTCTGCCATGTATCTTTTCCCCTGGATTCACGCTTTTCTTTTATATCGTAAGGCAGGTCCCTGTACCATGCTTCTTGTCTTCCCCAAGCATATTGTCTTTGGATATCTCCACGAGGTTTATACGGCTATTTCCATGGCAGCAGTGGTGGGTTTTGTTATGTTAGGGCGTTTTGATCATTGGTTACAAATCCACCTGAATCATGTTTTGATCCATTTCTCTTTTTTTTTTTTTTTTTTGTCATCAAACAAGGAAAACTGTGAACAACGAACACAAGTATTTATTTTGATTTATTAAGGAAACTAATTGGAACCATTAGTTGTTAACAAACAAAGGAAGAAAATTGGTGAAGGGAAACGTGACAAGTCAGGAATTACTAAAAGATAGGAGACTTGTTGAAACTCAAAATTGACTCTTGTTAGAGAAGAAAATCTCACACTCTCCCCACACCAAGTTTGCAGTGAAAATTGACAACCTACCTCACGTTGTGACTGTTGAATGTTACCGTGCAAAGAAAGGTCTTGCCCTGGGCAACAAACCATCGAGCTCAGAAGCTTGATCTTTAGTCTCAGTGAAAATGATGCTACTGGATTTGTGAAAGAATCAATACATTGTACAAGAGACTTGGCAATTTATATCTCCAGAGACATGGGGGATATTTAAGAAGATGTGATTTTTAAGGGGGGTTTTCTCTAATTAGTTTTGTAATTGTTTAATTAACTAATTAAGTCGAATTATCTTATAAACCAAGTGAACCGGAATAACCGATGAGAGAAATCAGCAACGCGAACCGGACGGAGGAAAGTCCTCAGTTTAACCAGCAACACGAACCTGAGGAAAGGACTCTCGTACCATCTTCTTCTCCAAATGTTGAAGCTTTCGCTTCTCCATCATAGAACATCAGCTCCCATCTTCAAGCTCCACTTTTTCACCTTTAGATTGTTATCTCAATCTCCTTCTCCGTCAAATTCAGCATCTTCGTTGCCCTCTTTCTCGTCTTCTTCTTCTTCGAGTCTAGCAGAATCACTACTGAAATGCAGATCCGCGGAAGAAGCGCTCAGGCTGTTCGATACATCTTCGAGACTCGAGATCTCCAAGACAAACGATCTCAGTCATTTCTCGGCTGTGATTCACGTTTTAACCGGAGCCCACAAGTATACGCTCGCCAGGTGTTTGATAAAAAGCCTCATAGAACGTCTCAGGCGCCGCAACAAGCCGGCCAACATATCTTACAGACTTTTCAACGCTCTCGGCGATATTCAGACTCCGAAATTCAGTATCGGAGTGTTTAGTCTATTGATTATGGAGCTTCTGGAGATGGGTTTGTTTGAAGAGGCTCTCTGGGTGAGCCGAGAGATGAGATGTTCGCCGGATTCGAAAGCTTGTCTTGCGATTTTGAATGGTTTGGTTAAAAAGAGAAGATTTGAATCAGTCTGGGCTGATTACCAGCTTATGATCTCTCGTGGGTTAGTCCCTGATGTCCACATTTACTCAGTTTTGTTTCAATGCTGTTTCAAACAAGGTCTTTCCTCCAAGAGAGAGAAACTTCTTGGCGAAATGACATCTACAGGGATCAAGCCGAATGTTTATATCTACACCATATACATCCGTGATCTGTGTAGGGAACATAAGATTGAGGAAGCAGAGAAAATGTTTGAGTCGATGAAGAAATACGGTGTGATTCCAAACTTGTATACTTACAGTGCAATGATTGATGGTTACTGCAAGACTGGTGACGTGAGACAAGCGTACAGGTTGTATAAGGAGATTCTGGTTGCTGAATTGCTGCCAAATGTTGTTATTTACGGCTCGTTGGTTCATGGTTTTAGCAAAGCTCACGAGTTGGTTGCTGCGAGGAGCCTCTTTGTGCATTTGGTGAAGTTTGGGGTTGATCCTAATTTACATGTTTATAACTGTTTGATTCATGGACAGTGCGAATCAGGGAACATATTGGAAGCGATGAGGCTGTGTTCTGAGATGGAAAGTTTGAATCTTTCGCCTGATGTGTTCACTTATACAATACTTATCAATGGGCTGTGTAGTGAAGATCAGCTAGCAGAAGCAAATCGATTGTTTCAGAAGATGAAGAAGGAGAGAGTTTTTCCGAGCTCTGCGACTTACAATTCGTTGATTCATGGGTATTGTAAAGATTACCACATGGAGAAAGCTCTGGATTTGTGCTCAGAGATGACATCAAGTGGAGTAGAACCCAACATTATAACGTTTTCGACTTTGATTGATGGTTACTGCAAAGTGGGAAACTTAAAAGCTGCAATGGGTTTGTACTCCGAGATGACCATCAAAGGTATAGTTCCGGATGTTGTGACTTACACAGCTTTGATCGATGCGCATTTCAAGGAGGGCAACATGAAAGAAGCACTCAGGCTGTACAGTGAAATACTAGAGGCTGGAATCCAACCCAGTGGTCACACGCTCGCTTGCCTAGTAGATGGATTCTGGAAAGAAGGTCGAATCTCGGACGCTGTCGATTTTCATTTGGAAAACAGAGAAAATGCGACTAGGGAATCCATTGCTCAAATGGGATGCTGGAACCATGTGGGTTTTACATGCTTGATTCAAGGGTTATGTGAGAACGGCTACATTCTTAGAGCTACCAGGTTCTTCTCGGACATGAGATCCGGCGGGATAGCCCCGGACTTATGGAGTTACGTTTCGATGCTAAAGGGCCATCTTCAAGAAAAGCGTATTACTGACACAATGATGTTGCACTGTGACATGATCAAAACTGGAATCTTGCCAAATCTTGTGGTGAATCATTTGCTAGCAAGGCTTTACCAAGAGAATGGATATCTAAGATCAGCTTGTTTCTTGACCAATTCAAGTCATTTGGGAACGTTAAGCTAATAAGCGAGTCTCTTCTTTTCTCTTTCTGCAAGTAAATGACAGTTAAAATTCCGAGCGTGGCGATATTTTTGTTCAATCTCAGCCTCTTGGTTGTATATATGGATGAAGTGATTATCACTCACCTAGTCTACACAGAGATGTATCATTATGAGTTCGTGTTTCTTGATCTTACTGGTTTTTGGGAAGACAAATGAAAATGCTTTATTTTCCAAAGCCAAAATTACATATGTAACAGCTTATTTCTTATTAACAGTGTTTCATTGCAAAATGTATGGAATCTCAATCTACAAAAGACAATAGTACAGAAGAGTATAAAGGAGCCTATTTTTTGCCACTGTTGAATTTGATTCTTATAGATCTTATGGTGAACGGAAACTGGTGTATGGAGACAACGACAATAACATCTGGGTGATCGTCTTTGGCTTTTTAACTGTTCCTGAAAAAACAATTACTGCAACTCAGATCAAAGGAGCAGAGACTAAACCCCGGAAACAGAGGTTTTCCTCACCAAAAATGGCAGAAACAGTGAAGGGAAAGGTTAGAAACACTAGAGGCACAAAACAAATTGCCAGTTTATGTTTTTCAAGATTCAGTTTTTTTGCGTATTGCAAGCAGAGTATTCAGATACGGTGAAATCACCAACCTAAGAAGAACATAGTCCTTGTTGCTTCACATTACACAGCCACAGCTTCTGGCTTCTTGCTGGTCTTGATTCCTTTTATAGCTGCAGATTTTTTCAAAACAAACAAACATTAGATTACAGTTCCTCTGGATAAACTCAGAAAGTGTATACGACGGCCAATGACTATACCTTCTGCGTAGTCTTTAGCTCCAAATACAGCTGATCCAGCTACTAGAGCATTTGCTCCAGCCTCAATAACCTATTTTAACTCACATAATATTCATAATCCCACGATCTATAGGGCAGTAAAAATGTGAGTAAAAGATGAGACTCGGAAAAGTTTTAGAGCTTCACCTTGTAAGCATTCTTTGGAGTGACACCTCCATCAACTTCAATCCATGGGTTTACTCCCTAATCATACAAGACAACGTGTTTTAGGAGAGAATAAGCTTTCACTCCCTAATCCAGTAATCCAGAAGTTACTATATCGTTACCTTTTCAACACACATTCTTCTCAAGTCGGAGATTTTCTTTACTTGGCTTTCGATAAAGCTCTGTCCACCAAACCCGGGGTTAACCGACATAATCAAGACCAGATCCACCACTGATTCCAGAAACAAACAATAATCCAATGAGACTAATCTTATCATCTCTAACCAAAGCAGGTGCAGTGTTAGGACTGAAAAACTCACCATCCAATACATATTCTATTGCAGTCAATGGGGTTCCAGGGTTCAAGACAACTCCAGCTTTAGCACCTAAGCTTTTTATCTAAACAGCATCACAGCAGCACAAAGGTCAAGATGACTTACAACCAGAAGCAAAAGTGAAAGCAAGAAGAAGATATCAGTACTTGATTCACAGTGCGGTGCAAATGGATGGTCGATGACTGCTCACAGTGAACACTGACTATATCTGCACCTGCTTTGATGAAATCCGGTACTCTCTGATCCGGTTCCACTATCATCTGGTTTAAGCAAAAACCTTAAAATCAAAAACTTGACTAGAAAACATCAAGAAACCATACATAGAGAGAAATTAAGAAAAGGAGGAGGCTTTTACAAGATGAACATCCAACGGAAGATCTGTTACAGGACGCAAAGCATCAACCACTAGAGGTCCGATTGTAATGTTGGGAACAAAACGGCCGTCCATCACATCAACATGGATCCAATCACAACCTGCCAATTCTACTGCTTTTACCTGGAAGAAGAAGCGAGACAAAAGAGTAACCTTTTTGAAGTCGTCGAAAACAGAGAAACCTTTTTGAAGTAACTTTCAGACCTGCTCGCCTAATTTGGCGAAATTGGCGGAGAGAATCGAAGGAGAAACAATTATATCACTTTTCGAAAACTTATCAACACGAGCTGAAGCCTTCACAACACCATGAGTCTTCCTTCTGCAAAAAAGTTTTAAACACCAAATTGTGGCTTGAGGGCTAACAAATATTCCAGATTGAGTATCAAATCGGAAGCAGAAAGTGGATAATGTTTTACTCAAGCATATCAACAAACACTTGAAAGACATCAACTTAATTCCTTAATGAACTTATATTAGCAGATTATTATCACTCCGTAGGATCAGAGAGAAACAAATCGATTCATCTTAAACTACAGCAAATTTCATTTCTAGTGTCAGACCGATCGAAAGAGGGAGATTTCAATTCGAGAGAGAATTGTGAATTACCTGGAGAAAGAAAACGAAGTGGGTTGGTAAAGAAACGACCTTTCAGGCCTAAGACCTAATCCATTGACTTGGGTTGACGAACAACACAACGAAGCCGCTGAGCTCGACATTTTCCGAATCCGAGATTACTTTCTCCCACTAGAATCACTAAAGGGTTTGGTGGGTAGGTTAGTGAGAGAAACCCCCAATCTTTGATTTGACTCCTCCTCTTCTTCTACTTCTTCTTCCTTCGTTCTCTCTCTCAAACCAACAAGAAAAGAGCCTCTCTTTTTTTTTTGCGGGAAAAGAAAAAAGGGAGAAAATCAGGAATCTCTGAGAATCGGCCACGTGTGATTACTGTCTCGTGGGCAACGCCTTCTTCTTCCTCTGATCCAATGCAGCTTATCTCAAACGGTTGGCTCTCTATTGCTGACTTGTAAATTTGTGGGAACACTTCAAAGTTCAATATTCATTTCAAAGGTTTACTTTTCAATAGTGAGAAAAATCAGAAATCTACTATTTTTCGTGGTCAGTTTTAAACAAAATCAATTTCATTTCAATTTTTGGGCCCGTATGTATCCAAGAAGGCCCATTATCTTGTGGCTCTGTTAATATATTTCCCTCAGTAGATATTAGATAAAATCATGACATTGTAAACAAAACAATGACATAAACTGCAAAGATAAAAACAATGACATGACATTATTTAAAATGCGTACTTAAAACTTCGTTACATTTTATTTTGTTTTATTAATTAGAGAAGAAGTAACACACGAACAAAAGCCACTTCTTGCTCTGTCCACTACCATGCAAATTACTAAAGTAAACCTGAGAGGGTTACTCTCAAAGAAGTAACACACGAACAAAAGTCACTTCTTGCTCTGTCCACTACCATGCAAGTTACTAAAGTAAACTTGAGGGTTACTCTCAAATCCACCTCTGGAGATATAAGCACCGCCTTTGGTCCCCGGAGCTACCATATAACCTCCACCACCACTCTTTCCTCCTCCACTGCTGCTACCACCACCGCCATTGCTCTTCCCTCCACCGCCGCTGCTGCTGTTTTTCCCACTCATTTTGCAGATATGATTTTGATCAAGAACTTGGAGATTTTGAGTATTGTAAGAAAGTGATTGAACAATGGTTACTTATAGAGAGGGAGTGAGAGCATATTCAAATCTCCGGTCAAAATTGATGCTTCCCAAGATTACTGTATTGACTCACATCACCTCGTAAAAGTGATAGTACCATTAGTCCATTACCATCTTACATTTACGAAGTGATTACCATTTATTAACGGGTTGAATGAATTGACGCCTCTCCACATTCTTAATAATCCTATTTAGGCTTTTAAATAAGCTCATTAGTATTGGGCTTGATTATTATCTGTATACTGTATACTATATTTATACGTAATTCATTACAAAAATATGAAAAATATATTTCAATGATTAACATTTTAATGGTGTAGTCGGATTTGATGGCACTCCAAAAATAATTAGTGCTATAATTAACCCTCAACTTACGTTAGTAGTGTTGTAGCTTGGACTCACTAACCCGATTTTCTCTTCTCATTTTGTATATTTTAGTATTTTATTTTCCCCACTTTGTCCCACATTTTTTGCCACTTAACCGGTAAAATGAAAAGTATGATCTTGCTTTATGTAAAAAGCGCTACCACATGCCGGCCAAAAAGAAAGCTGCTACGGTAGTAGTGACTGCTACCACACATATATATTAGTATATATTTAGCATAAACGTGTTTAAGCTGAAAAAAATATATATATCTCAGATTCACAATACAAAAAGAGATTGACAAACAAAAGTGTATGTCCCCTTTTTCCTCTAAATTTTCAGCTGACCAATGCTTTGGTAAGTTACTCTATCAAGTGAATTTACACTAAATAACCAAATTATATCATTTTCTTGTAAAGTTGTAATGTTATTAGCATAAACTACTAAACTATAACATTAACCAAATTCTATCATTTTATTTTACCTTATAATACACGTTAGTTTTTTTTATTGAAAGACGTTTAAAAAAACCTATTTACCTCTAACTAATTAAACTTTGTAATAAAGCATAGCAACTTGAAATTCCAATTGCATCGTGGTCTGAAAAGCAGACTACGATTAATTAAACTACGCCATCATACACGCATTAATGATTAAACCTAGATTATTTTCTAAATTAGTGGATTTTTAAAAATAAAATGAATTCGATTACTTTTGGACAAATGATATTCGATTATTTGAAGAACTAAGAAAAACATGGAGTCACACAGTTTTCTTTCTACTAATCGATTAATCTCCACAATGACGAAAGGACACTGCAGATTTCTAGGCTACCGTAGCTTCTAAAAACTCGTTGCTTCTAGTCTCTTTGTTTCTTTAGAGTTGTTGTTGATTGTGTGTCTCTCTCCTCCTTTGTCCTTCTTTTATAAGGATTTTCTCTCTTCAACAGTTTCCACAGGAGTTCCTCTTTTGATGATTAGGTAGATAGAATATTCTTCGTATCTCTTTTCACAACTGGAGAGACACAAACGACATCCTTCAAGTATCCCTTTTCATTTCTTCTTATCGCATCTGTTATATTACTTGGGATTTTAGGCCTTGCATGTATAGAGTTTGACAAGATTCGAAATTCTTCCATATTTCCATATAATGTCACTCTTATTAAACGTGTTACCATCTGAAGACCTTTTAACAAAAAAAAATAAATGTTACCATCAAAATGAATGGTCAATCTTTGTTCTCGTCTCCACTTGGTCACCGCTTTAAGTTTGAGAGGGCATAAAGAAAAATTTAAAAGATTCTTAATATGATTACGATATTTACTGATGTAAAGTAAGGCTTTGGAGGGTGGAGGCGTGGAGCACGTGCCCCATGCTCTGTGTGTCATATCAAGGACTAGGAGTGGGATAAAAAGAAAGTTGAGATCATTGAAAGAAGCGATCGACGATGCAAGAGACATCTGGCAGGAATGGGATCGAGAGCGTGATGATTTGCTCTTGTAAGTTGCACCGTTTTTTTTGTTGCCTCTTTGTACGATCGTAGGGGCATTTTTACTATTGTTTTGTTTTCTTAAAAAAATGATTAGAGGGATCAGTGGGTCAAAAGGCCATTGACGAAAAGTGAGTAAGACTTCTTAGAATTATTTGTCATACAAAAAAAAATCAAGAATTTTTTTTTTTTTTGTTAAATAAATCAAGAAAATGTTAGTAAAGTAAGGGTTAAGGAATTTCATGAGATACAATTTTAAAAAAAAATGTAATACTGAAAGTAAGGAAATGAAAAAAACAATTATCAACGAATCAGAAAATTAAATTTATAAATCTACAAGTCGATTTTACTGTAATAGCTTGTCTTCAAGACTTCAAATATGGCACATCATGAATACTTTGATAATAATTTCATATTAGAACTTAAATACACTGTATTATTAGTAAGATTCGAGTTTGTTTTCAGACAAGATTTGTCGGGTCACAGATCCAATTATCTGATTCACCTCTTGATCTTTAGCTTTCATCCAAATTGTTTATGGACCACACCTACACTTTTCTTGGAACGTTTCATTCGAGCTTTTACAATTCAGTTTATAATTAATTTGTAATTTCTACCATATAATAAAATTTCTTGTGGTTGATATTTTCATATTCTACAAAAGATACCACCACTTTCATGCCACGGAAAGTTGGAAACATTAAATGATTAAATCATAAAGAAGAGCATGAAAACCGAAAAAGAGCATGATTGATGGTTATAATTGACTTTAACTTTATGAAATACGATAAAAATAATAAAAGCTTTATTACAACATAAATAGAAATTACAAAACATGGTGGCCCGCGCAAATCAATCACTAATTGATCCGGAGGTCACATGCATGGTTCTCAATGCAAGATAAACCCTAATTAGAGCCCTAATTTGTTGTTCGTCTTGTGGAAACCTACGATAAACCCTTATTTCAACACCATATAAACCCTAAACTTGGGATTAATAACCATGAGATATTGGACATATACTAAAAATTCCAACTAACAATACATACATATAACTTCTGGTTCACGCAAGTTTAAAATAGTTTTAAACTTTTTTATTTGGATACGAAGATTCATACGAAATGCTTTACGAGGGAATCTGAGTCGGTGTCGAATATAAAATCGGCATGGTCAAGAAGATAACTTGAGTAACCCTCGAAGTTTCCAATCATATTGTCTTGATCATCAACGCTAGTTGATGAGACTTCTTGGGAAACATCTGACATAAGAAGATCATGACCATAGTCGATATTCATATTGTTCTCTTCGTTGTGGTTATCTCCTCCGAGAAAATGTGAGAAATCGTAATCTTGGTCAATGCCGAGATCAGAAGTAGCATTGATCTCATGCTCAGGGTAAAACGGTGATTGGGAGAAGGGATCGAATTCGGAGACAGTATTCGTCAGGGATGCATTAGAACTATCCTGCTCAGGGAAGCCATAGAAAAAGCTTGAATGTGATATTGTAGTAGCAGTCAAGTTACCTTCCATGGAAGCGGACAATATTTCTTTGATGGAAGTGGCTTTAGCCGCAACTTTGTTCAATAGCCTTGATGTGGAACTCGATTTCTTGAAACGTTTCTTGCAGCTCAAAGAACCGCCCTGTGCAGCTTTCCCATCACTGTTGTCTATCTCAGAGATCTTGGAATCGGAAGAAGGATCAGGAGACATGGAAGGCATAGAGATCGACCGGGAGTATTGCCTCTCAAGACTAGGAGCATCTAGGGAATGAGATTTCTCAGGCGGTGTGGTGACAGTAGGGTTAGAACTAGAAGAAGCCAGTTGCTTGTGAGTCACGGGATCAATACCCTGCTCGATCAAACGTTTTTTGAGATGAGTGTTCCAATAGTTCTTGATCTCATTGTCTGTTCTTCTAGGTAAATGTCTCGCGATAACCGACCACCTAAAGGCAAGGAGAGAGAGAGAGAGACCGAAGACAAGATCGAATTAAATGATTATACCTTTTCATGCATTTCATTATTCATTTGAGGATCCATATATGCACACTAATAAACATATAAACGTACTTGTTTCCACGAGAAGCATGAAGCATGATGATAATCTGCTCTTCCTCTGAACTAAACTCGCCTCTTTTGATCTCAGGCTTTAGGTAATTAGTCCATCGTAGTCTACAACTCTTTCCACATCGTTTCAGCCCTAATTAAAACACCATATTCATCAGCATAAGAAATTTATAGATTAATATATAAATACTAATTAAACATGTGTATATATGAAAATATTTATAAACCAGCTTTTTGGGGAATGTCGCGCCAGCCTCCTTCGCCGTAGTCGTGGATGTAAGTAATGAGTTTCTTGTCCTCCTCGGCGGTCCATGCGCCTTTCTTCAGCCCTTCTCCGACACAACATGGCTTTCTTGACATTTTTTTTCCGATATGAACACCAAGGAATAGAATTTCATATAACCTCTCACGAACGTTCAACCAAAAATCTTTATAAAAAAAAAAAAAAAACAACAAAAAAATAGAGAGAAGAATATACTGAAGGAAAGTAAAATTGAAACGGAATTTGTCTAAGATAAGAAAGAAATAGATCTGTTGATGAGAACTCTGATGCATTTGAATATGAACCTAATCGAGAAACGCTCTTTCTTACCCACAGAGCTACCGGGTGTTCTCATGTTTTTCAAGTAGACTCCAATATATATTTTTATTTTTATTCTTATAGTTTTTTTGACACTAAGATCAGAATCAAGAAGCTTATGAAGAAGAGCCAAGAGACATGGATTGTGTGATAGTGGTGAGCTTACGACCTATAATCCTCTCTATATATATACACATACACTAAGAAAGTCAGAATGTTATAGATATTTTGGTAAGTTAATTTAATTATTTATATAGATTAATAATTCGCTATAGCTAGTTCGAAAATTATTTAAAGTTAATTAGAAAAATGTTTGCAAAGCGATGTTGTATATAAATTGCTATATCTTGGTATATGTATTCATTTTGAAGTATTTTAATTAAGGAAATGCCTACGTGTTGGTACTAGATGAAGTATACTAAATTTATTCCAGCTACTTTTACTTGATTCTTGCATATTCAATTGTCATAGGACAAATCAGTTTTAATATTATTTTTTTTTTGTCAAGTTTTAATATTAATTATTACTATAGAATTGTATGAAAGATCCAATGTGGGTTCAGTCGGAGAGGAATAACAAAAACTATCAATGAATACGTATAAGGTAACAGGAATTCATTCATTTGACAAGTTCTTTCTTTCTTTTTTTTAACTTTTTAGGATCTCCAATGCATCATGTAATTTTTGTGTGTCTATGTTTAAATATTGAATTTAAATCAAATATAAAAAATGGAATAAATCACACGTTTTAAAACTTATATCTAGTTCTCTAAACGAAAATGCAAAATAGAAAAAGAATGAAAATGTCCTGGGTACTGTAGTAGATATATAATATAATAGTGAAGCGGGAAAGTAATATACATTATTGTTGATCATTGAGATTTTAGAATCGAAGGGATATTGTAACATCACGTGTTATTTTCGATGTCGGTCCTATTTGTTTGCCACTTTTGTTGTTGTTCTATTATTGTTCGTCTCTTACCACCTCTCACATATTCTCATTTCCCTTCTCTACAGTTTCATTTTTATAAAAGTAACAACTTGACTACTTTATTCTCTATATGCCTCTTCGGGAATCTCAACGTCAGCTTTTATGAGTTTGGAACCTACCTTGTTGATCTGTTCAGAAAAAAACAAAACCATCTTGATGATCGTTTTAAGGCTTTATGATCGGATATCATCGGAATATCTTGGAACTCGTTCAGAGAAACCTTGACAGTGCATGTAACCATACTCTCTGATGCTACTATATATACTAATATTTCGAAAAATGAATATTTATCACACAAACTCTCTAAAATTTCGTCTGCCACCCATAGTTTTTTAGATACAAAATATGTAGATTCAATTCATACATATAATCTGTTTTATGTATCCAAAACATCCAAAACCCACATCCCCCCCCGATGCTAGCTAGATACTCCAGAAATTTTGACTTTATTGGTTTTGTGGTTTGTAAATACTCAAAATCTTTTTGTTTTGTATATACATATGAACTTAAAAGTTGACTTATATGTGGGTTACTCGTTTCTGATATGTTACTTGAATTTGAAATCATGCACGTACTTATACGACATCCATCATAGGAATGCAGTTTTTCGCCGGTCTAAAAAGCAGATACCGGTTCTAGTTGGAAAGTCTTCATCTACCATATAGTAAGAACCAATTTCAGATTGTTACACATGTACATATATTCAATCAACTTATATCCGCTCGTTCTATGCTCATTTCTTCTATATGTCGACCAACTTAGATGATCCTACATTAATTTTCAGTCTTCTCTTATTCTTGGTACTAAATGGTGCAAGCCGTCTTTCAAGCCATTTACTTATAGCCACATATTCGTGGTCCCTTATAGGTATTTGACTGATCTCTATGAACAATGACCCCATAAGCCTCAAAGCTCCTTTGAGAATATTCTCCACTGGCTCTCCCATGCAACCATCCATCTAATAATACTTGAGAGCAAAATAAAGCGACCGGTTCAACATTCAATCTCCTAAATATCCCCACAATTTATTATTTTAGTTTAATCTCGCGAACTAAAACTTATCATAATCCTTTATATTGGTTTGATCAATTCCAGTTGATCTTCTTGATTTTGTAATTTTGTTACGGGGTTTTAATCAAATCCTCGAAGGTATCATTTTCGCAGAACAACTTGCCTCGCATTGTCTTTTTTTTTTTTCTTTTTAATGGTAACCATTTATCAGTGACGTTATTTTCTAAACTTGGACGGTTGCTTTCTATTTTGGGTTCATTATCATGTCATCTACTCAAGACTTTTTTTCTGCGTCTATAGCATTTTCGACACTTGATCTATTCTTCATGCTGTCACTCTTGTTTTATTACGGTCGAGATTTTGCAGACGAATATACTGTTTGTTATATTAATCACCACATCACACGAAATTGATCTCTTTTTGTTTACCTTTATGTCGTGATTAAACACTTCATCACGCCAGATATTGTAGTTTCGTTCTCAAAGCCACTACTAATTCTGAATCCGGACGTAGATTAGGACTCATTAATAACGTTATTAAACTTCAAATCTCGGAAATAATAAATTAGAATTTTGAGTTATATACGCACTTTCTCTCTGTATATTGAGAACTGCAATGAAGAAGATGTATATACACTCAAATCTTACACTTATAAATATTGGGTGAATGGGTGATACATAAATAATTGTTGGTAGGGGACATTAAAGTATATAATGCTGGTACATCATTTCAAGCGGCTCGTATATACTATATTTCTTACAATATTACGACGAAGAAGTTGAGTTACAACTTACAGTTTCTTTAGAACAACCGGTCTGGTCATTGGACTGATATATTGCATCATCGTATGGTATGGATATCTAATTATATAGATTATTTATAATATGTTTAGTTCATGATTCAATGGTCATGGACTTAAATTAGATTAATACTGTATTAAACATATGAAGAAAATGATTTTATCACCAGCTAAGTTGGGGTGATAGAGAGAACTTCAGCCAGCCATTTTTTTTGGGACCGCGAAAGTACTGCTAAAACGTGGGGAACAGCCACTCACCCCCAAAAATAAAACTGAAGATGCTTTTCTTTTAGATGGTTATCTTTTACATTAAACATTTTTATAATATAGGAGTATAAAAATTGGAATATTTTTCTAATTTTATTTCGAAAAGGATTTAGTGACCAGAACAATGATTTCGGTTGTGCTGTCAGTTGTGGTCTCAATTCCCTTTTTTTTGTTCTCTTCATATAATTGGTAGTCTGTTAGATAATGTTCCGTGCAATAATTCAAATATATACTGTAATGGACAGACCATTGATATGCTCAATGCTCAATTCTCAATATGTCACAGATACTGTAATGGACAGACCATTGATATGCTCAATTCTCAATATGTCACCCGACCTAGTATAACGTTCGAATTCCCGAAGTGGTTTGAATTGGAGAATACCCAAAAAAATAGGAGTATCAAATAATAAGAATACTAATTATTTTAAATAAATGAATCAATTTTTTTTTTATAAAGTAATGAATCAAAATTCAGAACGTATATTTTTGAAAATAGGTTTAAAAAACATAAAATACATCCGTTCGGTAATGAAAAATCCTTTATCAAGTACTAAATTTCCTTTACAATTTTCAAGTAATCAAATGGATAAAAACCTTTACACAGATTTTTGGGATCCATTGCTTTTTATTGCGTCAGTTAAAGAACGTATCTTTCTTAGAGTTTTCTCTTTTCTTCTTCGTGATTATTACAAATTTACAACATGAACTAATTGTTTCGTAACTAATACGAAGAAAACAGGAAAAGCATTGGATAAGACACTGATATCAATTACGACAGCTTCCATTGATACATAACTGGAGAAAGTTTAGTGTGAAACAGTTTTTAAACTAGTCCAATTTCAATTAATACAACATTTCTACAGTAAGTTTCTACAGCTGTGACTAGACACATTTTAAATATAATTAGTAGACCCGTTTCGGTGAACAAGCATATATATATACCCCCTGTTGGTTTATTCCTTCTTATTAGGTTGTCAACACCCCTATTGGTTTATTCAAATTGCAGAAATATGAGCTTCCAATAATACAAACACAATTAGTAAAGTTGGCTTGGCTAAAGACCACACCATCAAGATCTCCTTTTGAGATAAATACAAAAACTGAAAAGCAAAGAAATGATGGAAGGTGGGGGTACTCTATGGTAAGATTCATGTGGTTCTCTCAACTCTTTGCATTTTATTTAGGGTGAATTTAGCCAATATCCTCCAATAATCTGACAATTAAAAATTTGGAGAGATTAATAGATAATTAGTTTTTGAGGAGAGATGATTTATTGTTTACACCCAAAATATCCTTTAATTTTAATTTATTTACATGTAATGCCATTGATCTAAAACCTGTTTTCTGATGTTATATATCGGAAACACTGTTCATCAAATACAAACTGATTATACTGTTTATGGCCTGAAAACTCAAGATAACTATTTAATTATCATGCTAACTAATATGATATCGAGATAACTATTCGATTACCATGTTAACTAATATGATATCGAGATAACTATCTAGTTACCATGGTAACTATTATAGTACCATGATAACTATTCGATTATCATGTTAACTAATATAAATATACCTATAATACTCATGTTAACGTCTAACATAAACATATATTTACCAATCAAAATTAGAAATTAACATGATAACAGTACTAATACTGTCATTATAAGTTAACTTTATAAGTTATTTTGATAATAACATAACCGACACTAGAATTACCGTTGCTAACAATATTGTTATCATCTGTTGTCAGAGTTACCATCGCTTTTATTTTCTTTCGCCGGAGTATTGTGTGATGAGAGAGAAAGAATACTGTAATTAGATTGAAAGTACAAGGGTAAAATGGATTTTTATTAATGACTAGTTAATGTCAGAACAACAGCTTTTTGGTCACTTAATTAATGTATTATCCAAGGCTATACATTACAATTTCCCTTTTATTTATTTATTTTTTGATGCATTTTATATTCTAAATCCATAAATTATATTTCTTGTTAACTAAGTATATGAAATGTAGGGGTACTCTATGGTAAGGTTCAAGTTGTTTTCAAGATATTGATTTGAATCTGACTATAATGACCTCTCGAAATTGATTGATTAATCAAAGGACTGACTAGCTTTTTCTTCGTAATTTGATGTATTTCAGTTTTTAGGGATGATGTTCTTGATATTCCAATTTGTTTGATTCAAGTTGTTATAATATTTGTGTTCGTTGACTCGCGAAAAAGACGGGTATTGTACGTGTGTTTTCTTTTTTCCTACGTTGGATTGGCTTTCTCGTGAGTGGATCTACTCTCACTAAATACTTAGCCAATATAGTATCTATCTAAAAAAAAGTATTTGAGGTCACAATATATACGGTGTTTATTTTACATCAAATTTAGTTTACCTTGTGACATATTTAAGAAACTTATGATTTGAAAAACTTTTATTTGACCTGCAGGTTTCGGCGGTCTATACATATATAGTTATGATGTTCTCTGGAATTAAAGAAATCCAAGTACAAAAATAAGACATGATGTGATATGATCGTTTCTTTAATAAAGTATCCTTTAATTATGGTTTTCCTCCCAATAGACTCTTTTTGTGTAATTTCTGTTTGCACTTTGTAGCTAATAGTAGTAGAAGTGTAGAAGTAGAACCATCTAATAAATTTTGCAATAGTGTCTCTTGCTGATTTTTCTAATATAAAACAAAAAATACCTTATCGGCGTACGTATAAGTTATAACCTGTTTGATAATATTTGAGGTTAAAAATACTTACCGGGTATGAGAATTTTAGTTCATGTCCAATGTTAGGAACCAAATACGTGTTCGAGTTCAGTATTGCATGTGGGGTTGATTAATGTTTTGTGGATTCCCCACAACTGTTGACTAAAGTTGGTTAAAAAAATCGATTAAAAATATATTATTATGTGATAAATATATCTGACCTAATTCGATTTTGCTTCATTAATGCTTGAAATATATATACTATATATATATATATATATTTATTTTTTTTTTGGTGCAAAATGCTTGGAAATTTTTAGGTTTTCTTGTGATTATCACTTTTTAAAACGTATTTTTGGTCTGTTCGAGGGATTTTATGGGTTTCAACCCTCATATTTTGAAGGAAAGATAGTAATCTAATTTGGACTAAACATCGATGGACATGTATTAGTTACTAACATTTATAGATTGACCGCGAGTGACTTTCAGCGAACTCAATTTCTATTATGGGTCAAACACATCGATCTGCATTTTCTCCATAATTGATCAAGACTCAAATCCGGTGGAAGAGACTTCCTAAATAGGCCATGCAAGGTGGATCACATCAAACTTTGGTCACCGATGCATATCTTGTTCAAAGCCAAAATTCAAATTTGACAAGAACTTAAATATGGTTCGAAGTGCTGATATCTTACTATAAGTTTTTGTAATTGGTCTGTAATATTTTAACTGGGCTTCGACCCATCTAATTCTGCCTCCTAAAGGCATCGTTCAGGCCAAAACTTTTTTCGAAGCCAATGTTCACAGTGAGTCAGTGACAGTACTCGTTGCAAGTCGACGCTGCACTATCTGATTTCTGTTTTGCATGTGTACATGCTAAAAGAATTTAATGATAGCAGGCCATGTTCTGGGTTATATTGGGCTTTTACTGGACCTATTTTCTACGTTGCGGTTCTTGATTCTTGTTTATAGTAAAGATACGGATTCATTTAGGTCAAAGTGAATTCCTTTTTTTTTAACAACACAGACATTTCAATAACCATTAAAGTCTTTCCAACTACAAACTGGGATGGGGCCCAGATGAAGACGAGGAAATTAAACGACATTTTGCAAACTTGGCGATCGAATCAGCCGATGCATTTTCGGATCTAGGTACGAAACCGAACCAGATCGAGGTAAACAAAGAAGCAAGGGAGTGGATGTCGAAAAGGATGTCATAGATCTCCTTGATCTGGACATGCATGTTCAGGGCTCGGATGAGGTCTTGCGAGTCGGATTTGAGGTGGATGTTGCTAATTCCTTCCTCCAGGGTGTGGTTTAGGGCAGATCGAATAGATAGCGCTTCTGCCATAAGCGAGGATGTGACGAATCGTTCTGCTGAGGACCCTCTGTTCACTTCCGCTCTGTTTGTGTCGACGAAGATCCAGCCAAAACCTCCGATGCCAGTGTCCTTGCACCAGGCTCCGTCTGAGAAGCATGTAACGATTCCGGACTCTCCTGGTTGTGGGTTGGGAGAGGTAAAGCTCTTGGTTACTGATTTTTTCAAGATCTGAGCCGATTGCCAATCCTTTGCCTCTCTGATTGCTTTTAGAACAGTTTCTGTAGGTGGGATGCGCCGGTCTTCGAAGATGAGGGTGTTGCGTGCCTTCCATATAGACCAGCAAATCCAGGGGAAAAGCGGACCAGATCCTAAGCCCGTGGGTGGTAGGCAGGTCCAGGCTCTTGACGCGATCAGTGTCTCCGCAAAAGTTTGGTTTTGGTTTGGGTTAACGGTGGTGGTGAGCGGTGTTTGGATCCAGACCTCGGAAGCATATGGACATCGGAAAAACAGGTGTTCCGTAGTTTCCAACTCGCCGCAGTGTATGCAGCAAGCGTTGTCTAGAAGGCCACGATTAAGGAGATTTTCGCCCACAGGTAACGCTTCCTGGATTGTTTTCCACAAGAATACTTTCATTTTAGGAGAGAATTTGCCTTGCCAAATGACTGAAATCCAGTTGATTGGTTGAATAGATTGGTAGTCTTCAGGAAGCTCATGCATAGACAAAGAGGCGTAGTAGCCTGTCTTGACGGAATACTCCCCAGATTTTGTCAGAAGCCACACATAGGAGTCGTGGGCGCCTTTCCGACTTGTTCTGATTTTCAAAATTTCTTCCAAGAGGTGAGGTAGGATTTGCTGGATCTTTTCTCTATCCCAATCATTGGTCTTGTTCGTTTACGCACATTTTTAACTAAAATCAAAAATGGAAATATGGCCATGTTCGTTTCACTGTCGCATCGACCAGCGTCAGCGGCAAGAGAAAAAGACGCTAACGGAGGTAGTGGTGGGAGAAAAAGGAGGTCGATGTTGCCGTTAAAGGAGTCGCAACTGCCATTGAAAGGAGCCGCAGTTGACGCTAAAATTTTCAGCAACCATATATATTATTGTCCGTAAACAGTCGCAGTGTCTTTAATATTAACTCCGAACTGGCGAACTGTATACTCTCCACAAAACTTGCCTTCCAAGTATCTATAGTGTACATTCTTGAGAAACATACAAAAGTATTTTGAAGAATCTCGTATAGATAGTTTTTTACCAAGATAGGAAGAAAGAGGACACACATTTGTTTTTAACTTTGTATGTGGTAATAAACTGGTGAACAATTAACATCTAAACTTGACACGTGGGTATACGTATACATGTAAAACCCGCAATTAACTTTGTACGTAACATTTCATGTTCATCTTGAATAAATATACGCAGTCCAAATTAGAAGAATACAAAAATTTAATTAAACTCTTCTTGGGTTTGGGCAACTGGCTATAAAGGGTTTTGGTATATTAGTAAAAATAAATTTGCTTGTGGTTTGACCCCTGTTAGTCTATTACTACTCCATTTGCATACCTTGCACTTGAAGTTTAGCTTTTATCAAATTATACTATATTAAACATTTTGATACTGTTGAACAAAAGCAAAAACAAACATTTTGATACTTTTCCATCTTTTTTCAACCAATCAATAAAGAAAGAGAATAAAACGGTTGAAGGGATCTGGAAAAAAGAACGAAAAAGAAAACTGAAATGTTGAAAGAGGATGGGTTAAGGAAGATGTCGTGTGGTACTCAATTTATCACATTTCTAGTTATGATCATACCATCACGTGCCTCTCCCACCTCTACTTGCCTTTTGTTTGGTAATTCAAAGTGTGCCATAAAATAAAGGATAGAGAGATCATTATCTTCATCCGTAAATCATATATTTAGATAACATTGATACAAAAAAACCTCTTATATTTTAGATATTCATATGGTATATCATAGCTTTCAATAAACATCAGTGAAACCATTATAGCCAGATAGAGCTTCGCAGTGCTAATTAGCTTTCAATACTCGATATGGTGACATTTTGGAGATAATACAGCTCATGTATCTATTCACCAATAAAAAAAATTCCAAGTGAAACAAACAAGATTATAATCATTTTTGGTGGAAGAAAGAACCATGTATTTTTGATATACTTACTTATCAAATTTAAACAACCTAGGCAAAATGTTATTCTTTAACAGAAAAGAAAACCACTATGTATTTCAAAAGTAAATAATAATAATAATATCGATCTAACTGGTTTTTTTGTCTTGTCGAGCGTGATTGTTACAAGATGAAAGTTCGATTCAACATCGATTAACATTTGACCAATTAGATAGGCACCTCTAAAATTTAACATTTCATCCCAAAAAAAAAATTTAGCACCCCTAGTTTTACATATGCTCTAGAAAGGAAAATAAAAAATATGCGAAATAAAAAGATGTGCTACGTAATATATATTGACAATACACACAAAGTTGAAGCACCACGCATAACAGCTTTATAACGGAATAGATCCGTCATGGGACAAATGAAAGATGAACTGAGATATTTTGCTAAATATAAACATTTCAAGTTTAATTATTATATGTTTAAAAAAAAAACAAAAGTTTAGATATAAAAATATTCATTATTTAGAGATATTTTTAACAGTTACAAAAATTCTTACTAAAACCGAAGTTCATATTTTAGCTGTCCTCACACCCTTTTCCAGAAATATTAGAGTGTTTTTTTTTTTTTTTTTTTGAACTTTAAAATATTAGAGTTAGAAACGAGATACTTTTGAAACTCTACTAATTGATACGTTACGTGAATTTAGGTGTTATGTTCATGGAAATTGTGTTTCACTTTACACATTCCCAAAATTTTAATAAACCACATGTACACAATATTACCTTATTCTCTATTTTATGCTTTTATACTATGTCACTAGTAAAAATTCAGTTTGAAGTGTCTTTTTATAGTATTTAACTTCAGATATCATACCTATAAAGCCGAAAACGAGACTGGTGTCTAACAAGAAGTAAAAATGAAAAAAATAAGATAAAATACATATATTTAAGAGAAACTGGCCGACTTCTATTCACCAAGTAATATTAAAATGTAAGCCTAAAATGACTCACACTTTTAAGAACTTCAACTTCAAATGTGAAAACACCAAAATCAAAGCAATGGAAAAGGATGAAATTTGCCCAATAGCGTATATATATATATTATGAAAAATATAACCAATAGAGTCTCTTCTATAGCAAGTAATTAACAAGTACTATAAAATTGTATTTTAAGTTTCTTTTGAGTTTTGAGTATAACATATAGTGGAAGTAGAGATGATAGAAATATCTATACAAACTTCAATACACCACACTAAAAGGTGAAAAAAATGTTCTTACTTTCTTTATCAGTGGATATGAGAGTCTTGAATCTCCTTTAGTAATTCCAGAAAGGTTCAAGATCAACCGGTCCAGTGGAGGAAGACGGATCTTCTTGAGTGTCAAACCGTCTCTTACCAAATTCAAAATCCGACGAAATATCGGTGTTCATGTCAGTCGAAGCTGCAGTTTCTTGTGACACACTCATCGTTTTGAGACTCTGCCTTCTGTTGTTATCAATCATAGCCTGTAGAACCGAGTGTTCTTGAGCGAGACTCGGACCGGAAACCTGTAGGGGTTGAGTTTGGTAGAGCGGAATCCTCTGGAAAAAGTCGGCATGGATCGAGTTGAGAACAGGGCTGTTGAAACAACTGAGGGTGGTTCCTCTGGTTTGATCCGTTTGGTTGGAGAAGCAGGGCACGTAAACCGGTTCTGTTTTGGTCTTATCATTGTATGGTGAAGAATCGGTTAAAGAGGGCAAAAGAGAAGGGCTATAGTCGGTTCCCAATGAACCGATCCGGATTAGACTCGAGATCGGAATCTTCTTCCCTCCAGCACTCTTCTGAAACACCCTGCAAATCACCCATTCATTCTGAAAAGATCCAACACAACAAAAAGGAAGATGTCAAACAAAAGAAAAAGAGAAAAACAGAGCAGAAACAGAGGATTTCCGGTTAACCTTTGCGGTTTTTGGTAAATTGTGAGCAGAGAGTTTTCCTTCGAGCCTATACTCATGCATCACCCAATTTGTTTTCTGACCTTTAGGAGCTCTTCCTCTGTAGAAAACAAGTGTTTTCTTCATCCCAACAAGCGATTTGCCTCGGTAAATCTCCTTATCCTTCCCGGTCGCCTTCCAATAACCGGCTTCAGTTGCCCGGTTAGTCCTCAAACCGGTCGGGTACTTTCTGTCCCTCACACAGAAAAAGTACCATTCTTTCTCACCCATTTTTGCCATCCCTGCATAGTTAAATGATCCCAAAAATCAGTCCCCTAACAGCATTAGATCTCAAGAAGAAGTCTGGTTTTGAATTTAGACTATGAAATGCTAAAACTTCAAACCATGGTGGTCTTGGAAACATACATGGTAACTCCCATGGCTCGGATTTGTTCAAATCAACTTCACCAATAGCTTTAGCTGAGAAGCTGATGTCAAGAACCTTCTTGTGGAGATAGTGAGTTATGAGTTCTTCATCTGTTGGATGAAACCTGAAACCAGGAGGTAAATCCATCTGTTCTTCTTCCTTCTGAAACCCACAAAAAGTCTCCATCATTTCTCCTCTCAAGAAACCTTAAACCTTTAAAACTGAAACAAAAACCTTCTTGTTGTTTTGTTTTTCTTCCTTCAAGATCGAAACTTATATTGGTTTCTTGATTTGATCGAGAAAGATTGATTTTGTATTTTTTTTATAAGGAGATGGATTATGAGAATACTATATGAATATATTTATAAATAGAGAGAGAGAGAGAGAAAAGGTGAACAGAGAAGTTGGGGAGAAAGGTTAGGAAGATGATGAGAAAAATATAAAGGGAAAATAGCCAAATGAAACTATAAAGGTTGGAACTTTGAGGGAGTGGAGAGAAACAAAATTGCAATATTTCATTTTCTTAATTATATGAAAATTACGTTAAAACGATAATTTTGTTTTTTAGAATTAGGAAAAAGAAAAAGAAAAAAAAAACAATATTTCCCCATTTTTTTGTGTGAGGAGAAAGATACGTAGTGTGTAACGCAACTTGGGTAGGTTGTTTCAGCACTTTCCCCTTTTTAACACTTTTTCTCTGACCAAAAAAAAAACCCCCCTTAAATGTTCGTATAAATTAATTCAATTTGAAGAAAAAAAATTAGTAGACTTTTTAAAAATACAACTATATATATATATATTGGATGAAATTCAAAGATATTTACGAAAGTAACAAGAGAAGGATAAATACGATTCTTTGAATCTAACGCATTGAGCATAGTTACTATAATTGTATGGAAAATACAACGAATGATCTATGTATCTTAATACGTCAGTTAAATAATACAATGAATATCGACAATGTTTTTGAAAGATAAGTTACAAAGAGATAACTATTTGGTATAAAATATTTATGGTGGAACACGTTCGTTCAGTGATTACTAGTGAATGAGTTTAGAGTTTATGTTTCGATGTAAATCGTATATCTATATCATAAACCATCACAAATTAACCATTTTAAGTCAAAAATTCAAATACAATATTTTGTAGTATCATATATTATTTTATTTTTTGGTAACTTTGTAGTATCATATGTTGAGATAACGTTTATACGAGTTATAAATTATTCGTTTACCATGCATAGTAAATTGTATTTTAAAGATACTCAATTTATAATAAATAAATGGTTTTACTGTTATTTTCTCGTATAAACCATTTTGGACTTTTGATTGTACTCGCTTAGATGTATATCTTATACATTAATAACAAATCAACTACTCTAGACTATTGTATATTGTTGTGTGAGTCAACTTTTTCATTTCTTTTTATGGATAAAATTATTTTTTTCGAAAATAAACAAACTATTTGAATAACTTTCTTTATCATTTCATTTGTATACTCTTTTATTCAGTTACCAACATGTAACCACTTTTGTGATCAAACAGGTTAACAAATAAGAATAAGAATAAAAACGTTGAAGTTTAGATGACTCAGTGCCAATTTCATATGTAATACTAATATTTAGCAAACAAAAATAGTAATATCTAATTTTAATAGTTTTTAATTCTAACACTCTCTTTCCCAAAGAAGTATCAAGAAGGCATGACGACTGACAAATGATGTTTCTGCTGGTACCTTATCGGTTCTTTAATCTTGTTACCTCATTCGTCAAACTGTATAAGCTTTATTACAATTAGAAGCACCACTTAGAAAAGGTCAAAGGAGCTAGCATAATATTATTTTCTAAAAGTTTATGTTTTAAAGAGTGAAGTGCGTTCGGTGTATATACTAACACATTTGTTTCTGGTACCAAATATTGGCATTTATAATGTATTCGAGTGGATGTTCGCCTAGAATCGCATTATAAGATTAAAATCTTATGCATGTAGCTGTCTGTACATTTATTTTGAAGAAAAAATTGGCTTCGGCCACTTTATCTCCAAAAAGTTATTGGAGTTATATAATGTGTATATATGTTGTAATTTACAATCCAATATTTCGATTGTACAATCATGATCAAATTTATAGAAAAGTTCGTCATGAACAGTTACAAAACTTATACGATGTATTAGTTGTAACATATTTACATAAGCTATCAACGTGTGTGCGTGTACATGTTTTTATATACTTTACAACTAACACTTTTTCTTCTTCTATTTTCGTCAGAAGCCAGAACTAACACCTTTTGAGGCAATGAAATTGCACAATCCATAAGGTGGCGCTTTTCAACATCAAGTCACTAACTATAAGTATTGAACATTATATCTCACTTCTTGATCTAAATCGTGAAAAGAGGGGAAAATGGTAGAAGAATGTAGCATATTCCCTACTGTTTCTCTCAAAAGTATGTCTTAACTCTTTAGGTTAGCCAAATCAGAGCGACTCTACATTTATCAAAATTGTTTATCCTTCATCTAAAGGGAACATAGTGAAAAGGAAGATCATTTACGCTTGTTATACGCACTTGAAACTAATTCTACCCATATCATATAATTTTAATGCAACAAACATCTCTTTTTCCTTTTAAGAATATATAAAAAGAATATACTTATAAAATTCTTCTGTCTAACTAACAAATTATGCAGAAAATGTCAAACTAGTCGATTATATTTTAATAGGTCGTCTAATAAAATGCAAAACAATGTCATGGTGGGGAGAAAACGGAATGGAATATAAAAATGGTCGTCAAATAAAAATTACAAATCTGCTTATAGAAAATGTTGCAAATTAGGTGGTAAGATAGCAACTAATATTTCTATTTAAGGAAACTATCCAGTAAGACAAAACCACGTATCAATATGCATCATGCTCCGATTGTAAAGACCTTTCGGTCTCTTCGATATTAATAATCGCAACCCTTTGATTTTGTATTGTAATTAACTTGTCATATTATATCTGCCACGTCATGTTTATTATCCTAACACCCGAAATTTAGGTGGTGACGTAGATACAAATACTATCACAAATCACTAACCACATGTTTGGATCGGTCTCTCATATACAATTTTATCTAAAAGAACAATCATATACAATTGTAAGATAATAGCATTTGCGTATATGTGCTACAAGGCTAAGGATTTCTGAGAGCTAGCTGATTGATTATACGTGACACTAATTTGACCCATTTTCCAACGTTGGGCTCCAAATTGTGGGCTTCGATCGAAATACAAATTCCGAAAATATAATTCCTCAGCTCTCAGCATTTTGCGGACCTAACTGTATAAGATAATGTTTTTGAAGCATCTGTATAATATAATGTTTTAAGGATGGTGAAAAATAAAATTTGATTTGTAGTCTTGTAGATAACAGAAAACCATAGTAAGTTGATGATTCTTGGTTCTGTTTCTAGGCATTGTTTTTGATTATAAAATCCTGTGGGCCGGCCGCTTTTGTAGTCTTTGGACCATAGTTTGCTGACAAATCCAAAATGAAAAAACAAAACTGTGGGCTGCATGCATGTTTCTTCTGGTCAACTTTCTTTTATCTTATCCTGTAAAAATTAGACAAAGCATGCAAATAAATCCAAATCTATTGAATTACAGTTATGAGTTATGGCATTACCATTGTAGTACTCCCTCCATTTTTTTTTTAATGAATTTTCTAGCCTGTTATTTCACAAAGATAAAATTTTTACCTTTTTGATGCATTTTTTCAGTTTTCAAGATACAATGATTATATTTGTTGGATTTTTATTGGTTTAAAATTATAAAAAGTTGTTTTATTGCAGAAATCTATGTACTAATGATTGAAAATCAACTTTTTTTTAATTTGTGTGAAAAAACTAGAAAATTTATCTTTAAAAAACGGAGGGAGTATAAGCCAAGTGGGACCCTATCCAACGAGGACAAGCCTAATACACAGTCAGCTACACGTTTCATGAGACGATCCTGACAGTGATGTTCTTACTCCTTCTCGTGAGAGAAGACAAAAATAGAAAACCAGATACAAAAAAATATATATAACCGAAAGTGGTGTTTTGACTTAGTTGGTAAATTCATAAAAAGAAGATTATCTTATAAAATCGTAGTATCAGCCAATCCCGATCATTCAATTTTCTGATTAGTGACAAATGTCATTACAACATCGGTCAATAAGCGTTAATTACGATGAGAAAATGAGAAATTACTTACTGGCACAAATCACCAAATCTAACGGGAGAGTGAAATGGATATGGATAAAGATAAAAAATCCAGTTGGATATAGAAGAAGGACCCACCTTCGAGTAAAGTGTACAAAGAGAAACAAGTTTCTGCATATTTCTGAAAGTCTGAAACCGAGAGAGGTCAATAAAGTGACCAACTTTTTGTGACTCTCTTCTTTCACTTTTTGTCAATTTCTTCTTCTCTGCCAGTCACAAATTCCTCTGTTTTGATCAATTGCTATAGACGGAAATGGAAGCAATTTCATCTCTAAGAACCGAGGGTCGTATCGGTGTTCAATTCTCCGAGATTCTCCCCAGAACCAGTCATGGGCTTTCTGGGTTTTATCCATTTTCTCAGGAAAGTAAATCAAAATCAAATCTTTTCCCGGTTATGAGCCTCGATCTGAAGGAACATCCCATGGCTTCAAGTTCAACCAACCAAACCCTAACCGCCATACCTTCTTCTCCTGTAAGCAAAACAAAAGATCTAATTTTTTGACTTATTTTCGTTAATCCAAATCTCTGTTTTGACTTTATAGATTCTTAAACGGCTTGAAATGGTTGATTTTTGTTTTTTCAGGCAAAGACGTCATCGTCGTCGTCAGTTGGTATGAGTAGAGGAATGAGATGGTGGGAAAAGTCAACGAAACACAACATGTTAGAGATTCACTCTGCAGACGATCTCGTTGACTCGTTGTTAAATGCTGGAGATCGATTAGTTGTTCTTGATTTCTACTCTCCTGGTTGTGGTGGCTGCAAGTCTCTCCACCCAAAGGTATGTGTGCATAGCCAATTAACTATATTGTGGAGATTTTTCAGTTAAATTGGTTTGTGATCTGATCTGTGTTTGATTATAAAACAGATCTGTCAATTGGCTGAATCAAACCCAAATGTGATGTTTCTGAAAGTGAATCAAGAAGAGCTGAGAACAATGTGTCATGGCCTTAACGTTCATGTGCTTCCCTTCTTTAAGTTCTACAGAGGAGCAGAGGGTAAAGTCTGCAGCTTCAGCTGCACTATTGCCACCGTAAGGAAATCTTATCATCAAAAATGCAGTTTTGGCATTTTTACCAGTCAAATTGAAAGTCTTGTTGATTGAATTGTGCAGATCAACAAGTTCAAGAAAGCGTTGGATAAGCATGGGAGCGAAAGATGCAGTCTTGGGCCAGCTAAGGGTTTAGACGAGAAGGAACTTGCAGCTTTAGCATCGGTAGGGGAACTGAAGATTAATCTGAATTCAATGAAATTGCATCAAGATAACATCTTCGGTTATCAAACAGAGGAACAACATCAAACAATGCTGATATAGAGTATAAAGAGATGATCTTTCATTATGGTTCTTATTATTAATTTGTACATTATTGGTATCCATCCATTAGTCATTGAGGTTAGCTCCAAAGATTATGGTTCAACAATTGGGATCTAGGATTAATATATTTTCTCTGTTTCAATAACCAATTCAATTATGAAAGTAAAATTTGTGTTTAGATCTTAGCCAAACAGAGAAGAAAGATCTGGATAGGTAAAAAAAAAAAAAAACAGTGAAAGGATAATAACAAGGCTTAACCTCAGCGTCAAGATTGTAATCATATATGTTTTACACATCAGATCTGATGATTATTTGAAATCCATCATTGGTAAAAGCCTTGGAACTTTAAATCAAATTAGAAAAAAGTTTTGATCTGAACAATAAAAATCAAAACATAGCCCAAAAAACCCAATAATTTTAGAAAACAAGAGGTTGTTTATGCATCAGAGAGATTCCCATTATAGACTAAAGTCAACACAGATAATTTCTGATGTCCCTGTCTGTTTAATCGTCACTTGCAAACAACACAAACCCAAATGAAATCAAAGAATCAAAGCCGTCAAATACCAAAACCAGAAATATACCCCAGTAGAAAACCATCTCTCAAAGTAATTAAAAAGTGTCAAGAACTATTAGCATCTAAATTCTATCATAAACCAATCGATTAGTAAAAGAGATGAGCAAAAGGCTGGACAAGATTCTGACAACCAAAAAAAGAACTTAAGATTGGGATGAAGGAACGGATTTTAGGGTTTTCACGGTTTCAGAACCAGAAACGGAACAGAGAGTAGGGTTTAGGGATGCTTGCTCTCCGACTTATATAGAGGATTTTTGGAAAAGCGGCGCTATATTATAACCTATAATTACTATATGTTAATTAATTTATCGTCAAAGGGGATGTAGCTCAGATGGTAGAGCGCTCGCTTAGCATGCGAGAGGTACGGGGATCGATACCCCGCATCTCCATTTTTAGTTATCATTATATTTTTGAATCCATTTATAAAAGAAGAGCAAAAACTCTTATCAAGAAGTTGGTCAATTTTCACATGAACGGCTTCAAAATTCATCAAGGAGTTTAAACCTTGGATTTTCACTCCTCATTCTCTGATCTCAAAGATTCATCAAGGAGTTTGGTTGTGAATGATATGTTGATGGTTCAAGAAGACACATAAAAAGGCTGTGAAAGCATGCAGCTTTGGCTGCGTTGACACATTTTCAATCGTATCTCATTTCTTTTGCTATCTTGTTTTTTATTTATTTTTTGCCAAGATACCAAATTTATAGGTTCTGCTCTATGTAGGGAAAATCACATTTTTAACCCTCAAAGTAGCAAAAGTTAGCACTTTAAACCTTAGAACTATTGCATTTACACTTTAAACCTTTAAACTTATTATACTAACAAGTAAAACTTTCAAATTAGACTTTTAGTTTACGCCGCCAATAAAATGACCGGAACTATTTTGTTCTCAATAAAAAATGCTGACGTGTCAGTGACATTATTTTTTCGAAAAAAAATTAATTTAATAATTATTTAAATTATTTATTTTAATGAATAATAAAAAACACAAAAAGTAAAAGTTTCCTCTCATCGGATCAATTTCTTCCAATCTTCTCTTCAACAAAATCAACAACACAAAATCTTTTAGCAAATAATTTGCCTCTCTCTTTTTAAATGCGTTAGCTAGATCTTAAACTCGTCAAGGGCAATAGATTTTATTGAGCTTGTGTGTATCGACTCATTGAGACGGTGTGTATATCCAATGTCGGTCCAATAAATTTAAATGCCCTACTCGAATTTAAAAAGTATGTCTTTAAAAAAAAAATCCAAAATCACAAAAACAGTAAAAATATTTTAAAAAAAAACACTTTAAACTTCATAAAATAAACAAGTTCTGGTTGAAAACTCGATTTACTATGGTTGAATAACAATAGTTTGCGAAATATATATATATAAAAAAAAAACTGATTTCTTATGGCTTAAATATATCTTTTCTTAAATTCTGAGTTGCAAAATCATTTATTAAACTCACATAATTGAGTTTTTCAACCATAGCTGTCTCTATCGATAACAAAGTCAATCAATTCAATCTTTCTTGGGACATAGTAGATTGCAAGTATTTGTTAACAAATGTCATATAAGTATGAATATCACTAAAAAGGTTTTAAAACTTTGTACATAATATATAAACCCCTTTTTAAAAAATTAACAAAAATATGTTCTTGTTAAAACTTTATACACAATATATATCCTTTAAGAAGAATTTAAGTAACTAAAATATGCCCTTGTTAAAACTTTGTAAATAATATTTATATACCCTTAAGAAAAATTTTAATAAAAATATGCCTCTAATTATCGGATGCCCTACTCAGCCGCTTACCTGCATGTGTTCAGGGCCGGCCCTGTGTATATCGGCGGAAAACGGCGTTATTGGAGCTTGGTTCATCGGAGATTTTACATGCGAGCTCATATATTAATAGCTTTTTCAATTTCAACAATGGTGGAAGAGGAAATTCGATAGCTTGGGTTTTCAATTTGAATCCAAACAATGAGAAAACGAATACACACCAATTGATTTCAATGGTATTGGGTTTTCAATCCAATCCAAACCAATTTGAATACAGCCATGGTGATTAGCAAACCCAATACCACTAGAATGGAATTGGGTTTTATAGTTCTGATTCTCACCCAATTTTGAAGCTTAGCTTAGTGGAAAAATCCAAAATCTTGTTGGTGTGGTAAAGCAATAATCAAATTCGCAAGTTCTAAGATTCAAATCATCCGACAAAATTGAGAACACTTTTTTAAAGAAAAAAACGAAGAAAAGGTCGAAAATTTCAAGAAGGGGAATGAGAATAGATTTTATGGTCAAAGCTATATATTAAGAGCTTTTTCTGTGATTTGATTTCAATGGAGACGGGGAGAAGCACCTTCACGAAGAAGAAGAAGGAAAACTTTTTTTATTATTCATTAAAATAAATAAATTAAATCATTATTAAATTATGTTTTTTTTGAAAAAATAGTGTCACCGACACGTCATCATTCTTTACCGAAAACAAAATAGTTCCGGTCATTTTATTGACGGTACAAATTAAAAGTCTAATTTGAAAGTTTTACTCGTTAGTATAATAAGTTTAAAGATTTAAAGTGTAAGTGCAATAGTTCTAAGGTTTAAAGTATTATTTTTTGACACTTTGAAGGTTAAAAATGTGATTTTTCCATTTTAAAATGATATTTACCATTTAGCAAAAAAAAAAAGTCAAAATGGAGTCCATAACTTTAACCAAGTATTTCCCTAGTTAGATTTTCTTTTAACAAAGGAACTTGCAACTCCATGTTTATTCTTTGTACCTAATCTACATAACTAATAAGGCTTGTACATTCTCCAGTTCGGGATACGTGGCACTCTTTTTTTTCCTTCCAAACGTCAAAACGACGTTGTTTTGCGTTGTAGTTTTTTTTTTCCGTCTTACTCCTAAATGACATCGTTTTGGAGCGAGCAACGAAAAAAAAATCGTCGCGAAAAAAAAAAAAATCGTCGCTGGCTCCAAACGATGTTGTTTTGGATTTTTTTTACAATTTTTTTTTTTTTAACTTTTAACTTCATAGTCTTCACCTCTTTTAGCTTTTGAAAAAAAAACTTCTCCTCGGCCCAAATGTTTTTCTTCCTCGCCTAATTTCTTCGCCTCGGCGTCTCCGCCGTTTCGTTGGCATCCCTTTCTCCGCCGTTTCATAATTCAATGGCGGCCATTAATTCCACCGGTTACGCCTTGTCCGCTTCGATTGCCCACTGCGTCTATATTAGTCTTCACCCATCTCTTCTGACTCTTTTGCTCAGAACTAATTCTCCATGACTCCATTACCACGCTGTTCACCGTCACATTCTTCTCTTTTAAAAACTTCCGCAGGGTTTCAGTGGCAGTGGTCATGGTTTCCGGTAACCCTCGCGCTCTGCCGTTCTGTGCTTTCCAAGATTTGCTCTTGGGTCCGGTTGCGGATAGCATCACGGTCCACCTCGTTGACAAAGAGAAGAAGACCCATGACCTCGATTCCGTCAAGGAACTTGATCTTGGCTGCAAAAATCTCACCGACGTGAGTTTTCCGCCTATATAAACTCTGTGCCTCGGTGAGAAGCTGAAACGAAACCCTAATTGTATAAATTGATATTCTAGGTGTCTGTTTGAGCAAGTTAAAAAGCTTGGAGTAGCTCGATCTTCGTTTCAACAATCTCACTGCTCTTCAGGTGCGAAACAGAGATAGAACAAGCTGAACTCAATGAATGAGATCTCTTCTCTTGTCCATTTGCGAGCTTTGATTTTGAACGGTGAGTTATACGACACAATTTAACGTTTTTGGTCTTTCCATCCACAAGCTACTGATGATTACCCTTTTCTTGTTTCACTTCTTGCTAGACAATGAAATCTCCTCCATTTGCAAGCTAGGTCTGCTTATAGACTAGAAGAGTCTTCGTATGTTCTCACATCAGAATCAACATATTACACTCTTATGTATGTTACTCAATTTCATCTTCTTAAATCTTCTTGCTTCGTTATGGATTTGATGCAGTGCTCTCTAGGAACCCTATCACTGAGATTGGTGACTCCCTTTCAAAGCTGAAGAACCTCTCAAAAGTAAGCTCTGACTCTTCTCCTGTTTCGAGTATCAAAACTAAAACCTGCTCCCTTGTCTAATCCCTGGTTTCAGATATCTTTGTCTGACTGCAGAATAAAAGCTATTGGCTTTTCTCTCAAGTCTTGCTCCGATTTGAAAGAGCTACGACTCGCCAACAATGAAATTCAGATGATTTATCTTCTCCATAGATTACAGATCACACCAGTCTGTTCCAAAATCTTTTGTTTATGTTGGTAGATGATTAATTCCCTTGGCGCTTAAATGTTCAGGCTCTCCTAGCAGAACTTTCTCTCAACAAGCGACTACTGAAGTTAGATGTGGGAAACATTATGATCATGAGTCTCTCTGGTTTAGAGGTATTATGTGTTTTTCTTGCGACGACATACAAGTACTGCAAATTAAGAGTATGAAAAAGAGGAGAAACGACATCTCTGATTTAATTTGTTCTTTTTTTTTCTGGACAACTGCTTTGTTCAGTATAAAATGAATCGCCTCTCTCACTATATAATAATATATGTACTGCAAATTGTTTATGTTCTTTTATACATAACCAGCCGTTAATTATGCACAACATACGAACCCATGTTGAAATCTAAACAAAAAAAAAAAAAATCAAGTCAAAAATTATTATTACAGCTTCGGTCTGTCCTAGAAGATTCAAAGCAGGAAAAGAATATGTTTTTTTTTTTTTTTTCACTCTCTTACTCTGTTTTTTAACCATATTTTCTTGTCTGTAAAATCATCTCAAGAATTTGGGAAGAGAGTAACTCAAGACTTTACTCACTATGTCAAATCCAGAATCTGTACTGATCAAGGAAATTCAGCTGATTATTATAGCCCAGCTTCTGAGCCATTGGTGTTTAGCAAGAAAGTCACTCCTATTATCACTTCTTCTTCGAATGTTTAGCAAGAAGAGTGGATAAAACAAATTTACAAATCTTCCACAAAATACTAAATTTTAAAATAAAGTCCCGCCCATTGCGCGGGTACCCTCCTAGTAAAGTAATAATAAGTCGTTGTTTGCGTTTCAAAGAAAATGGTTTTAATTTAATTTTATCAAATACTATTATTGACGACATAGTGAATTGACGAGAACGTGCAAGTGCTTACAAAAATTATTATAAGAACATACAAGTGTCTACAAAAACTATTACTAAGTATAACTTTATAAGAACATACACGTGCTTACAAAAAATTATTAAGAGAACATACAAGTGCCTACAAAAACTATTATAACTTTATAAGAATATACAATTGCTTACAAAATTATTAATATTCTAATAAAAAATAATATTAAAAATACATTGACTTATATAAAGAAAGACTTAACCTAAAATTCTCAAATTATAATTTAAGAGAAATGTAATAATATGTTTAGAATAATAATAAAGTTTAGGCTAGAATAGTTCCCATCATGCACGAGATGAAATAATTATGAATAATATAACTTTTATGTTTGAATCTCTACGAAAAACTTTTCATATTTGAATCTCGGCTTGTAATATTTGAATCTATACGGTTTTTGTTATGGGTTAATGAAGAGCTTCAGATGATTTACGAGCTTAAGTTGAGATGGATTCAAAAGTCAATGAAATAGTAAATGAAACAACCGCAACAACCAAAAATATAGTATTACAGTTTTTTAATTCCTATGGCAAAACACTAGGCAAATAATTAACATTATCATGTAAAATTTATATTTATTACCTTAAGCCGCCCTAAACATCCTAGAGCCTTCTCGCTCTCTCTTTCACACACACACACTATATATATATGTCTCTCTTATGTAGTCTTCTTTCACAACACATCTAAAGATGACGAGTCACTACCGAAACACGACCTCCGTTGTTTATCTCTTGCTTTGTCTCTTCATCACATCTGCCTCCTGTGGAAGTTCTTTCATACGACAATTCACTGATGACTTCAACGCAAATCTGCAGCGTATGCCATCTTTTCTTTGTTCTTAGCTAGATTTGATCAAATATTTAAGAGATCCATCTATATATTTGTAAACAATTGGACACATGCTATGTTTATTTTTAATTTTTGTCTAGAAGCAGAAGGGAATGGAGTAGGACCAAACCCTGACCTTGAGGAAGCTCATTACTTAGATACACATGAGGAGGTCACATCACGTGATCATAAAGTCTCAGCTTCAAGCACAGTGAAAGGTATGAGAGATCGTCCTCCGTCTTCTTACTCTTTGAAGATGGAATCTTTCAACACTCTCCTCAAGTCAACGAGCATAGATAGTTACGAATCTCGTCCTTTTTCGGTTGGTGGATACAACTGGTAAGTCTTTGTTTGCCGAAATGGAATATTATATAGGAAAAATAATTTAATGCATGGATCATATATTATGCAGGACACTTGTTGTGTACCCCACCGGAAACAAGAAGGATAATGGTGCAGGGTACCTTTCGCTTTACGTAGCCGTAGACAAGTCGATTTTCGTCGCTGCACGGAAAGAAGTTTACGCAGATCTCAGATTCTACATCTTCAACAATAACGAGAGGCAATACTTCACAATCCAAGGTTTTTTGCTAATTTTTTTTTATATAATTAATCAAAAAGAAAAAAAAAAAGAAAAGAAGAAAAAGCCACTTTTAAACAAGAATGTTGCTCTACAAAAGAAAAAAACTTGCTGTACTAATAGTAATATCTATCAATCTTTGTTATTGAATTGAAGATACCAATGTTTGGCGATTCAATGCCTTCAAAACGATGTGGGGATTCTCCCAAGTCATCCCTGTTGAAACATTTAAAGACTCGAAAAATGGTTACCTCTACGATGGAGATCACTGTGAGTTTGGAGTTGATGTGACCATTCCCACTACCTATGAAACATCAGAACTTTTCACTCTCTATAATTTCAATAGCGAAAGATACACTTATGTCCTTCCGGGTTTCTCCACGCTGCTCAAGAATGATTACTTTTCAGATGTGTTTTCCATGGGAGGAAGACGTTGGTAAGTTCCTCGAAAAGAAAATGTTTGTGCTCTAATTAGAGTATTGTGGTAGTAACATGTGCTCCTTAATTATGATGATCAGGACAATACGAGTGTTTCCAACTGGTTATGACGGAAAATTCTTGTCAATGTTTCTTCGCCTTGATGAGAAACAGAAATTCGTACCCTACGAGAAGATGTATGTTCGAGCCCAACTTCGAGTTCTTAACCAACTCCAATTCAGTAACCGCGAAAAGACACGTACGCATATATATATATATATATATATATATATATATATATATATATATATATATACATATTTATCTTATGGTCACATCACGCTGACTTTTTTTTTTTTTTTTGGCAGTCGAGGTTTGGTTCGCTGCTCCGGGATATGGATATTCAGGTTGGGGTTACAATGAGTTCATCCCACTCTCGGATCTCAAAGATTTATCGAAGGGTTTTGTTGTGAAAGATGCGTTGAAGTTTCAAGTCCAATTGGATGCCCTTTCTTTAACCAAGTACTTCCCTAACTAAGGAATTTGCAACTCCATGTTTTTTTTTATGAATCCACTTAATAATAAGAATCTGTGTTTTCGTGTTTAACACATGAATTTTGTTTCTTCTCATTGAGAATTTATCACTCTTCTTGAAATTAAGCACCAAAGATTTTTACTCCCCGAAAAATCGTTTATTGGACATACTATTATTCCACACAATTGTTCTTGTTTAACTGGAAGACGAAACTGAGCTATTCATGCATGACTATTATTTTTAGAGTCTTGGCTCTTCAAGCACAGAGGGGTTTTAACAGCAGTCCAAAAAATCATCTACATCATATAGAAAGAAAGATTAATATATAAATACAAATTGTGATCAACTGAAAGCACAAGAAATATAGAGAAGGAGTTTGAGGGAAAAGACTAGCGATTAGTCAACTGAAAATATACCACTTGGTAGATTAAAATTTGCATGGAAATGTTTTTCTTTTGCCTGGTGTATGGTACCAGTTGGTAAATTAATATTTGCAAGACCAAACTCTCCTCCCCGGGGTCTACCTCCTTTAGAACGTTTTTAATTATTTTCTTAAAAACTCATTAAAAGTTTAGTGATAATTAGTGACATTTTAAGGAACTTTTCTTTGATTAAAAGTTTGATATTTTTGGTTTATACTTGCTTGTTCTATATTTTGTACTCTTCATTTCAATAATTATTGCCATTTTCTCATTGTTGAAAAACGAGAAAATGAAGAAAAAAACTTTTATAATTAAGCTTCGAATTCGAGTATAGTAAGCTCTATGTGGACTTTTACAAACCCTCGAGCGTTTTACAATGGTCGTCTATGACAAAACAGAGTTTTCAACCCTAAGATTTACAGTTTAGTCTTTCTCTGATCATGCGAAAATCGGATGGTTAAATCTCCTTAAGCTCATGGGCTTACGACAATGTTAGAATATTAGATCAATAGTTATGAAAACGAAAACACCTTTTTTGTTAGATTCATAGTGAAGAAAGCCATTTGGATAGATTCTTTTAATATTTGTAATAATGTCACCTCCATGTCGATCATGACCCGAATTTCAGTTATCTAATGTGCTTGTAAACATTTTTAATGACATGTAGCTCTCGTACGCCAGGAGTATTAAGGTCATGGCTCCACATCCGTTTCAATATATATCAAATAGATAGCTATTATTCAGTCACAACAAATCTGAAAGCACAAACACAAACACATCATCTTTTATTTTTAATACAAAACAACTCTCACAAATCGCCTTATACCAAATCACAATACTCATAAGTATACCAGCACACTGAGGAGAGCATTAAGCGGATTTCACTCCGTGGCAACTCTCTTATTAATTCACACAAATTAAACCAAATCACAATACTCATAACTCACAAGTGTAACAGCACGCCGAGGAGAGCATTACGCGGAATTCGCTGCGTAGAAGTAGAGATCATCTAAGCGTTCGTTGGTCTGAGCCTTCCCGCCAAACATCAGCATCCCATTCTTTCCATTGATGGTTGCAGCCGTCGAGGCACACCAACCACGTGGACCGGGCTTAACCGTCTCCTCCTCACCGTTTCCTTCCAGTTTACTCCATTCCAGCGTCTCCGTGTCCAACACGAAACCTTTACCACACAACGTCCCAGGACCGACATGGGCATTAGGGTCCATCTTGATCTCACCTCCAACTACTATTATATACTTCCCCACAGCCGCCGTCGCGAAAACGCTCCTCGGCGGCGGTTTCTCTCCAGTAGTCTCGACTTTTGACCATTCTTTCTTCTCAAGATCACAGAAATGAATATCATCAGTTTCGCAACCATCACACCCGTAAACCACCCATAGTTTTCCTTGCACCAGCACGAGACCCGTTCCTCCTCTTTCTTTGCAAGAATCACCCGGAGTTGGTAGCTGAACCCATTTCTCATCCGCAACGTTAAACGCGTGTAGCAACTTGAGCCGTGAGGTTTTACTCACACCGCCAAACAAGTAGATGTTCTTCTCATCGGAAGCCAACGAGTGGAAGCTACGAGCCTCGGGTCCTTCCTCAACCGGTGTCACTAGCTTCCACTCGTTTGTCAACGTGTCGTATGAGTAGAACCCGTTATACTGTCGGGTTGCATCACGGCCGCCGAAAACGTAGAGTTTGGATCCGACGGCTACCATGGAGACACCTATGCAGGATAGATGAGGGATGTCTCCGGTGGCCGGAGCGATGGACCAAGTGTGAGTGTTGAGGTCAAAGACGTAAAGGTCTTTGTCGATGGGGATATTGGCTGTTAGCTCGCCTCCGAAACAGTACAACTTGTCTCCGACCACGGCTATGGCGTGTGCACTCCTCGGTCCTGGTCCCTTTCCTGTTTGCTCCAACTAATATAATAACGTCTCATCAGCACAATATTTATTTTTCAGTACAAATCACTATAGCCAAGATGTTATCGATGTGATATGTCATATGTTCATTACCAAAATATGAAAAGCATATATATAACGATTAAGTTTCGATGTATATCGTAGCGTCATGCATATAGCTCTAATCAACAACTAAAATAAAAATTTAATATCTCTCGTGCAACTTTTATGAATATGTGAGAAATCAAACTAACTGGATAATGTTTAATTAATTAAGTACCTTGATCCACTCGCCCTGCAATGTCGGAGCCATAGCTGCAATATGAATTATGATTCTGGTGTGTGTGTGTGTGTGTTTTGCTTGTGTCTCTTATTCCTTCATTGCTGTGCTATTTATAGACTAAAAATCTACGTGACAAGAGACTTTTAGAATTTCCAAGCAACGTCATCACCGATAAAATACAAATGCAATTACTTTAACACTGTTGGCCAATATGAATCATACTCCGTTATAACGTTGCAATAAAGCATTTTATCGCATCCAATAATTCGATATCCGTATAGAAAAATTAGTTTACAGTGTTCTTATACGTCAATTGTTTTTTTTTCTTAGGCTAGTTAAAAGGAGTAAAATAGTTTACATTTTTTTTCATCTCTTGCCTTTACGACTTACAAACAGAATTTAATTAAAAATCATTTATATCCCCAATACCCACCCCAACCGTACGTTCCCGTTCATGCCTCTAAGTATGTATCCACAAAACATTCTTTAAATGCGATATTAAATTTCCCCCCAATTATTTGAATTCTGATTTGTTTTACCAATTTGGGGAATGTTATCTTTGGAGATTGTATAATAAAAAGCAGTTCTCCAAAATGGAATAGTTTATTAAAAAATGAGCCACGTGAATGTCGTTTTGGACAAATAATGCAATGCTCAACGTTTCGCGACGACAGACAAACGTACCTCCAGTTAGAGGTCCTTTGTCGATTTAGAGCCGTTCGATCTTCAAACCAAAGGCTGTAACTCGTGACCCGAGAGGTATGACACGTTAACGTCAGAGACTGGCCCGGCTCTTAAAGCTACTAAAATATCAGTCAATATATAAGCTAGGCCCCTTTGGACAAAGCATGCGGTGATCGAGTAACAACGTATCAATGCAACACTGTTATAACTCGTGACCCGAGAGGTATGACACGTTAGAGACTGGCCCGGATCTTATATAAAGCTACCAAGATATCAGTCAAGATATAAGCTAGGCCACTTTTGACAAAGCATCGGCGGTGGTCGAGTAACAACGTATCAATCACTTTAGAGAAATCTATCAACACACTGTTTCGATGCTTCTGTTACTTACATCAATAACTTTTCCATTTCACTATATATTCGTATATTTTTGTCCACACATTATCTTTCTTTCCTTATTGTTTATATTTCAACATTATTTTCTCGTTCCCTGTTTAATGATCAAACTAAGCAATGAAACTATGGCGGGGAACAACTTGGTCCCATCTTTAAAACCTAATAATAATACTCAACCAATCAACATGAGTGGCAAAATTAATAAGGTGTACAGGAGTTCATCGAAGATGGATATATTTTTACTCTTTGATTTGAATCATATCATATCATTTCCATTTATCTAGATCGAACACTTCAATTACCAACCATCCCATTAATTCAAATGTTTGCAACTTGCCATGTATAGCTAATGTCATGTATATCATGCACCCTATGTTTTGTACATGTCGCTATCGGAAGCTCTATCATATATATCTGTGTGGGTCAACATACAACTTTAATATAGATGGTGTAAGGTATGTATTATTGCATACTACAAGTACAAACCGTTGAGGGAAATGAAGTAGCTAGATAGCTTCTATTTGGACAAGAAGCAAATCTCCAAAGACTAAAACAAATCATAATATGACATATTTGGTAACTACGCTGGTACAACTAATAGACAAAAGACATCAAATCAAAAATACTGAAAATGGAAATTGCGAAAAACGGTCCCGTTACAATGCATACACTATAAATCTATAACTAATGCTTGATATATCGGATTTGACAAGAGACTATCTGACAATTGACACTATAACTAAAGTTTGATACGAGACTATTTGCCAAATTGACACTAGAACTAATGTTTTGATATGATTATGTCACTGTAGATTCTTTCCAGGTGGTGGCCTGGTCTTGGCTAGGGGACCAGTTCGCTTCTTGCCCAATATATAAGTCTACCGGATCTGATCAAAAATACAATTAAAAAAATATAATTGACATTATTTCGACTCTGCATAGCCATATATAGCATAGGCCATATAATCCTAGTTTTTCTAGACACTGTCAAACAAAAAATGAAATGACAATTTTGGAATAAAAAAAATTATAAATATGCAATTTATGGTTTTCTCATCAAATTACAATTTCTCTTTTTCTTCTTCTTCTTATAAATCTTCACTTTAAATAAGAAATTAAAAATTTACCAGAGAAAGAACCCAACCCAACAGGGCCCATGTAATAAAAGCCCAAATAAGCTAAAACTTGTTCGTCAAGTCAGAGAAATGGGTACTCATCATTTGTCGGAAACCCTACTCACTAGTACTCACTGAAAATGTTGTTCTGGTCTGTAACATCAGTGCCTAGTGTGGCCAGATTCTGCAATTCCTCGAGCACTCCGGTTTCTCGATTCCTCTCTTCTTCTCCTTCCCTTCGTCTCCGTTCCTCGAGCAATTTACTGCCAACGTTAGCCCTAACGGCGGGAGATTATTCCGGTGGCGTTTCGTCTTATCTTGCCTCCACCATTTGCCACTGCTCTTATTCTTCTTCTTCTTCTGTGTCGCAAAGTGAGTCAGCACAAGAAAAGACGAGTCCTTTTTGTTTTGATGCGGCCATAGACTCGATGGTCCAGATCTTCTACTTCTTTAGCGAGCCAAAACCTCTTCAACCCTGGGACAAGAGTGACACTGAGGAAAAAAAAGATATCACCAGTGGTATTTAGAAAACATATAATCTCTCCCCCACACATGAATTTTACTTTAGGAGTGACTTCATGTTTGTGTAATTTTGGGTTTTATTTAGGATTCGCTGTCTCCGGAAAGAGAATTCTTGCGGACTCTGGTATTCTGTCTAATTATTCATCCTGGAGCTTTCGAGTGAGAAAGTTTGGTTCAGCCACTTTCTACGCAGCAAAAGTTGAAGCGGTTGTGCCTGAATGTTGTTTGGCTACCTTAGTTGTTGATAGCGAAGAGTTTTGGGAGACTATGAAACCTTTGGAGCTCGGGGACGAGATACCCTCCGTAGGAGAAACGGTCTCCGTTTTTGGTTATGGTACATCTTTACACTTGAAAGATTTTATGAGAATGTTATAGCGAGACTAACAAGAAGGACTAATACGAGTTATGTTATGCAGGCTATGACACCATTAAGCTTGTACAAGGGACTGTATCTTCAGTCGAACCTAAAGAATATTTTCACGGCACAGCCGAACTATTGTCGATAGAACTCAATATGGACAGCTGCTACAGTAGTGGTCCGGTGGTAATGGGAAACAAGATCGTTGGTTTTCGTCCAGGGATGGATGACATAACGCCAACTTCAGTGATTAAGCATGTTCTCAGTAGCCTTGAGGAAAGACTCATTGGCTCCGGTTCGCTGGATATTACGTGGCAATCCATGGAGAATGCGCAACTACGTAGACATTTTAAAATGAGTGATGACATGACAGGTGTTCTTATAAACAGAATGCATCCACTCTCAAATGCTCTCAGAGTTTTGAAAGAACACGATGTCATTCTTGCAGTTGAAGGCTTTCCTGTCAGTAATGATGGAAAAGGTAAACAGTTACATATGTTGAATATCTTCTTCTCAATGTATGTTGATGAATTTTGCTTCTTATATCTTCTCCTCGCAGTTCACTTTCAGAGAAAAGAGTGGCTTGATCTTAATCACTTAGTTTCTATGAAGAAACCGGGTGAAACAGCTTTAGTTAAAATCTTAAGACATGGAAAAGAACATGTGTTCCATGTCGGTTTAAACTTCACCGTAAGTCTTTTTTCTTCTAGTGACAGATTCTTTTGTTTTGTGACATATTTAATTTGCTGGTTATCTAATAACTGACCCATTAGTTTTCGTTTACTTGTTGGTTCACATTGTTTTTAAATGGAAATTGACAATTGTCAAAACGTTAACAGAAGCAGCAGCTGGTTCCGGACAAATTCCTTCCTAGCTATTACATACTTGCCGGTTTTGTCTTTGTGCCTCTTTCAGAGCCATACATTAAAAAATCAAGGGCCACATGTGGCTGTACATTAAAAAGGATGGCAAGTGCCATATGTGATGACTGTACATCAAAAAGGATGGCCACTAAGGCCGGTGAACAGATTGTCATAATTTCTCAGGTTTGTGTTTCTTTCCTCAACTAATTAATCTTTTTAAACCTAAAATCGTTACTAAAAGAAAAGAAAAAACAACAAGTGGTAGCATTATAATTTTTTGTGTTTGTGTGTGTGTGTGTGTGTGTGTGTGTGTGTGTGTGTGTGTGTGTGTGGTGTGTAGGTGTTTTTGGATGACATCAACAAGGAATACTCTAGTTTAAAAAATATCGAGGTAAGTTATATTCGTATTGTGGCTGTTTTTAAAGTGATTGCATATCTGTTTTAAAGTGAAGATTGATTATTATATTTTTTTCACTAAAAAGTTGATCCAATTGGTTATGTTGTTGAAAAAAAGAATAGTGATAATGTTTGTGGTGCATAACAGGTGAAGAAAGTGAACGGAGTGGAAGTGGTGAATTTGAAGCATCTAAGTGAGCTCATAGAAAATTGCTGCACTGAGGATTTAAGATTTGATTTAGAAGAAGGATATGTGATTGTTCTGAACAACCAATATGCTAAAGAAGCAACTCCATTGATCTTGGAAAGACATGGAATACCATCGGCCATCTCCAGTGATCTTCAGTAAAACAATTATGGCTTGGCTTTTTCTGCTTCTTATGCTCTAGTTTGGATCAAATTTCAGATTGTTAAGTTTTTCATCTCGATAGCACGGTTCAATAATCACATATATAGTCGTATGGAGTACTAATTAAAGTTTTTTACAATTTCATTAATTTTCAAATCTTCACCTAATTTAGATTTTACTGAAAAAAGAACCCAACAAGGCCCATGAAATGATAGCCCAAATAAGCTAAAACTTGTTCGTCAAGTCAGCGAAATGGTTACTCATCATTTCTCGGAAACCCTACTCAGTACTCACTAGTACTAACTGGAAATGTTGTCCCGGTCTGTAACATCGGTGCCTAACGTCGCCAGGTTCTGCAATTCCTCGAGATCTCCGGTTTCTCGATTCCTCTCTTCTTCTCCTTCCCTTCGTCTCCGTTCCTCGAACAATTTACTGCCAACGTTAGCCCTAGCGACAGGAGATCATTCCGGTGGCGTTTCGTCTTATCATGCCTCCACTATCTGCCACTGCTCTTCTTCTTCTTCTGTGTCGCAAAGTGAGCCAGCAAAAGAAAAGACTAGTCCTTTTTGTTTTGATGCGGCCATGGACTCGCTGGTCCAGACCTTCTACATCTCTAGCGAGCCAAAACCTCTTCAACCCTGGGACAAGAGTGACACTAAGGAAACAGAACAATTCGGCTGTGGTATTTATAAAACATCGAATCTCTCGCTCTCTCCTAGAGATGAATTTTACTCTAGCAGTGACTTGTTTATCTTATTTTGAATTTTATTTAGGATTCGCAATCTCGGGAAGGAGGATTCTTGCGGACCTTACTCTGTCTAATGATTCATCCTTGCGAGTGAGAAAGTTTGGTTCAGCCACTTTCTACACAGCAAAAGTTGAAGCGGATGTGCCTGAATATGGTTTGGCTACCTAGGTTGTTGATAGCGAAGAGTTTTGGGAGCATATGCATGTTTTGGAGCTTGATGACTACATACCCTCTATAGGCGAATCTGTCTCCGTTTTGACTCATTGTACATTCTTACACTTGAAAATATTTTATGAGAATGTTGTAGTGGTACTAATAAGAATGACTAATATGAGTTATGTTATCGCTGTCAACTGCAGATGACTACACCCTCAAGCTTGTAGAAGCGAATGTATCTTCAGTTGAAATGAGAGAATATTACCAAGGCACCGCCGAACTATTGTCAATAGGACTCGATAATGACAACTGCTACAGTAGTGGTCCGGTGGTTTTGGGAAACAAGATCGTTGGTTTCTTTCCATGGACGGGGTACTACTACATGATCCCAACTCCAGTGATTAAGCATTTTCTAAATGGTATTGAAGAAAAAAACATTGGCTTCGGTTCGCTGGATATTACGTGGCAATCCATGGAGAATGCTCAACTACGTAGACATTTTAAAATGAGTGATGACATGACAGGTGTCCTTATAAACAGAATACATCCACTCTCAAATGCTCTCAGAGTTTTGAAAGAACACGATGTCATTCTTGCTGTTGATGGCTTTCCTGTCACTAATGATGGAAAAGGTAAACAAATAGTTACATATGTTGAATATCTTCTTCTCCATGCATGTTGATGAATTTTGATTCTTATATGTTCTCCTCGCAGTTCGCTTTCGGAAAATTGAATGGCTGTGTTTTACTTACTTGGTTTCTATGAAGAAACCGGGTGAAACAGCTTTGGTTAAAATCTTAAGACATGGAAAAGAGCATGTGTTCCATGTCAGTTTAGACTTCACCGTAAGTCTTTTTTATTCTCTTCTAGTGACAGATTCTATTGTTACTTTTTTGTTATGTGACATGTTTGCTGGTAATTCAATAACTGACCCTTTAGTTTTCGTTTCCTTGTTGGTTCACATTTTTTTATAATGGAAATTGACAATTGCCAAAACGTTAATATTTTCTACTTGTGTTTTTTTTTTTTTCACAGAAGCACCAGCTGGTTCCGGACGAATTCCTTCCAAGCTATTACATACTTGCCGGTTTTGTCTTCGTGCCTCTTTCTGAGCCATATATTGATGAGTCATGTGGCATGTGTGACTGTACCTCAAAAAGGATGGCCACTAAGGCCGATGAACAGATTGTCATAATTTCTCAGGTTCGTGTTTCTTTCCTCACCTAATTTTTTTAAACCTAAAAGCTGTTAATAATCTCAGCTTAGCTAACTGATACGATCTAAGTATTGAAGCTGTCGTTATATTCATCAAGAGCCCTATATAGATTAAAGATTTGTTGTAGATTATCTTTGAATCCAAAAATAATAATGAAAAAAACCCTATATAGATTAGGGATTTATTGTAGCGAACCCTAATAAATAATGAATACTCAGATACCAAATGCAAAGACCTCTAATATGTTAAGTCTATTACTAACATGGCCCTTCTTTGTGTGCTAGTAATGTGAGTTTCATTTTTATTTTACTTGGGTATGTGTAGATGTTTTCGGATGACATCAACAAGGAATACTCTAGTTTCAAATATCTCAACATCGAGGTAAGTCCAGTGTATTGTGCCTGTTTTAAAGTGAAGATTGATTCTTGTAATAAAACGAATCATTACTATAGTTCCACGCTACATGTGTGTCTTGACTCTTGAGAATCAGAATTATATGTTTTTCACTAAAAAGTTGATTATTGGTTATGTTGTTGAAAAAAAAAGAATAGTGATAATGTTTGTGGTGCATAACAGGTGAAGAAAGTGAACGGAGTGGAAGTGTTGAATTTGAAGCATCTAAGTGAGCTAATAGAAAAATGCTGCACTGAGGATTTAAGATTTGATTTAGAAGAAGGATATGTGATTGTTCTGAACAACCAATATGCTAAAGAAGTAACTCCGTTGATCTTGGAACGTCAAGGAATACAATCGGCCATCTCCAGTGACCTTCAACAAACAATTATGGCTTGACCCATATTTTGCTTCTAATCCTCTAGTTTGTATCAAATTTCAGATTGTTAAGCTTTTCATTTAGCAAATCAAACGACCTTTTTAGTAATACCCCACTAATATTTTCGAGCTCATATTTATTCCATGGAATCTGTCACACATCCAACTTATACTAACCGAAGATCACACAATTCACAACACTCGGAGAATTGTAAATGAAACATTTATTCTTGATGCATTAAGCTTATTGCTACTGAATTTGCATTCCATCATATTTTTCCCAAGACTATATATTTTGTTATATATTTACCTCTTTGTATGACTCACGATTTCATATTTGACTTTTCTACGATATATGAAATGATCAAATCTTAACATAATGTATATGCTTCTTCGTTCTTAAAAGAGGAACGAAGATACATTTCCATAATATATAATAAAATTTAACATCTAATTAAGGTTATATATATGAAAAAACATAAACCCGCTTAATTGGTTCGAGATCCGGTCCGGTTTTTCTAAATAATTCTGACCTTTTTTCCCACTAATCTCAGTTTCAACTTTCAACTACACAAACAGTTTCCTATTTCAGATTACACAGTACTAAGAAGATGACTTTTGCCTCCCCTTAACACTTTCTTCTGCGTCTCACTTCTTCGTTGTCTCATTCTCCGATGATCGAATCCCTTCCTCAATACGCTACACACACGAAGACATACATGGTTACGTTCTTTGTATAAAAATTCAAAGCTTGGAATTTTCAAACTCTCCTTTTACCTGAAGAAGATAGTTGTGAAGCCAGTCCAGTGTCTGCGGGAATGTTGTCGCCGATATATTTACAACCGTAACCCCCTGCGAATTGAAGGAACAAAGGTAGTCCTCAATGGTCTTTAGGTTCGTAATTAGTCTATCTTTCTCCTGCAAATAAAGAAGATTGTGCTCATACACCTTTTCAAGATCAGTTTAGATAAGCTTGAGGTTGTTTTTTTTATACCTTAGATGTGTATTTATCTCCAGACGTACGAGAAGAGATCCACTCCTCTAGCAAAGCCTGATAAAACATGAATTCAAGAAAACAAATCAAGAACTGAGAAAGACTACTTTACTACATCTTATATTAGCCAGAAAGAAACCAAGAAAATGATTCACCTTATGATCAAATTCAGCCATCTTTAAGACAATAGATATGACAATAGGTTCAGGGACAGATTTCGACTTCCCACTTCCATCTCCAGATTTTCTTTTCTTTTCGGCTTCTTTTGCACTTTCTGCTGCACTTTGATCAATACCATCGATTTTACATTGTGTAACTTTCTCTGATAAGTCAATGACAGCTTCAGCCTGAGAATGAGGTTTCATAGCACTCTCGTCCTCGGTTTCTTTACTGTTTGAAGAACCAGACTCGGGGTTCTTGTCCGAGGCTAGATCTCCTGAAGACTCTGTTTCTTTGCTGCTCTTGTCAGGATCGTTTGATGGAGCTTTGTTCTCATCATTCATCAAGTATATGCTTGGATCTAAATGTCTTCCCTGTCATTATTCGACCAAGATTTAGACCACAAGTGCCATTGCCTAAACATATATGGAGATTTCATGGACAGTTTCTACCTCAATGATAATTGGTTTCCCATCTTTCATTGCTTTCTTCAAATCACCAGCAAGTCCTAACCAAACGACAAAAACATTTTGGGGATTTTGTAAAAACACATTAATGTAACAATCCACAAACACAAAGTAAAAACAAAAGCAAATGAATCAATGCGGTTTCTAACACTAAAAGGAACCGAATGATACCTTTACGAACAATTCTGCATTCTCTACAGAATTCGTTTATCAACTCTTCTGATGAATCGAATTCTCGAGTCCATACAGGTGTTGATGTCAACGGAGCACTACAAATTAAACATAAAGTCATAAACATACGTGTTTATACGAGAATCTTTGTCATCGAGGCACAAAATTTAGATAGAAGCAAGCAAAAAAAACCTACTCAGTTGCTGTCCGAAGCAGCTCATATACCATGTCTGTCTGTGAGCGCAGAACATCACATAAGTTAAAGAAAGAACAAAATGACAAGGAACAATTGAAGAATGGTTGATTGAGTAGATAGATACATGTAAGACGTTAGGCAAATTGAGTCTCTGAGCAAGTTGTGTGGCGATTGTGGACTTGCCAACACATGCTGTTCCGCAAACAAGTATAATCAGAGGTACTCTCTGATGATGAAATCTACAACACACACAGAGCGAGAAACACAAAATTAAAGATTTTAACTTTGAAAAGGAAAAAAGATTTTCAATCATATAATATGTTTACTTTGTCATCATATTGTAGCGATTAATGTATTCCTGCCCATAACCGCGTCGCTCCATAAGCTGCAAAATTGAAATCATTAGCAGATTAGTTTCAAAATGTTCAAATTATGAATATGTTGCATCAAAGATCTGAAGTATGCACCATAAACAAACTTGATTCCAAATCGGCCTGAGACCTGCAAAGAGAGAAGAAGCAGATTATTTTACAATTCATCGATAAGAAGAAGAAGAAAAGAAGAAGAAAGATCAATTGTGGCAAAAAGGGCATACACATCGAGAAGGCTGTTATCAATCAGAAGCTTCTTGAGTTCAAGAGAAATCTTTACAGCTACATGATTTGGGATCTGATTATCAAATCGGCAATTGTTATTGAGAATCATTTTAGTAACAATATCTTAGAATCTAACAACACTATTCAAAGGGCTTGTAAAATTCGGACAAACCTTAGTTACAGTTAACATTCTGCAGACTAAGAACCGAGACAGAACATAGTAGTGATCGGCATCTCCAAGCCATACTTTCACCTGAGATTTTTTGTCGTTTCCTTCATCAGAGAAAATTTGAAGAGAAGAATCGAAGACCCCACAATTCAAAATCAAACCTTGACGAAATCGTATTTAGAAGAAGCGTTTCGAGGAGAAGAAGGAACAGAAGAGAATGGTCGGATGTTGATTTCTCTAGGTTCGTGTTCTTCTTTAGGGTTGTTTGTTGTTGTTCTTGTAGAACTAGAAGATTCCTCTCTGTCCTTCATCGTCAAATTTTTGGATCACAGACGTAACGGAGAAGAAGAAGTTTTTTCTAGTCTTTAAAAATCTCGATCTCTTTGATAGCAACAAAACTCTCTGTCGAGGTTTCCGACATCTGTCGGACTTTTTTAGTTTCCGAACATTTTTACGGACAGAGTTTGTGTTTATTTTTCTTTTTCTTTTTTGTATTTTATTTTCTTAATAATGATGATTTAATATTGAGAATTAAGTCCACGTTTCGTTGGGCCAGCCCATAATAATGTTATGCATGCATGTGGTAATTAAGTGATCAAGAGTGATTTTTCGTTCATAAATTGACTCTACTACAGTATTTGTATGTTTGGTGTACAAATCTGTCCCATTTAGTGAATCTAAAAAATATACTTTATATAAGCAACTAAAAGTTGTATATGTTACAAAGTTCAAATTTTCACAAAAAGAAAATGTCATAAAGAGAAAAGGTATGAAAAAAACAGTCTCAGGCTAAAGCAATACATACAGTAAGGATTTCAAGAACGAGGAGCTGCCATTTGCTGCTTCTTTATCCTCTCGTGCGACTTCACCATGCTGTAACAGAGCACGAGAAAGAGAGAGATGAGAGTGAGTTTCATACATATATCCATTTTCACAAACAGAGTTCCATTAAACTTGATCTCTTACTTGATATCATGAGGAGTGATGAACATCCACTGCGATCCTTGTGCAATTGCAAAATCCACAAGTGCGTCCAAGCTGATTTTCCGGCTCACTGCATCCTGAATTTCCAGAAAGTTACAAAAAACGTTTGTCTCAGCAGCTCTTCATCCCAATATGATGCTTGTAAAGAGGAGATTCTCAAAAAGGACATAATACCATAAACACATCAAACTCATCCATAGCTCGAAATGGGGCTTCCGTCATCTCGTGAAGAGCTAATGCAAAGCATAAAGTCGAGAAAGAACGTTCTCCGCCTGAAATTTTGAAAAGAGGGATTAGACTTTACCAATGGCTGTCTTTTAAGTTACATATGTTAGATTGTTTGGAGTGTAGAAGGAAGCTGCACCTGAAAGACCTTTGGTGTCTCGTACGGAATTGCTTGTTGCATCTTGAGGCATCTTAACCTGTCGAAAAAGAAAGCCATCTCAATTCAGATGATGTTATATGATGGATATGATAACTGCAAATATCGTAGCGTAGCAGTTTAAATTACCTCTATGGACAGAGTTTTATGTTCATAACTGACTTTGATCTGTCCGCTGATACCTTTCTTTCCTAAGTGAGCGTTGAATCTGTTTTGAGATCAACAGCATCAAAGAAAGCTCCATATGGAAGAAATCGAACTGCATATTTATTCATCAATATGGTTGACAAAAGGGAAAGTAAATCTTACTGCCATGTTAACTGCCGCCGAAGAAGAGTTGCATTTCTTTGGAACTTGTCCCACCGCGAATCTAGAGCAGCTTTACAGGCCTGGTCAAATAGTAATGAATACATTAGATTATTCAGCTATAACAACACATACGGCTCTTTAGCATAAACAGATCTGCAAGGCTCAACCGTGAGTTTGTCTCGAGAGTCTTGATTGGCTTTGCGCTTCTTTGCAATCTTTCGTTCTAGTTTCTCATACATCATCCTAAGGTCCTCGATCGAATCAGAAAACCTGCAGAGACAGAATTGAAGCATATTACTTTTACTGTCACAGGCCGTTTATGTGTGAAGGAAGAATACACACTGTTGGTTCTCTCGATGAAGTCTCTGGTTCATTTTGTTGATCTGAGCACTGAGTTGCTCAGGAGTACTCCCATCCCAGGGACCCAAAGATTGTATCTCACTCTCAGGACAAATTTCAGAGGCCTTCTGGTCGCTTTCCTGAAATTTCAGCACATGTAATTCGTTACCACAAGAAAAAAGTGAAAACAAAAGATGGACCCTGAGCCATGACACATAAGCCTAGTAGCTAAGTTCCATAAACTAGACAACATGGCATCCCAGGTTTCAACGCTGCCATTCCCTCCTTGGAGAGGGTTTGTGTGTGTGTGTGCGTGTGTGTGCGTGTGTGTGTGTGTGTTATATAGAAAAGAATGAAGTTGCATTTCTCATTTTGCAATACTAACTGCATATCTGTACCTTCCGCTTATTTTGAAGCTCCTCGTAATTAGCCTCAGCCTCCTTAATATCAGGTAGGACCTTGTTTTTCATTATGTTCTCATAATGGATTTTCTCCTGAAACAGAATCACGCTTACCTTCTGCATGCAAAACAAGTAAAAAGTTCAAAATCTTTACGTAGACGCAAGAAGGGGTACCGCTTCTGCAGACTGAAGGTCTTTCTCGATTTTCTTAAGCTCATTCTCTGCTTCCTCAAAGGCATCAATCTCACCCTTAGCTGAATCTACATGCACATTTTAAATAAAATGTAAGAATAGAGTCGGTCACTCTTGAAAGAGGATCTATCATGTTCGATCATCAAAGCAAGAAAAAGATACATGTGTTTCAGAAACAGTGGTCTATCAGAGACATACCACATAAGTTCTCAAATGAAGCTTTAAGCTTATTAGCCTTAAGTTCAGCTTCTTCCAAGCTATTTTGGAGCTTCTCTAGCAAAGCTTCTTTCTCCTCTATTTCTTCTCGGCCTTTCTGATATTGTAATTAGAAATAAATAAAAACACACTTCACTGAAAGAATGTTGCTTACGTGAAAACATTGACAATGAAATAGATTCACCAACTAACTAACCATGATATCCAGTTGAAGCTCATTAACACTTGAAGAGTGTAATGCTTCGGTCTCGGCAGCAACTGTATTCTTTAAATCTTGCATCTCGAATTCCATTTTCGTCAAACCATTCTCTTCTTGACTGCGGCGCTTCTGTATAAACCAAACAAAGGAAAATATGCAAAGCGTTATGTACACGAGCAAGCTAATCATTTCAGTTATGATGACTGGTAATTCTAGTTCTGACATGTCTAATGCATTAATCAACGAGTTTACAATACCTTCAGCGAGCGCATTTTCATCTCAAGTTCCTCGAGACTCCCCTCCGCTTCCCTCTTACGACTCATGCATTGACTTATCTCCCTCTGTTCCTTTGAGGCATCTAATTCTAGATCCTTGATCTGGTCATCAAAGGAAGCACAGAGTCGCGTAGCTCTACGAGAAAGAGGAAGGGTTGTCTGAACTGACCCACGAAAAAACCTGAGACAAAAGTAGATACATTAGAGTCATGATTGAGGAAGATCGTCCTCTATACCCTAAATGGTCTCAAGTCAATCCCTTTGGTTTAAAAGTGCTAGTTTATTTACACAACTTTGAAATAGTAGATGCAAGAAAGTCGGATATCTCTTTTTCCGGTCCTTTCACAATCATTTGAAGGGTTTAGAAAATGAAAAAAAAAAATGATCTGGTTTGTTTGCAAATAAAGATATAACTGGACTGTCCATGCCATATCTAAGAAGTTACTTACATTCGGAATCCGTCTAAAGTGAAAACCTCCTTAAGGTTCGAGAGCCTTTGGCCAAAGGCAACAGCCTGTCCCACCTCATAGTTCTCTGCAAGCACTTGCCTCTCAGCACTATTCTGAAATATCCAAAAGAAAATAATTATATGTATACCGTAATATAGGGATGTAAGAATGAAGAAGATCAGTACGTGGAGGGAAATTCTGAAAGTAAAATTACCACATCCACCAAGACGTTAAGAACTGTTGGATTATCAGAATGCAAGACAGAGAGAATAGTTGGATGTTCTGTCTGAGGAACCATGTGCCTTGGTATGTTTAACCTGCATAAATGAAGAGAGAGCAAATATTTGTTTGATAAAGCAACCCATTCATGAATTCAGAAGGTTAAGCGGAAATATTAAATTGCTTATTTAGACTTTGAACCTTGGTCTCGAAAAGTCATAGATGATAATCTTAAGGTTTCTGTAACCAGCTTCATTCGCACAACCTCTTAGAGTGAGCGAATCTTTATGATCGGTCACAATGAAGGCATTTAGTATGTTTCCAAGAGCTTGTTCAACTGCAGAAGCCCATTTATTGCCGTTAACCAACGTCTGTAGAACACCACACCATTAGAAGAGATTTTTTTATCCCACAAAATATTCACATTAGAATAAAATTGCTACAACACAAAAGATGCCAGTTTCTTCTTGAGCCATGCATGGCCAATACATATAAGACAACATTCGAACTAAATTTGCTAGGCGCACAGATTTGAAAAAAAAAAAAAAAAAAAAATAGAAACTCACCACATGGGAGCCAATAGGTCCAATTGGTGGCTTTCTGAATCTATTATGATATCTCTCAATAACCCGCAGAAGGGGAATGACTTTGTCCCCTCCAAATGCAGTAACCTAGTAAGCATGCATGTATTTGTATGCCTTTTAGATTTACCCGAAAGAGGTTTGCCAATATCCAGTTGAAACACCAAATATTGTGTTTGAATCATGTAAGACACACCTTGTTTGTTTGATGCTTCTTCAGATCATTAATGTTAGAGTTTATGAATCTTTGCTTCTTCTGATGGTCTCTAATCTAGAAGCCAAAAGGCCAAAGAATGAACAAGGGTTAATTAATATTCAAAACAACCTGCATGTGAAACTGATTAAATTCTTAGACTTAATATCCATGTGGAATGTAAGCAACAAATGTCAGCCTCGTTGTACCATATCCTCGATGTGTTCGAGCTCTCTCCTTCCAGCTGACACTTTTTCCATTAATGAGTTCTCTTCCTCTTTCAATCTAAAGAATGGAATATTTAGTAACTCTTTAAAGACGAAATAAAAAGACTACAGAATACAGGATAGGCCCACGGAAAGGAAATGGAAAACTTAATACTTAACCTGTAAAGCAAATTTTCAACTTTCGCAACCTCCTGCTCCAAATATTTTAGTTTCTCCTCGATTTCAGATTGTTCAGCCTGCATCAAGATCAAACTATGAGAAATATACACAGATATATCTAAACATGAGTACATTATACCTTCACAGTATCTTGAACATTATGCCAAGAAAATGAACAAATGAAAAATGACACAGTTTTCCGGTTATTTATAGATAATGCCAATGACTAATATAGAGAACCTGTGTGTTTCTCATTGTCTGTTCATTGATATCTTCAACCTGCCGTTCAAGCTTGCCAACACGGTCCTTAATCTTGTGAACATAATTGCACTTATGAGTGAATTCTTCTTGTAGAGCAATTTTTTCTCGTGCAGCCTGCAATAAGAATTTACATCAAGAACACACAAGATATGTCAAAAACACGCATACAAGATATGGAAATAGTTTACCGAAAGCAAATTTTCCAAGAAATCACATTGACTTATTTTTTTCAGGCTATCCAAGTTAAGAAAAATGATGCATATTAGAACTATGCAACGCATTTGATAAATCCAGTATTTTAATTTGCTTCCTCTCTTTTAAGAACAATGAACAAGAAAATATAGTGTTAAATCAGGCAAGACATTTGTCAGTTCTTTAGAAAAAATCCCATCCACTAGGTTCCTGTTAAAAGTGAGTTTACAAACCGTCTTGGCTGATTGGCGAAAACTCTCTATCTCTCTCTTCATTGCAGTTGATTCATCCATCAGACATGCAACTTGCGCTTTCTTCTTGTTCAAGCGATCCCTTAACGCTTCCACTTTACCCTACATAAATGACCAATTATAATCAAACAGTCTGAGCTCTATATAGTCAAACTATCTCCTTCTATACAACTAACAAACTTCATAGATATCCTATGACGCCCGGGCCCTTGTTATGCATGGCCGGGCGTCTGTAATTTTAGCCATCCAAAATTCAGATACTGAAAAGTATGTGTTACTTACCAGTTCCCAATCTATTTTAGCTTGGCAAGTAGGTATACGGTCTTTGAGCTTCACAACCTTCTCAGTCTGCTCCTGGAGCTGCCTATCCACATCATATACCCATGACCAAGCCAGCTTCTTTTTCAACTGCTGCAATTTTTGAGCTATTTCTTCAACTTGTTCCATACTCTTAATTTTTCTACGCAACTCGGTGATCTCTTTTTCTATTGGTTTAATCAGGTCCTCCATTTCATCGACTATCGCTGTTGCAGCTTTCAAGTTTTCGTAGATACTTTGAAGAAGATCATTGACTTGCTGAAGAAGGGTTGCCTTAAAAAAGAACTAAACAAAACGGAAGCTTTCAGCACAAATGTCAACACGGTTGACTTCGATACATACCAATTCAACAGGAGATACCTTGAATTTATCTTTGTCATTTCCAGAGTGTAAGAACTCCCTGCTCTTGTCTTGACTCATTACCACGCACGGATTTTCAACATCAATCTAACCACATGCCAATATGGTTAGTATAATTAGAAGCTTTAAGGGAACACCAGCAATGAAAAGTACATGAATACTTGTAAATTTGGATGAAAGACAAAAACTTACATTAAAATGTTCAACAAGTTCCCGTAGCTCCTCCCTTCGGCTACTTATTTTTTTCCCTGCAAAATTCAGGTTACAGAAAATAAGTAAACGGCAAAACCTTTTCAATCAATAAATTTCGATGCACATAAGACACAGAAAGAGTTGGTGGAGAAGAGAATAACAGAGGAGACAGTCATCACAACAAGCATAGTCATCACAACAAGCATAGTCATCACAGGCTGTAAGTCAAAACCAGAGAGAGAGTATAGCTACAGTGAGCTAACCTTGACGATCCTTGAGAACAGTAGAACTAGTAGAGTCGGTTATCCTGCGTTCGATAATTATGATGTCACCATAAACTTCAGGCTTAAAAGCATCCTCTCCTTGGTTTTTTATTTCTACATGAACAACAGCGTAGCTGCAAAACATACCCCAATGAGATCGGTAATTTATCAGTAACTCTTATCATTCATCTCGACAAGAAGCAAAAACACAGCCATATCCTAATGATGACTAGATTCGATCTAAAACAAGTTGCAAAAGAAGAAGAATCGACCATAAAAATGGTTCTTCTGAGCTGCTTCCAACCTGCAAATCTGACTATTCTAGATAAAGCAGAGTATAAGTGTACAAACCTGCATCCAGTTTTTATGAAATCCTTGAGAGTGGCAGCACGCTGAGTCCCTTTCGCTCGACATCCAAATGCAACACACAGAGCAGTCAATATTGCACTCTTCCCACCTGAATTATTTTACCAATGCGAGAAATTAGCTTTCAAGTTTCAACCTTTCCGGAAATCTGATTGTCGTTTAAGATTCCATAAAGCGACATTTTTCTAAACTTTTCAATCAGAAGCCAAATTAATTGCTAAAGCATGACTCTGAGACCCTCCTGGATAAACCAATTCTAAATCAATGGAAATATCTATATCCATCCGCTTCCAGATAGAATCAAAGCATTAAACCTGAATTGCTAATAGAATGAACAGTTGTGAAAGACCAAATTTTCCAAATTCGGCGAAACCCAAACCTCAATAAGCTATGTGTATGCAAATTCAGAAAATTAGAGAGCTGTAAATCAATTTTTTCGTAACGAAAGCAGCTTACTTCCGTTTTGGCCGGTGATGAAATTGACCCACTCGCCAAACTCAATCTGGAGATTACTGTGGCACATGAAATTCTCGAGCTTAATCCGAAGGATCGAACCCGACCCAGTACGCTGTTTGATGAATGAATCACTGGGTCGAGCCCCAGATTTTGCCATGGCTTTTTCCCGTTCTAGGGTTTCTCTCACTCGGCTGATTTCGAAGAGACAAATTAGAAAGAGAAAATTTCCATTCGTGGGGGTGCTTTAGGGCGGGAAAGAGACGACGCTATCGTACGTCGTCGCGTGTATTCTAACTACGTTCGTGTTGACCGTCCGATCTTCTGGAGATCTTGTCAATAACTAAACGGGCCTTATGATAACCTTAACATGGGCCCATTAGCCTCATTGTTTCTCAGCCCAATTGAGTCTAATTTTTTTTTTTTGTAGAGTCTAATTTGTGTGTTTTCAGCAATAAAAGTACAGCTTGAGAGTTGAAAGTTGAAACACATAGATAAAGTGATCACAACACATGACACACTCGGGAGAATCAAACATCACATACATTACCTACAAAATTTATAAAAACAAAGAGGTGAAGTGGGCTTTGAGGTTTTCACCAGGATGACCAAATCCATCACCTTCCTTGTAGAACAACTTGATCACACGTACAAGATTGAAGACTCGCACTAGAATCTGGCGTGGCACAGTAGCTGAGGCTTCAAAAAACTCCTCCATCATTACCTCATGGTGATCCTTAATCATCTTCTTCAATTCTCCAACCGCTTCTTCTTGACTAACACCATGTTGTTTCATGTAGCAGTTGACTCCATTCGCCACTTCCCCTCTCTCCAACTCTTCCTCAAACGTGGCTATGTCGTTTATCAGACGGAGCATAACATTGAAAGCTAGGATGACTTTGGGTCTTGAGGCGAGCCACTCGTACATTATCTTCTCATCGCAGTCTTCCATCCCTAGAAAGCTGAACACTATCATGTCATCCATTCCGGCAGTGACGATTCCGACCTCCATGTACTCTTCAAAGGTCGGCACGTGGCCTCCGCGTGCCCATTTTGCTATCTTTATATACCCTTCCTTCGTCAGGCTCTTTATCTAGGTTTTTGAATACGTACATTACAAGCACACGCAATATTACGTTTATTTTATGTAACCTTCCTTATTTATATGTTTTATAACAATATACTTGCGAACCTCATCTATTGTCGGTTGCACACCGCCAGATCTTCCTAGTGAACTCATTTCTCGTTCGATGTCTTGCATGATTTCCCACAAAATTCGGAATATAATTTGCATGTAGGTTGGTAGATTTTCGATGGTTCCAATGTCCCACCTTAGCCATTAATTAACTCTATAAGGTTAGAGGACTAGAGAGAGAGAGAGAGGGAGAGAGAGAGAGAGAGAGAGAGAGAGAGAGAGAGAGAGAGAGAGCACAATAAAAGAAATAAAAGATTTACCTTTGCAAAGCATCAGTGAAACTAATAACTTCAGGAAGAGTGCCATAGGCGTCATAAGTGTCATCAACAACGGTCATGATCATGGAAATTTTAGTGCTTATAACTCTCGCACGGGAATATCGTGGCTCGAAATATATACCCATCATGCCGAAATAGAACTCTGCAATTCTGTCCCGAAAGCTATTAGGCAGTGTCGATGCAAGATCTACTTCCTTCCACCATCTGCATGCACATAAGCAAAAAAAAAAGAAGAAAAAAAACACATCAAAACACGGATTGACAATTAAAAAAACGGTTCAATTTCCTTATATATATATATATATTTTTTTTTTTTGTTTTCAAATCTCATCAAAATTTAGTGAAATAGCTAAATAAGTTTACTTAGTGACAGCATTGAGCTCTTTGATGTAATGCAGCTGGCAATAGCTGAAGTTGAGTTTTGCAAACTTGAGCAGCTTCTCCTGGTGATCTTCCTCTTTCTCGTAAAAAGAGATGTATTCTCTTGCAACGGCTATTTCTACGCAATGATAACGAGGCATGCACAATGCATTTTGTATATGCCTAGAGAGATGTGATTGATCAGAAGCAGCCACTGCTAAGTGATTCCTAGTGAAAGTCCGTGCTTCCTCCATTATATCCTCATCTTTTGCTTTCAGATACGATGCTTGGAACAGCTGCAACATGCCTCTTACATCTCCAACTACACTTTCCTTGAAGTTTCCATCATGTTCCCCTTTAAATCTTTCAAACACATCTGTAATAAAATTGAGTTTTTTTTTTTTCTTATATATATAGCCAAAATAGATATATTATATGTGAATCAAGGAACGTTTCAATACACTCTTTGTCTTTGAATTAATGTTCTTACCACAAGGCATTTTGTGTCCGTACAATCTGAAAACTTCAAACATGATAGATATTGTTTCAAGATCAACTTCCTCTGCAACTAAGCATTTCAGCTTCCCAAACGCCTTGTTTAGAATCTCTTCGATTTCGTTTTCGAAATAGTGGGAGATCGCTAGACTGATGAGCAAGTGGATGAGACCAATCTTCTCCTTGTCACACATGTGAGAAGACGTGAGCATGTCTCTCACGTGCGGCTTCATAACCGATTCGATCTCATGCTCAATCGCATCAAACTCCTACAAATACATCGTGCATGTAAGAAAATACACACATGAACAAGTGTCTGAACGAATCTTTTGTACTTACAGAGTCGTCGACGGGAACAGAGAAGTGGTGATCTCCTAGAAAAGTAGGAGTAAATTGAGCCAAGGGACGAGTACTCTCAAGATCGCCACTAGTAGCCATTACACATAAGAAATCTTGCTTTGTGAGTTTTCGAGGAAGACTTTGGTTTTGAAGCAAACGGCGAGGAAAAAGAGAAAGGTTGGTTTTATGGGAGAGAAGGACTTTGTGAGCGTGAGGGAGAGATTTAGGAGCAAAACTCATCATCCTTGATGCATACATTTTTACTCACTCTCACTATAAGATAGACATGAGACGGTCTCTGCTCTGCTTTAAGTAGATCAGGAATCAAATAAATAATATCTTAAATATTGTACATGTAAAATAAGAATTCAACATCTTAATTACCCAATTACTTTGGTCAAGGAGACAACTTCATAAATGCTTACTCACAGCCCGGTAAAATAAGATTTCAGCAAGATATACGAAATAAAGATAACGTAAAAGAACGTCACTAATTTTGTTATATAAACAAAGACGGTTCATAATTTTTTGGTTCAAAATCTATTCACGAATCACGATGCAGATCAAGATCACACAGTTCACTAGTTTGCCTTTGCTCTGCGTGTAATCACATCCTTCTTTAGACAAAATGGGATTCGACTCTTTTATTTTAAACTCAGATGAGGCTTTGTGTTTCCTGGCCCAACCTTAAACGATCACCCAATCGCAAAAAGTTAATGCTTCGTTTTGAAACTTTAGTACTAATTTTCACAGTATTTACATTTTATCTTCCTGATAGTATTTTTTCTAATCAGATAAACCAGCTTCATTTCATCATTATCCCAAAATACACTTAGCCTAATTGTTAGCAAACTCTTGTTTTAGATTTAGATAGAAAAGACAAGACAGTTTGAGAGAGAGAGTGAAAAGAAAAAGAAAAAAGACACGTCGTATGCACACAAAAATTGTGAACTATAGAAGGTTACGTAAACTCTTCTATAATTTGGTGACCTTTTCGTCATACCACTGAAACTATATATTTTCAGTGTACAAGATCACAATTTATCAGTCAACTTAAAACTAGAGTATAACTAGAATGCCATAAGTTTCCTATTATGGTGGAAATATATAATTTTCAAAAAAAAAGTTTATTTGTTGTTTTATGTAAGAAAATATAGATAAGTTTGTAATTAATTGTTAGAGCATACTTCAGCAAACACTTATGTTAAGTGATTAACTCCTTTGAATAGAATTATGAACTTACTCATGTTCCTCACCCTCTCTTCAGCTATATATACCTCCCTCCCATATTCTCATAATCACATAGCAACAAACACTTCTCGCAGCAAAAGCAATCAAAATCCTTGTCTCTTTTTCTTTTTTTCCATCGCAATGATGAATTCACTTCTCAAGAAAACAAAAAACTGTCAGATTTGTAAGAAATCATTTTCAAACGGGAGAGCTTTAGGAGGTCACATGAGATCTCACTATCGGGCACTTCCTGTGTCAAACGCAGAATCATCAGCAACTGGCTCGACCATTCCAACGCTACAAACATCCAACAAAGCCGGAGAAATAGTTCGATCTCTTGAAACAGTTCTGATGAGATCTGTCCACGTTGGTGAAGTTGGTGTCGGTCCAAAACCAGATCTAAAGAGAGAAGAAGGTGGACAACAGACAACTGGCAAGAGAAAGATCGTTGAGGACTCAGAAGAGGTAAGTTCGATAGAGCCTGAAAGTTCTTTAACCATTGAAGAAGGTGCTGCTCTATGTCTTGTAGCAATGTTGCATAGCGAGAGACCAGTAGTTTTCGATCTGGAATCGGTTGATCGTGTGCTATCAGCTCGAAAGAGAAGAGATACTGCCAAGTATTTCATAATAGATTCTGAAGATGATGAAGAAGACAGCAAGAAGCACGTTGAAGATGTAAAGGTTCTCACTTCAAGTGTGGAAACCCTAACAGAAGACAACGGTGAGGATGATGAAGAAATATATTTGGTTGCGAGAGAAAAACCACGTAAGGGAAAATACAAGTGTGAAACGTGTGGGAAAATTTTAAGTTCGTTTCAGGCGTTGGGCGGTCATCGAACGAGCCACAGAAACAAACGATTCAAGACTGGCGGCATCAATGGTCAAGCCGTGAAACCGAAAAATAGGCCGGTAGCTCAACGACGGTACGAGTGTCAAATTTGTGGCAAAGTGTTTGAATCTGGTCAAGCACTTGGTGGTCACAAGAAGATTCATTATGTGTTTCTACAACCATGCAAAGATGTGCTTGGTTGAATCTAGACTTGTCGACTTCAACCGAGTGATCTATGAAGAGTAGAATTTGGGTGATTCTATGTTGTTGTACCTTTTTTTTTGTTATACATTACTAAAGTTTTGCTTCAAACTGTTTTTTTTTTGGTAATGTTATTGTACCCTTTTTTAGTTTTTCTATATTAATAAAAATTTGGTTAAAAATTATGTTCTTAGTTACATAAAATTTCGCAAATTGCAAAATACCATATTTAATTCTGGCTGTAAGAATACATTGTCTTTTGAAAAATCAACTAATGTAAAGACTACTGATAATATTGTGTTAGTCAAAAACAAAACTATATGTTCTACTTTTGAAAAAAAAAATTTCCAATTTTTTTACTATACACGTTAATTTGAAAAGTTATCGAAAATTATTTGATTGACTAACTTTGGTCAAAGATATTCAATCGAAATATATCCGTGGATTATATCCGAAGAATAAGATAAATGGAAATAACGATACGACTGAAGAATAGATATAACATTAAATGGAGTCATAGTTTGATTGTAATGTTACATTTATGTTAACATGTTAAACTATAGTCTTACATTCAAAATAAGCAGTTTTTTCTTTTTCTTAAACAAATCTTATATATGATTTTCAAATTATAATGTGAAAAATAAACATGATAGTAACTTACAAATGTTGATTTGAGAAAGCTCAACTAAACTTTTTGTGTTGTTTTGGGACTTAACACATAAGATATTAACAAATTAACAGTTAAACACTAATGTAAGCGCAAAGACAAACATTTTTGTTTGAAACATTCAAATTAAAGACAACTCTCCAAAACCATCGAGCCTTCTCAGTGTGATTTTGCTACCATAATGTGTTTCCTGAAATTCAACCTTGAGACAACTTTAAAAATATGACTACTTCTCTCATTAAAGTACTTTCTTCATGTTTATGCTTAAAGAAATCACAAAACAAGCGAGTTTACTCTAAAATAAATGAAAGCTGGTTAACATAATGAAGTGTGATTTTCAGTACCATATGAACCAAATAAAAATGTATTGTGTGAACAGCATGGTCCATCGTTAAGTCTTGCGAGATGTTTGGAATAGCAAAATGGTGAAATTCACATGTCGATAATGGGCCAAGAGATGAGAGAGAGAGAGAGTCACTCTCTAGTCTCTTCTAATAAAACTCTCTCTAATCCAGCTTGAAAAATTGTAAGAACTTGATCATTTTCTTCAAACAAAAATCGAAACATTTCGCTCATATTACAAATAAGAAAAAAAAACATCAAACAAAAGCAAGAATACACTCGTTATATAAGGCCTTTTAACAAAAAAAAAAAGAATACACTCGTTATATACTCTAACACCTTCAAGAAAATTCTACAACGACATAAAATTATCACATACAAAAGATATATTAACATTCACGCTCCAATCTTTTGACATTTAACAACATCACCACCACCACAAACATCTTCGAAACTAACACTGCCAACATTGTCGACTCCTACTGTCTTCCTCTTGGGCTTTGCTTCTTGAAGAAACAACAACACATCTCTCATCGGTGGCCGATCTGTTGGATTTCGACTTGTGCATAACAATGCAATCCTCAACATTTGTTTCATCTCTTCTCTTGTGATACTACACGACCTACCCATGCTTTTGTCTAGAACTTCCTCCGCATCTTCTTTTGTCTTCAGCTTCGATCTAACCCAATCCACAATACTATTACCTTCTCCAAATTCCGGTTCGACCGATCTTTTTCCGGTTATTATCTCTAATAATATCACTCCGTAACTATAGATATCACTCTTCTTATCCACTTGGAGTGTGTATGCATACTCTGTCACAAACAAATCAAAAATAGAGAATTTAATGTAGTCAGAGTTTTGTCTTCCCAACAAAAAGAATGTCTTAACATACGGACAAAATTCGACAAATAAAACAAAAGGACAAAAAAGTACAAATTTTTAAATTTGGGGAAAGTACGGAATAAAAAGAAAAAGCGAGGGTACCTGGTGCAATGTAACCGTACGATCCGGCGACGACGGACATAGATTCATCGGATTGAATCAGCTTCGCGACGCCGAAATCAGCCACGCGCGCCTCGAAATCGGCGTCGAGGAGTATATTGCTAGGTTTTAGGTCGCGGTGTACGATCACCGGATCACAGTCATGGTGGAGATAACAGATCCCCTGCGCCACCCCGATCGCGATCTGGTATAACGCCGTCCATTCCGCCGCCGCGTTCGTCGTTTTGTCTCCTCCGTGAAGGAGATCGTCCAGGCTTCCGTTAGGCATGTATTCGTATAGAAGCATCGTGCACTCTCGATTAGTGCAGCACCCGAGGAGGCGGACGATGTTCCGGTGCCGTACCGTTCCTAGGACATCGACCTCCGCCAGTACGCCGCTCTTCCGCCGCCGGATCTTTCCGTTTTCTTTGTTTTTCCTCCAGAGCTTTTTCACGGCTATTATCTCGCCGTTTGGCATATCCGCCTTGTAGACCGTTCCGGCTGATCCCATTCCGAGGATGTTATCCGTCTTCGAGAGGCACTCGACAACGTCATCCGCCGTGAAATTCAGCCTCTGGAAGGCGGTTAGCTTCCACGGTCCTACCTCTCCGCCGCCTCGTCCACCGTCAGCTCTGTTTCCGTAGCTTTTCTGGAAGCACCGAGTGGTAGCTACAAGGACGAAGAATCCGACTCCAATCGCCGCCGCCATTATCCAAACAATAGCTCCGGCTGATTTTTTCGGCCGCTGCTCGTTATGATCCGCTTCTCTAGCCGCGTCGGAGTTGCAAGGTCTCGCGATGACATCTCCGCAGAGCTCTTCGTTCGAAGAGAAGAAGGACGGATTCAGATGCGCGAACGAACCGCCGGGAATTGAACCGATTAGCTGATTGTAGGAAACATTGAACGTTGTGATAGTCTTGGAGCTTCCGAAATCCGACGGGATTGTTCCGGTTAAGAGATTATGAGAAAGATCTACGTCGGCGATTGAAGGAAGCGTCGAAATCTCCCACGGGATGATTCCGGTTAAATGATTTTGGCTGAAATTCAAACAGAGGAGCTTCTCGCAGTGTCCGATGTCCCACGGGATCGTTCCGTTTAGAGAATTTCCCTGAAGCTCGATTCTGTAGAAGCTCTTGCACCCAACGTATTTAGGGATTTCGCCGATCAGATTGGTGAAACTCGCTGAGAAGATCTGTAGATTCGGCGCTTTCCATATATTCTCCGGCAATCGGCTGTGGAAGGAATTGCTTGAGAGGTTCAAGTACTGAAGAACAGGAGCGGTGGCGAAATCCGCCGGAATTCGGTCGGTGAATCTGTTGTTGCTCAGATCGACGAAAGTGAGGTTATTCAGAGAGCCGAATCCGAACGGAATCGTGCCGTTGAGACGATTGTTCTGAATCCGGAACCTCCACAGAGAATCGCACCTTGTCAAGCTCTTCGGCAATTCACCTTCGAACATGTTGGAGAAGAGGATGAGCTTGAACAGCTTGTTTCCATGGCAGAGAGAAGGCGGGATCGTGCCGGTGAAGGAGTTGTTAGAGACATCTAAAGTCTCGAGCTTTCCGTTTGATCCAAGCTTCTGCGGCAAAACTCCGGTGAAGTTATTGTTCCACAGAGACAATGTGGTTAGCTCCGGGAGCTCACCGATTCCTTCAGGGACTTCACCTGAGAGATTGTTACTGATTAAGCTAAGCCATTTGAGGTTCTTCAAGGTCGAGAAGCCTTGAGGGATACCACCGGAAAGCTGATTGCTTGAAAAATCCAGAAACTTTAGAGCTCTCAAGTTGCTATAACTCTCCGGAATCTCACCGGTGAAACCGTTATAGAAAAGAAACAAAGTCTCGAGCTTGGTGAGATTTCCGAGTTCTTGAGGCAGAGAGCCGGAGAGGCTGCAATTGGAAACGTCCAAGTAGGTAAGATTCGAGAGTAACGAAAACTCTAAAGGTATGTTCCCTGTAAACCGGTTATAACCGATCTCGATGTGTTGTAGCTCCGGTAAGAGTCCCAGTGTCGGAGGTAAGTCACCTCCGAGAGCGTTTCCGGCTAAGTGAATAAACCTCAGTCTCTTTAAATCACCGTAAGCTGGAGGAATCTCTCCTTCGAAGTAACTTCCACCAAAGTTAAGTTCTTGCAAGAAACGAAGACGAGACACTTCCAAAGGAAGCTGACCTTCGAAGTTGTTGCTGAAGGCATTGAGGACTGTTAAAAACTTGAGCTTTGAGATGCCAAGAGGGAAGCTGGAGTCGAAGGAGTTGTGGCTGATGTCGAGAGTAGTGAGCTTGGTGAGGTCAAAGACAGAAGTCGGAAACGGACCCTCGAAGGAATTTCGACTGAGATTCAAGTAGAGTAAGCTGGAAGACAAGTAACGAATCTGTTGAGGGAGACGACCAGTGAGGTTCCGGTGAGAGAGGTCAAGGGAAGTCACTTGAGATGTGACATTGTCACAGACTACGCCGGACCAAGAACACCAAACGGCATCGTTTTGGCCATGGGGGAGGACGTTCCAGTCTTGAAAAGCAGAGGGAGAGCCAGAGAGAGATGATTTGAGGGAAATGAGAGAGAGGAGTTGAGGAGAAACCTTGAGAGCTAAGGAAGAGAAAGCGAAGAAAGGAAGGAGAAAAAGGAGGAGGAAGAGATGAACAAGAGAAGGAGAAGTGATCCTGTTCATGGCTTTAGGAAGAAAAGAAGTGAGGTGAGATTGAGATTGAGAAAGGTATGAGGAAGAAGAATGGTGGATATAAGGGTTTGAAGAAGATGGGGAAGGAGGAGAAGAGAAGGAGAAGAAGTCATGATGAAGGTGATGATTGTGGAGTGCGTCTAATGGTCTGGCTTTTGTTGGTTAAGGCATTATGGTTTTGTGTGGGGAAGAAAAGTAAAGAGAAACTCAATCCATTTTTTCCACTCTTCTTTTACTTTTCTTTCTTTTTTGGAAATTACTGTACCTTCGTATTTTAATACTAATTTATGACCTAAAGTAAAGAGCATTCTGTTATGTGTTGTTAACGAACAAACAAAATCATTATGTAATTACATTAAGTCTTTATAATAAAAAGTTTTGGGTGGAGATCTTTGAAAACTATAAGCCAAATCACCATGCCAAGTTTTGGGTGGAGCTCTTTAAAAAAACCGATTATGAAGATTGCTTGTATCTTTTATTTTTGTCATTTTATTGTTCTTTTAAAAAACCTTTATCAGAAGACAAACTGAATCTTTGATGGAATGTATACGCAGATACACGAGTACATATATACATACATATATTTGTACCGAAAGTGGGGTGTATTTATCTCAGTCCCTCACAGGATCCAATAAAAGCTGAATTCCTCAGTCTCTCCACTAACTCTCATAGCCCACTATATAGTTTGTTAAATGCGAATTCTTTTATTATTAAAACACATACAAGTGTACAAAAAGTCGTAGATTTTTTCGAAAATCATTCTGGCGCCAAAAATATTCAAGATTATATAACCAAGTCTTCACACCATTCATACGTATAAATGTACGCGTGCATCTCTTTATTACTTTCATTAAAAATACAAAATCGACACTTACTTTTTATAACTCGAATATGTCAAACCCGAAGTTCTGATTAATATCCGGTACATAAAATATAATTTGTTCTTCCTTTTCAGTTAGTTATCTTGCATTCTGTGAACAACGAGTTTGTTTAATTAATTTCTTTATAAAAAAGAAGAGTTTGTTTAATTGTAGACACATCTTCATGAACATTTTATATTCACAATGTAATCCATAAAATACCTCAACGTATGGACGATGGTCCTGTTTTACTAAACAAATATTTTGTCTCATTTAAATAGTTCACTTACATTCTTGAAGTCTTTTATATTTGTATACTTCATTATGGGATTCCTGTTTTTATAATATCACTATTTCTAACATTTTTCATGTACTACTTCTTAAAAGATCTCAATCACATGGTCCTGTTCTGCTAAATATATTTTGTCTCATTTAGATATTTAACACTGCTAGGAAATCCAAACTATGCCTTTTTCTTAAATATTTATTTTTTGTTCAGGATGCCCTTTTCTTACTAGATTTTCTTTTTCATTATCAAAAACACAATCTCGGATTTTTTTTTTTTTTTTTTTTTTCAGTGCGGTGTATATAAAGTTATAGCTGTAGAAATTGACTTAAGGCCTAAGGGCATTGGGTTTGTATCATGATGGTTGCTTGCCATTATAGATTCACTTTTCATCATTAATGTTGGGTGAAATAAATATCACACATCCCCTGAGTTACAAAATTATCATCATTATTCGGTTCCGCAACTAATCACCTACGTTATTGCCTAGTGTATATAATCTTATAAAGATTCCGTACGTGGGCGTACATAATCCTCTACTAATCACCTAAATCATCGCTAATGTACATTTTGAAATCAATAGCTGCAGACTGCAGTCCTGCGAACATACAGTAATTAATACACATATATAATACATGCAGAAGACGGCAGCCTAAAGTATAAACAGAACGTAAGCTTTAAGTAGAATGATATGAGTTTTACAAACTCTTCCGATAGGACCAATGGTCCTAAAATTTTCTGGATGTTTTATACAAATAAACAGAATGCGATAAAGAAAATAATTGTATAGAGGCATGCGTCGTTTGATTTCTCTTTAGTTAGTGTTTTTTTGTCATGCGTGTCTTTTTCGCAACAACAGTATGGTATGTTTTACCTTTTTCCAGATGACGGTTTTACCCTCCAACTCAATTCCCATCGACAGAAGAGACAGTCAAGAAGATTACATACATATCAGATTGGACAGAAATGTTCTTAGGTGTAGAGGTTGACTATTAAGATTCGAAAGTTTTTACACTTACTAACGTAGGTTCTTACACAATAATAAGTTGTGATGGCATATTAGAAAGTGTAAATTTCAAGGTGTCAAGAATCCTACATTTTGAGAGTATGCTAAGAGATCGGTCATTAAAGTGCATGCAATTGCATTGTGTGTTTTTTTATTTTGTTCTTACACGATAATGAATGGCGTTTTTCTCCACTATTGGGAATGGTTAGATATAAAGTTTAGTACTTCAAATTGAGTTGGACATATAAGGATTTTTTTGGTTCGATATACTTCAGAGAGACTCAGAGCGGATCGTATTTAAGCCATTTTTGTTTCGTATATGTAAAACATATATAAAACTATATTAAATTCTTTACATTTGGAAGTACCCGAGACACTAACAAAAAAAAGTGGAAAAGAAAGGAACAATAATAATAAAAGTTTCCACAAGAGAATGATGAAAGAATTGAACATTCTTCAAAAGTAAACAAAGAGGATGAAATAAAGAGAGAAAGAAAACGATTGATGGGAGTGAGGCCATTTCAGTGTATACTGTATACGTACGTTTATTTCAAAATGCGACTATTTTTATATATTTTTATTCATTTAGAAATACCACCGTTGTATTTGACGTTTGTTATGACACTTTGGAGGTTTGTTTTTTTTGGTTCATAATGAAAATAGTTTACATTCAAGTATGAATATTTTGTTCGTAAATTCATTTTTTTTTCTGGGAATATATACAGTATTCAGAAAGTAATAAACACATCTGCTTAGATGGTTGAAAAGAACCAAATTTTGTCAACCTCATCACAACTAAATAAAAAGTGATTTGACACTAATTTGTTTATTGGTCACATGAGGCCAAATTAGATGTAACTTATTTTTCACATAGTTTAAGTAGTATGATCATCCCCCACTAACCAAATCTCTTTTTGGATGTATGAAAAAGGTTTGTTAAATTAGTTTCTGTTATTGGTATAATTAATTAAACACACTCAAAACAGAAAATACAGAACAACCATGCTTTTATTCTATCATTTGTGTTGTGGGCACAGAGATTTGCTTGAAGTTAATGAGCACATTTAAAAGTGGCATCAATAATGCATTATCATTAACCTATAGAATCCCATTTAACATTTTCAAAGTTGTTAAGCAGATTAGATAGTAGAGACAAAGAAAGAAAGAAAGAAGAAACACATTTTATCAAAACGTGTAATCATTTTGTTCATGGAAAATAGATGATCTACTCCTTTTGAAATGGATGAGTATTCCCACGGGATCCCAAATCCACAGTCCTAATCATCATTTTCCATTTCAAAACCTTGTCTTTTCCCTTTTTTCAAAAACAAATGTTATGATTGTGTGGTGAAATTGGGGAAAAATTGGAGGACAGCCCATATGCCCATTAGTCTTCTTTATACTTTTATTCTTAACTGGTCGTCGATAATCTGGTGATATATACTTATCAACAGATCTATTGAATAGCCAAAATAAATCTGAAAATTCTGACACAAGAAATTTGTCATAACTGATTGTTGGATGGATGCTGCAATGTATACTTTTTTTTGTTGTTGTTGATAAACACAATGTATACATATCTACATTGTAAGTTTGTAACTGTTCTAGTTATTCTAGATTGAGTAAAACATTTTCTCTGGCTTGCCGAATGTTGACAACAAAACCAAAAGGACTTGCCTAAGTTGTGTCTCACATAATACGGACCTGTTTTTCTTCTTTCTTGGAGAACCAACATTTGGAAGGACTTGAATGGACAGAGAGATGTGTAACTTCTGAAGAAGAAAAAACGACCAAAGAAGTAAATTGTAGATTCTTTATATGATGGACATCCAGAGCCACATACAGAGCAGGGGTGCAACTGACCCCTAAAGGTTATTTAGACTACTTTTTATACAACTGAGATTATACATAATTTGGTGGTTGAAAATGTGAAAAATTGATTCTCTTCCACCAAATAATAAGTGCGAACCAGAAGAATTGCATTTTACATTATAAGTTGGGTCAAAGTTTTCCAAAAACGTGAAGTTTATATTCATTTGAACTACTGGCTTAGAAAAGATCAACATGTGTTCAAAGTTACGCTTGGTCAAAAGTTTATTTACAATACCCATTTACTACTACTACTACTTGATAAAGCATCACCAGTTGTGACTTGTGAGCGTCGAAACATTCTCTAAAGGATTTAACATTATCCAGCAGTAAACTCTCATCTTTCTCAAAAAAAAAAGAAAACAATAAAACTGTCACCACAATCTAGTTGGGTTTAGAATTACAGTTTTAAAACTAATGGGTTTGTTGTTTTATACTTTACAAGTAGACGGCTGATTTAGGAAAAGCGTCAAAAGTATGAGGGCTTAAACAGAAATTATGTAAATAAATAACAATTCCATTTTTATCAAATAGCTCTGTAATATACTAACCGCCGTTTCCGGCTTCCAGAGCAAGAAAAGTGACGCCCAAAATGGGAACCAGAATCGCCGACGGCGGCGGAGAGCATCTGAAGACTTTCGAAAAATTTGAGGCTCTCACAATTATCAATCACGGCAATCAGAAACCTTTCGTATCCTCTTCTCCTCCTCCGTCACCGTCAATTTCCTCGTCCTTGATCTCCTCGTCATCGACACCTGAGTCGGTGATTGATTCGTTAAAGGCAAGTTATGTTGAAGCTTCTCGTTCTCACGGCGAGGAGGAAGAGGAGGATTTTGACTGGGTGGCTGTAGAAAGAGAGGCTGATGTAATTACAGAGAAAGCTCCCGAAATTGACGAAGTCGAAGACGCTTTCTCTGCACTTCGATTGTGAGTTTTGTGAGAAATTTGAAAAGTAAAACCTTTTCTTTTTCAACCTCAAGATTAAAAAAACTCATCTTTTATCTTTCAGGATGTTTGTTGATGATGATGATGATGATGATGATGATAAATCAGAAGACCAAGTTTCAGAGTCGGAGTTTGAAGATTGGATTGAGCCTCCATTGCACCTCTGCAACACCAATCTTCTACAGCCTTATATGCTTGACAGATTCTACGACGCCTTTCATCAGTTTCAAACCGACCCATCTGTTCAGGTTCTCTGTTTTTACTTTTTACCGCTGTTCTGTTTTGCAGCTTGAAAATCAAAACGACTGAGATAAGCATTGTGTGGCTACTGTTTTGTAGAGAATGGTTATGTCATTGTCTTCAGACAAGGCTGTTTGGGATGCAGTGATGAACAACGAGGTTGTCCGGGAGCTCATAACCAACGGTAAGATATATAATAAGATCAATGGACTCTGGTTGGTGCTTCTACTCTATGATTATGTAAGAGTTTTCATTGATTTGTAAACGCAGTTGAGAGGTCAGAAGAAGAGTCTTGTCCAGCCGCGGATTTCTTAAGGATGTTGTTTGAGAGAAGTGCCATCAAGATCATGGACGCGATGGAGAGAGTCACAAAGTACGTCACTGACCTCTTCAATGTTGTTCCTGAAGATGAGACGGTTGTGTTGGCCACAGGTGCTGCACCGGTGATGGAGAAGCTACAGATGACGGTTCTGCTCACCGTCCTTGTCCTGGTTATCGTGTTAGTATCTCGAGTCACGAGAGCTAAATAGGAAAGCTTTCACAAAGGATTCAGTAAACGATATTAGCCAAACTATGATCTCAGATTTCATGACCTGTGTTACAATTGTAAATGTTCTCTCTGCATCAGAGAATATATGATACTTGTGTTACACTGGTGTAATAAGCAAACAGTGATTTCAATAACAATGTCATTTGAAACATAAAATTCAACTTCTTCAAAGCAAGAATGTATCAAACACACTAAATATATAGATATGCGAACAGAGTTACATTATCAAATGATCGTCACAAATGACCATTCATCAGCGTAAACATCAGATGAACAAGTGATTAAAACACAACACCTTACAGTTTCTTTTGAAAGGAAAAGAAAGCGATGGACTCTGTTTTATGTACAGTGCAGAGCCACCAAGCCATCCATGTGACCAGTGATGGCTTCTGATTGCTTCTCGGATTCACGAGCACATGCTTGTTTAAATCTAGTAAAATACCAAAAGCAAATACGTATCCAAGTTTCAGATAAAGTAATTGTGTATCCGAAGATATTAGATAGACGGTGAGAAGGAGATCTCACTTGTATTAGGTGCTTGAGCTACCGAGATCAAAGTCCATAGTGTAATCATACTCGATTGTTGGAATAACTGATGCCATGAACTTCAAGAACAGGAAGAGGTACCTGGGGAAATAGCAATGGTGTAACCAGAAAGGTCCAATGAGCGATAAGAAGAGTTATTTTGCAATTAAACCACTCACTTGTCAACTTCAGGTTCTACTCCACGCGACATCAATACATCGATAATTTTCTTCATAACAGCTCCATGTCGACATGGATGGACTGAAGCATGTTTCCCAGGCAAGTGTGGGTGATCTTCGATTGTAACCTGTGAATTATTAGATTCTTCATGGACTAAAGAGAGGAAAATTTTGGTGGATATACAAATATTCATTTGATGCAAGTTGAGATTCGTCTCCTTTTTACCGTTTTACGAGCATGGTCTTGGCTCACATCCTCCATTACAAGCTCAGGTTGCAGCAGCATCCTTGACTACAAGACACACCATAGATTTTAAGTAGATATAAACAAGTTACAAAAGTCCTAACATATGAAAAAGATGCAGACCTCATCATAACCGGTCAGCCAAACACGAGGAGTTTGGTAATACTTATCATACCTGAACCAAAGTGAACAACTATAAGTTTGCCTACTGAGCCAAAAGTATGAGAGTTGTATCTAAAAGAAAAAATGCAGTGGGGCATTCTTTGAAAATGAAAGAAGCACATGGTGCTTACGTTATGGTGATATCATATGTCCGAGTTCGGAGAATGTTATCATCATCAGGCTCATGAGCCACAAGATAAGTGGACTGAAGAGTTGCCTGATTCAAAGAAGAGAAAGTTTTTTCTAAAAAGTAGACCAAGAAACTTAAAACTTGCAAGTTCATGTGCATAATTCAAAAGCGTTTATCAAAGAGAAACAACAAAAATAACAACTCACTCGATCATTTTCGACCACATTGTCAGCTTCATCAATCTCCTCCATGTCTGGAATATCTTCCTCCTCCTCAGCTCCAAAATACGTAGGTATAGATTTTATAGCATTTCTCTCGTCTATATCTAAGGCATCCATGGATGGCAAGTTTTCTTCTTCGTTGCCTTTATCTGTGGCAAATATCAAGACAAAAGATTAAACAGTGAATTTTGGAAGACTAATAATCTCTCAATACAAAATAAACTACCTTTTGGCTTCCCATGTGTCGCTAGCCAACCATCATTATCTTCATCATCAACCAACACTTCACCTCCAGCAGCTTCATATTCCTCTGCTACAGATGCAGCTCTCCGTAGACAAGGTACTGTCGACCCACAAAAAAAAAGCCAAAAACTTTACAGAATGTTGCATCCATAAATTACAAAGCTAACAGAAAGCAGCTCTAAAGATTTCAAAATTTACCATTTCTAGTAATCAGAAACTGTTTGTCCGAGGGCAAGTATGGCTTCCTTTTGCTTGTATCACCAGATTCCCTAATTAAAAGGGAAAAATGCACATCAAGAGACGATACATAATCTCAATCCTCTTGAACAAAAGTCATATACTAAAGCACAGAACCAATCTGCTATAGTTCCAAGAAACGAATCAAACATCTGAATACTATGGAAAACAAAAACTTTGTTTGTTTTCACCCAAAAAAAGCCACAATCATGATTGATCACATCACAATCTCACATAATTCGAATAAAAAGCAAAGAACTTTATCGCCAACAAAGACAGACCCATTTATCCATATTTACTCGAAGATCAAATTCACATATCCTAAATCGCAAAACTCACAAACTCAAAAATCAAATTTGGCCACTTTATATTCACATTCTCCAATAAAAAAGCCTCTGGAACTTACCAGGACCAGGTAGGGCACTTGGAGACGAGATTATCGCCGGCGAGCACGAACTCGCTGACGCTGAGTACTCCCTTCTCCTTGAACGCCGAGATCGTACGAGGACCTGTGATCCTCTCCACCGTACCTTTAAATGCTTCATGAAGCTTTTGCGACAGCATTTTGATCTTCGAGAGGAAATAGAATCTAATCAACGATTATATCGAGAACGAATTTGTCGTACTGTATATCTAAGAAGAATTCTAATCGGAGATTCGATTGCGAGTCATCTCGTGAGATTCCTGATTCCGTGCCATTTGAGCAAAATCTCGATTAGTACTCATACTTTTAAAACTTTATGTTTTTGCCCCTTTGTTTTATTATTTTAACATTTTAAACCAAGGAAAATGGTGAATTCTTCCTCTGTATTCTCAATTTGTCATTACAGGTCCACATAGTACATTTGATAGTTTTTGCATTACAAAGGAATCTCATTGCTCTTATTGAAGATAAACAAAACAACATCACAATTTCTGTTTTTTTCACGGCAAGAGCACAACGGAGCCAGAGGTGATCCTATTCTCAAGATCTGCATGAGCATCAGCGACACGAGACAACGGGTACTTGTGGTTCACACGAGCCTTTATGACCCCTGAAGCAACATTGGCGAAAACCTCCCCTGCACACTCCAACAGCTCGTCTCGAGTTTCATTGTAATGCATCATGGAAGGTCTTGTCAAGAAGAGCGACTTTGGAGAAAGATCAGACAATGCAACCGGATCTGGCGTTCCTGAGGATTGTCCAAAGCTCACCATGTATCCCCGCTTCTTCAAACATGCCAATGATCCCTGAACAAAACCCATCAAATGAGAAATCTGAAAACATAATCAGTCTTGGCTCTTCATGATCATTACCTTGAAGGTGTCTTTTCCAACTGAGTCATAAACAACATCAACTCCCTTGCCTAATGTAATCTCGTTGACCCGAGAAACAAAATCCTCGTTCTTGTACATGATAACATGGTGGCACCCATCTTCTTTGGCTTGAGCCGCTTTCTCATTGGTCGAGACAGTTCCAATGACTATGGCTCCAAGTGCATTTGCCCATTGACACAACAGAGACCCAACTCCACCAGCTGCAGCATGAACAAGGATTGTATGCCCACGTTCCACCTTTCCAAATACAAACATGACTTAACGAGTCATATAGTGAAAGAGTTCTTGAGAGAAGTGAAAAAAAAAACTAACCTTGAAGCAACGGCGAAGAAGAAACTGTGCAGTCATGCCCTTGAGCATGATTGATGCTGCAACGATGGGGTCAATAGATGAAGGAACAGGAACCACTTTATCTGCTGGAAGGATTTGTTCCTCTGCGTAAGCACCCATTGGATTTCCAGCGTAAGCAACGAGGTCTCCGATTTTTCTTCCGGTCAATCCAGGTCCAACAGCTACCACCTCTCCAACTGCCTCCATGCCTATTGATCATCAGAAATGACAGATTAGTCAAGCACACAAAATTTGTGTGCTCTCAGTTTCATTTTGGTTGTAGAGAGCAGAACCTGGTGTGTAGGGCAGAGAAGCAGGCTTGTAAACACCTTTCCTGAAATAAACATCAATGAAGTTGAGCCCTATCGCTTTGTTCTTCACTCGTATCTCTCCATCTTTTGGCTCGCCTACTTCCACATCTTCCCATTTCAGAACCTTTCAATGAGAAACAAGAAACAAACACAATGAAGTACTGAGATACACAAAAAAAAAGTACTGAGATACACAGATCAAGCAGCAGAATGTGAGAAAGATCATGTTTTTTTAACCAAAGATAGCACAAACACAATCCTGAATCTTAATAAGTAACACAAACTCCGTTTGAAAATACATCAAAATCGACCCAAGCTCGAATCCATCCGACGCAATTCAGGTTTATGATATGTAATAAGAGAATGTTGAATCCCAGATGAGCTAGAGGTTATAGTGAATCCCAGATCATGTAAATTCTAATCACAGAACCATACAGAGATCCACAATCGCAACCTCATTTCTAAGTTAAGATTACCATGACCCGGAAATTAAAAATCGAAACTTTACGCACCTCAGGACCTCCGTGCTCGTAGACCCGAATACCTTTCACCATCTTCTTCTCCGGCGAATCCTCCACAGCGACTGTACTCAGAGCTCTCACAGCAACCGAAGCGCCACGTGTAGATAACGGAAAACTCGAGAACTCGGCAGGATTTAGACGAAAGATGAGATTTTTCACTGGATTTCGTGGAAAACTCGAGAATCTACGACGTGACAGATGTCCAGACGCTTGAAGACACGAGTGATGAAGAGTCAATGCTGCCATTTTCTCTGGCCCCTCCTCCTCCGCCTCTTCCACTCAACTTTATTTCTTTTTCCCATCTTCGTCCTTTAATTTTCAATATATCACATTATTACCTGTTAGTTTTAAAACATTTACAAAACACACCTTCAACTCTTCAAATTGCACGAAATCCTAAATACAAATTTGTGTGAAATGTTGTTATAGAGAAGGGATGTGAGCATAAATAGTAGTATCTTTTATATAATGTTGGTTTCTTGGATATCACGCTTCATCCTCATTCTCCTCCAAAACCAATGCTTCTCCCAAAGTCCGGCAACTTTTTCGATCGGAACATTTTTAGTCTCCGGCAAAAACAGCTGCACGGCCACCGTCATCACCACCACCCACCCTCCGTAAAAGAAGAAAATCCCCGCTCGGAACTTGCATAACATCGGTGGTACGCTTTGAGCCACCGCGAAAGTGAAAACAAAACTCACAGCCACCGTCACACTCTGCGCCGCCGATCTTATCTCCAACGGAAAAATCTCGCTCGGCACAAGCCACCCCAATGGACCCCACGACCAACCGAACCCCGCCACGTAAACACACACCAAAACCACAACCGCGTAACCGTAACCTTCCCCAATCACTCCGCCACCACGAGCCTCAGCCACCATAATGACCACACCGATGGTAACTTGCGACACAAGCATCTGTAAACCTCCGATCAAAAACAGAGTCTTCCTTCCGATTCTGTCAACAACAAGCATCGACAAAAACGTCGACGCGGTTCCCACGATCCCGGTCACGAGTGTCGACATCAGCGAACCGCTCTCTCCGAAACCGACGGTTCTAAACAGAACCGGTGCGTAGAAAGCGACGACGTTGATTCCCGTAACTTGCTGAAAGAAAGGTATCGCAAACGCCATCACTAACTCAGGCCTGTATTTCCTCTGAAGCAGTTTCACAAACGCGTTTGACTTCGATTCATCGGAACTCGCTTCGACGAGATCGGTAAGCTCGTCTTGAACGTCGTTTGTTCCACGGATACGGCGGAGCATGAGCTCGGCCTTGCTGACGTCTCCGGTAGTTTGAATGATGCTGTTCGGTGTTTCGGGGAGAAAAAGTGAGCCTAACGTGAGGATTGAAGCTGGAATCGCGGCTGTGGCCAATGAGATTCTCCAACCGTAGCCGCCTTTGATCTTTTGTGTTTCGTAGTTTGTGAAATTTGCAGTTAGGAATCCGATTCCGATGCAGAGCTGGAAACCGTTGCTTATTGCTCCTCTGTATTTCGCCGGCGCCATCTCCGAGAGATACAGCGGAACCGACTGTAAATGGAGAAAAAAAACAGAAAATGAAAAATATCAAAATTACATTTTGTGAATAATTTTGAATTTATCCATAATTAACAATTTGACCCTAAAACTTTGTCTTTGTAACTTTTAACCCCAACCAAAAACCACAAGAAAAGTCAATTATCTCAGACAAATCAACTTGTCTTTTGTCACAAAATTACCTTAAAAATCGATTTTATAACAATTTGACCCCAAAACTCTCGTAGTTTTCATATATGTACATAATATTAAGCGTAACCAAATCACACCGATGAACTCGTCTATTGTTGTCACCTGGTTTGCGAATCCAACTCCAACGCCGAGCAAGAGACGAGCAATGAGGAGCATAGCAACGTTTTGAGCAGAGCCTCCGAGAGCAGAGCCAGCAAGAAAGGCAACGCCGCCGAGAAATATCGAAGGCTTGCGACCCCAAGAACGAGTCACCGACGAAGCTAACAGACAAGCGATGAAACCAGAAACGTAGAGAGAAGACGTGAAGGAGGTAAGAAGTTGGCTATTGAAAAGACAATAGTGGTTCTTGTTGTTGCTGCTTCTTCTTATCCTATCTTCTTCTTGGAGCTCATACACTTTTGGGAAAAATCTTTTCAGAAACGGTCCCATTGACATCACTCCACCTACATCATGGTTTCAATCTCAAAAGGTTTTCATATTTAATTAGAAAAAATCTATCGACGTGAGCAATCTTGATTTCTTATGAAATTGATGAAATCTTTTTTTATCAGCTATAAACTAAAGACCTTGGTTGTTTGTTTGCGTTTAGGATTTTAGCTTAATTTGTAGTATATAAAAGTAAATAATGAAGAACTGAAATATTATCTATTAATAAATGTGATTTTTTTTTTTGCTTGGGTATGAACTTGAACACAAAAACAAAAATTTGGTTTGAAACAGTCGAAATTGATTTACAAGTTGTAAACCTGAAACTCCGATGTCATAGCCGAAGATGACACCTCCCATGGCGGCCATGACACATGATGCCACCACAAAATAAGTTATCTTCCCGCTAGACTCTGATGCAGCCATGGCTCCTTTTCTTGATTCTTCTTCTCCCATTTTCACTCGCTCATACACAACTATTCATGTTTTAGTTATAGATTTTTGAAGAAATGACCGGAGAAAACTCTAAAGGTTGTGTTTCAAGGGTAGACAAACTTGTTGGACCATGGAGTTTTATTTTTGGACTTGAGTGTGGAATTTTAGTTTTTGTTTGTTTTTGGTTCGGCTGATGAGATATCGAAAGTGGACCATAAAAGCAGAGACATGTGAGGAAAGATTTTTATATCTCGTGGACAAGTCAATAATTGTTTCTCTTTGCCTACCTTTCAACCTTTCAATTATGACCATACATGGAAGATCGATCAACGACTTTGACTTAAAGGGAAAGAAGTATCATCAAACACCTGAAAGAGGAGCTAGCAAGGTAACTTTTTTCTCAAGGAATTCTAAGTGACCTAACTTGCAAGGAAAGTAATCCCCTAGAAACTTCACACCATGAATCATTACAATCCTTTTTATTCAAAAAGACTCTTTTTTCACCTACGAGGCTACGAGCAAGTCTTTGTCCAGCTCCAACCATCAAACATAAGAACCAAAATTCTGACACCGAACTGAAATGCAAATTTGCAGAACGAAAATGAAACTAAATAATAAAAAGGAAATATTGTCGACGCGGTTCCCACGATCCCGGTCACGACTCACGAGTGTCGACATCAACGAACCGCTCTCTCCGAAACTTTTGTGAATAATTTTGAATTTATTCCTAATTAACATTTTGACCCCAAATACTTGTCTTAGTAACTGTTAACCCCAACCAAAAACCACAAGCAAAGTCAATCTCAGCCAAATCAACTTGTCTTTTGTCACAAAATTACCTTAAAAAATCGATTTTGTAATAATATTTGATACATGACGGTCTTTAATGGGCTCACTCAAATGAGAGGCCCACATCACCCTTAACGATACGCAGCTTACTGTAGCCTATTGGGCTTTATCTGGAATAAAAAACCCTAAACATATAAAAAGTCTTATCTCACGAGTTAAGATTGCTTCTCTTCTCTTCTCTTCTCTTCTCTCTCTCTCTCTCAACGCCAAGATTATCCAGAAATTCATAAACTCTTTGCCTCTTTTCGATTCCTTCAACCATGTCTCCCCATTAAGCACGCCTCGCTGGTAGCGACCAGATCTGTAAGTCACTTCCTTGTCCCTCTCTTCTCTTTCTGATCATGAAATTGGTTTTCTTCTCAGAAAGAGAAGCGTATGCATGTTGAGAAATTGACTCGATTATTAACTTGTCCTTGTTTCTTTGGGTTTGGTTCAGGAAGGTGAAAGATGCGTCTGCGCTCGGAGATTGATGCAGTACCTATATCATCAGCGACAAAGGCCTTCTGTGAGTATTCATGCAGTCCTCACTTCTACTCAGGCAGCCACGGTTTGTCTCCCCATCTGTTTCGTTTTTTTTTCCGACCTGTGCTGCTTTACACTCGTAAACGTACTATAGTATTCAACTTATTTTCATGATCTCTGTCTCTTAAGCGTCCTTGCTTATTATATCTGGGTTCTACAGTGTAATTAGGCATATAATTTGACCTGATGTAAAGTTATTTTTTTGGCTATTTGCAGGAGGAATGGCAGTGTGATCTTTGTGGTTCTAAATCGGGAAGAGGATTTGGTAAGTCACAGAGTTAGCAGCATTGTGCTTATTCCCTGATTAAGAGGAGGGAAATATAAATAATGTTTAGGGTAGTGAAACATGTTCTCTTAATAAGTTTCTTTTTATCTTATGAATTCTGCATGAGCAACTTTCGATGTCCGGCCAAGGCTTTACGAAATCAAGTTTGCAAGCGGTGTACTTGACGAGCTTCTTTATCTGGGTATGCCGTCTGAACGCAGATTCCCTTCGGGGATTATGACGTTAGAGTATACAAAAGCTGTTCAGGAGACTGTGTATGAACATATCCGTGTTGTTCGTGAAGGTCATCTTAGGATTATATTCTCTCAAGAGCCTAAGGTTCAAAGATCTTTTGATTTCACATACATTTCTTCCTTTTCATGTATTTTGAGCAGTTTAGCTTATCCTTCTGCTTTTCACCAGATTCTCTTATGGGAGTTCTGTACTCGCCTTGTAGCCCCACAGGTAGAAAACGTTTTTGCTTGCAATTTTTGAAACTCTATTTGGAATATAATGTCGGGTCCTGAGATTTTGGGAATGTCGTGTCTCACAGGTTTATGCAGGTGAACCAATTGATTCAGGTTGCAGAGAAATGCCAGAGCACAATCGATCAAAGTAGAATGTGAGTCGATGAGTCTATAACGACTTCTACTTCTTCTTTTGTGGTGATTAAGTAAGATTCTTCTATGCAATGAAATTGAGGCGTTTTCAGCTTGGTAGATACATTTATGTTGTGCCAAATCTTTTTCCTCCAGGGTCATATGGCTTCTGGACGTTAACTAGCGAAAAGCTTGGATTCACATTCACTCAATGACTTAGGCTTCTCCAAACGATATGTTCGGTGTTTGCAGGTATCTGTCTCCTTACTTTCTTAATACAGTAATTTCTTAATTTCTCTGCATCATCTTGAGTTCTGCCGTGACCAGAAAGTTGATCCAATCAGTAAATTCATACACAACTCTGGAATTTCGAATCCGAACAAACTAGACCAACTTTATGTAACCACAACTACAATCAGGCAACAAGGTTATGAGAAAGACTGTAAGAACCAAATCCAAGACCAGAGGAAGAAGAGCAAGAGAAATTTGCAGCAGAGGCTCTAGTTGACATGTCATTGTCAGAGGTTGGTAGAAAGTCCAACATCCCAGCCTCTGATTGTATCACTCCTCCTCTGCATTGGTTCACTTTTTTCAGGTTCTTGAGTAATCAGGAGTCTTCTAAAGAAGAAGAAGATAGATGATTTTGTCTTCTGTAGCAGAGATTGTTTACTCACTCTCACACCACATAGGAGATTACTTAAAACTCACTAAAGCAGTGAAACTACTTTTTTTTTTTAGAACTACAGTAGATGATACTCAAAGAGGTTTACATAATAAATATAATATACCACAGATATGTTTTTTTTGGAGATTTTTAGTGCCCTTAATCTTTATCATACAGGACTTGAATCTTAAATGAAAAGCTTTTAAGTAGGAGAAGGTGTTGGGTAAAGTAAGGGTTTTGAAGAGTTGGTTAAAGGAGATCATCATCGTCCCAAGAATGGCGGTAAGTCTCAGATTTTCCAGGGAATTCAATGTCACTGACAGACACAGATCCTTTCTCCGATCCTCCAGATGTGGAAATCCTATGTAGTCTGCGTATTTGTCGTTATACTGCAAAATACACATTTTAAAACAAAAAAACAGTCTTTTAAGAAGGATCTTCTTTGAAAATAAACAAAAAAAACGAAAACAGAGAGAGGAACTGCGAAATTTGTACACTGAAATCGCAAATGTCGTGAGTGTTGCGTTTGGGGATACCGTCGGCTTCTCTGGATTGGTAGATTCCGCGATTGATTGCATCATTTGCTCGGAAGGAGGAAGAGAACCCCAGTCAACTGCCAAAAGTTTAAAACCGTCTTTTGATTAATGTTGGTATTCATGATGATTAAGGTTTTTGGTTTAACTAACCAAACCATCTTTGCCGACAAAGGAGAGAGAAAGTATGTTCGAAGAGTGGGCCCACTCTATAGTGATCAACTGCTACTCTTCCTTTACTCTCAAGAAATGGAAATTTGTACCAACACCTGCAAAGCAAATTTTCATATTCTTCTTTGTCAATAAATATTAAACTGAAGACATATGATTTCCAAAATCTAGTGGTAAATAAGAAAACGCCAATGAGAGATGTTTATTCATAAATGCATTACAGATTACATAGTACTCCTTTTTTGAAGGATTTTCTCTATTTGTTTTCCTAAAATTATTTTCCTTATTCAGAAATAATTTATATGCTATTTTCAAAACTCCACAATATAAATGAATTGAACAATTTTTTATAATAAAAATAAAAAAGGAACTATTTTTTTTCCTAATAATAATAAAAAAAGGAAATTTTACATAATAATTTTACTAGAATACCAAAAATACTTATGCACAGCATGTAATATTAGTATATATATAACACCACGCACAAGACCGAGAGCCCTAATATAAATTGCGGCTGAGTTTTTTTTTGACCTAGCGTGGGAAGAATGGCGAGAACGAGGATGTGCGATCTGCCAGAGAAACTGATTGGGGAGAAGATACTGACGAGGGTTCCCATAACATCGCTGGGAGAGGTGCGATCGACCTGCAAATCGTGGGACGCTTTAACCAAAAGGTGGATTTTGGGTAACGAAGCGACATCAAAGGAGCAGTTTTTGGGGTTCATGACGATGAACTCCAAGGTTTGTTCCCTGAGCTTCCAGCTGAAGCACAAGGGCGAGGTTGATCTGTCTATAAAGCAGGTTAATACGCTTGATCAAGTCGAGATATCTCAAGTCTTTCACTGTGATGGCTTATTGTTATGCGTCCCTAAGGACATGTCGAAGCTCGTGGTGTGGAACCCTTATTTGTGTCAAACCCGGTGGATCGAACCCAGGACAAAGCTTAGTGGATTTGATAGATACGCTCTTGGATATGACGTGAACCGTAACCACAAAATCTTGAGGTTTCTGCAGGCCGACACTGTTGGACGAGAAAAGTACGAGCTGTACACGTTTAGCTCTAGTTCATGGAGGGTCCTCGATATAACTCGCGACTGGGGAATGGAACACTATAGTGGCCGCGGAGTGTCTGTCAAGGGAAACGCCTACTTTTATACTCATGAGAACTCACGTCACGAGGATGCATTTGGATTCGAGATTCAAGAGACTCAAGATTTCTTACACTGTTTTGATTTCACAAGAGAGAAATTTGGACCGCTTATGCCTCTTCCGTTTCACTCTGGTATGAGTGTCACACTCTCATGCGTTAGAGATGAGCAGCTTGCGGTGCTGTCTTACAACCAGGAGGATGAGTTTTGTGGCAGTGTTGAAATTTGGGTTACCACTAGGGTTGAGCCCAACTCTGTGTCCTGGAGCAAGTTTTTGAGAGTTGAAAGGGTCGGTGTTGAGTTGGACGCATATGATGGTGGGAGCTTCTTCATTGACGAGCAAGAGAAAGTCGCTGTGGTGTTTGCTTGTTACCGCACCGCTTTTATCCTTAGAGAAGACGGATACCATAAATCTCTGAGTCTCGGAGAAGCTTCCATTCTCGTAAAACGTTCTAGAAGCGGGTATCCTCTTCGGGAGACCGCACGCGTTTGCTCCTCCTCTTATCGTCCCAGTTTAGTGCAAGTCTAGGAAAAACAAGTTTATGTTTATGTTTATGTTTTCTTTTTCTGGTTTTTGGCTTTTTTTCTTTTCATGCATCTTTCTACTTTTTGTTAATCGGACCCATGCAAGTTGCAAATTAAACACTCCATTACACTGAAATTGTATTTTGGAGAGTTGATTACGTTGAAAAGCTATCAATTTTATGGATATCTGGAATTATGTTGGCAGATCAATCATATAGGAAAGAAATTACAAAAATATTTTTTAATATTATTAAATTATCCCTTTTTCAACTTACATACGATTGAATTTGTACAAATAAGTATTTCAAGGCATGCGATCTCTCTATATAAAACTTAAATGAAACTTTGTAAAAAAAGCTTTGGTATTATTACTTCCTTAAAACATTAGAAATCGAAGGGTCAACACTATAGAAGAAGATGGGAGGACAAGCAAATAATTTGCAAGTCTTTAACAAATTGTTTAAGGGAAAACTGGATCATATATGTAGATTTGATTCATCTAAAAATGATATATGTACTTGCTTCCTGGAAAAATATTACACGCGTGGCAACAAATGAACACATTTTCTTACCGTCACCAGGCTGTGACGTAGAATAATATCTGTATTTGTAAGGAAAAATCAAAATCTGTATTTTTGGCTTTTTTTTTTTCCAATTCAAAAATTCAAAGCCGGCTTTTTTCATTTTCTTTTCAAACACATCAAATATTATTTGTTTTCTCTGCTCCAGGGGAAATCAAAAAGGTCGAACCTTTAATCTCCTGGAGCGATCAATTTCACTTTTTTTCATCAAATCGCTGACTCCGTAGACTCTCGTCGTCGTCTTTGATCGTTCCGACGAATTCCGGTTAGTTCGATTTGATCATCCGCTCTCTCAAATTTTTCTGGGAATTTTCAACGGTTTGATTATCGATTTCTTTGTTCTTTTGATTAATTATTTCGAACGTATGTCGTTGATTGATTAGAGAATATAGGTTAGGTTTGTGTTCCTTACAAAAAAAAGCTCTTTTGCAGTTGAAAGACTTGAGTCTTTTCCCTTCTCGTTTCATGGTTGACGATGATAGTCAAGGTCCAAATTTGTTGTCAAGGTTTTGGTTTTCTGTAGTGGAAAGATGAAATGGAGATTGCCATTTGTTTCTTCTGTAAAAGTTGTGTACGATTGGATTGAAGCTGATGATTTCAGATGAATTAGTACTGCTTACGAGTTATGAGTTTTTGTCAGAATGTAAAACATACACAATTTGCTAAGAATGACGAAATTATTGAGTATTGATCTTCCTATGTTCTTCTTGTTCGAAACAGGTTTCAAGTGATTTGTTTGAAGTGATTGGTATTTAGAAAATGCCTTCTCTCATCTCACAACAATGGCAGGAGAGGACTAGTGGGTTCTTTTCTTCATCAGGTTAGCTAAAATTCTACACGAACCTCTCTTTTTTTGTTCTGTCTCTGTTTGTCTGTGTGTGTTGCAAGGCTTATTATGTTTTTTTTTACTGAATTAGGAACGAAGCTTAGAGAAGCGAGTCAATCAGCTGGTAGTTTTGTCGGTGAGGTCGCTAAAGATGCGAAAGTGAACGTTGCAGATGTTGCAGAGAGAGTTGGCTCCTTGTTTAAAAGCCGGTGGGCGATTCTTCAGCAGCCTGCAACTAGACACGCCGTGCAAGAACACTTCATAACAGCTGCTGCCACAACCGGGACATTGGTCAGGAAGGGTATAACAGAGACTAAAGAAAAAGTTTCCGTTGGAAAGACCAAAATGGAAGAGGTATATACGAACCAATAGCTTCTCGAAACTTACTCGACAAGAATGCATTTATTCGGCTAAAATTCGGTCTTTGTTTTCTCTTTTAGGCGGCAAAAAAGACTGCACAAAAGAGCAAAACCCTTTTGACTGACATTGAAAGGTGGCAGAAGGTATTTTGAGCCTTAAGATCTGATTCTAGCTCATGATTTGAATGATTTGAGTTTTGGTCTCTAATATCTGTTTTTCTTTGTCAAATCTGCAGGGAGTTGCCAGCTCAGATGGTAAGATAATAACTTTTTATGGAACCGTTTATAATCGCTATTTAGTGACTAAGATTCTGCTTGGCTTGTTGGAAAATGCGTTCACTTTGACTATATGGCAATTTTTTTATGTGCTCAGTGTTTGGTGTTGCGATTGAGATCACTGTCCAGCGGCAGGAATCAAGTAGGCCTATTCCATTCATACTGATTAAATGCGCAGATTATCTCATATTAACAGGTAAGAAATGTTGAGACCAATCACACGTAAAGCTTTATACCTCTCGTACAGAGTTATCAATGTCTGTATTTTCTTTGTACTCAGGTCTTAATTCACCAAGCTTGTTCAAAGCCGAAGGAGACAAAAAGTTGATTCACCAATTGGTTTCTGCTTGCAATCAAGGTACCAAACATTCTTAAAACAGTTTCTGCTTACAATCATCTGTTTGATTGTGTTTGATGAATCATTTGTTTTGGCAGATCCAAGCGCGTCAATACCTGAGGGTGTGAATCCAGTTGATGTCGCTGCACTCATGAAATACTATCTTGCTAGCCTTCCGACTCCACTTACTACTTTTGAGCTTTACAACGAGATCAAAGATGCAAGATCGAGCGTAAACAGAATGAGAAAGTCACTCCAGAAGCTTTCCAATGTGAACTATAATACGTTGGAGTTCGTAACAGCGCTATTGCTTCGTGTGAGCCAGAAATCTCTACTTAACAAGGTAAGGAACATCTTATATATAATCACTTAACATAAGAATCAGATAGATGAGAATCGTTTTCTTGCATGTTGTTGACAGATGGATTCACATAGCCTAGCGATGGTAATGGCTCCGGTGATCATGTGGCGAGAAGACAAGAGGCCTGAATCTTACAGGGAATATTGGAGACGCCCGTCGAGGAGTCCTAAGAGAAGCAACGACTTTGAAAATGCTTCTCCATGGGACTTGCTCTCAGGTAAAACACTTTGCTCCTTATAATGTTTACCATTTGAAGCAAAAAGCTCCATTATGATGATGGTTCATTTTTTTTTATATGTTTGATGGTTACAGAGGAAGGAGAAGGTTTAGATGGATCTTCATCGATTTCTCTAGATGATGTCGTTCAAGTTGATTTTGGTGCGGTGGAGGTTGTGCAGTGCCTTGTTGAACATCACAATGCCATTTTCACGGATGCTGACGAAACTGTATGGAGGTGAAAAGTGAAAACAAGTTTAACCAATTCCTGACCGAACCTGAAGAAGATACAGTTAGAACAACATAATGCATTTTGATCTCGATGAATGAGGATGGTTAACTTCTAGTGGTTTCAGTAAATAAGCTTTCTTTTCATGTGATTCTTGTATAACCCTTTTAGACTTTAGTAATTGTTTAAAAACAGGTTTTTTTTTTTTTTTTGTTTGTTGACCTAATAAGAAATCAATATTCGGATGGTTTTCTTATCATAATTATAATACAAAATCATGATCAGTCCCTAAAACCGATTGGGCTAAATCGGGCCTATGATTGTCGTTACTTTGCGATAAATAAATAGAACCCTAATTTGAATTTGAAGAGCTTGCGGCGTTTATCGATACATAAATAGAACCCTAATTTGAAGAGTTTTGTTTTGACCTAGAGTGGAAATAATGGCGAGAACGAGGATCTGCCAGAGAAACTGATTGGGGAGAAGATACTGACGAGGGTTCCAATAACGTCGTTGAGAGAAGTGCGATCGACCTGCAAATTGTGGGACGCTTTAACCAAAAGGTGGATTTTGGGTTCCAAAGCGACGACATCAACAGAGCAGTTTTTAGGGTTCATGACAATGAATTCCAAGGTTTGTTCCCTGAGGTTCCAGCTCAAGCACAAGGACGAGGTTGATCTGTCTATAAACCAGTTGGATTTGCTTAACCAAGTCGAGATATCTCAAATCTTTCACATCCGTGGCTTATTGTTATGCGTCGCTAAGGTCAACGTGGAGGTCAACTTGCAGGACAACAAGTTTGAGGACTTGGAGGACAAGGTGGAGCTCTTTGTGTCGAACCCTTATTTGTCTCAAACAAGGTGCGTCAGGCCCAGAACAAAATTCAACATTGGGGACAAGTACGCTCTCGGATATGACTCGAACCATAACCACAAAATCTTGAGGTTTAGGGATCGCTACACTGGTGAACCAGAAGAGTACGAGATCTACGAGGTCAGCTCTGATTCATGGAGGGTCCTCAATGTCAATCCCTACTGGGAAATACCACCTTATCGCCTCGGAGCGTCTGTGAAGGGAAACGCCTACTTTTATGCTCTGGAGAGATCAGGTGAGGATGTAGATCAAGGGAGTGTGATAGAGGAGGCTGACGAGTTCTTGCTCTGTTTCGATTTCACAAGAGAGGAATTTGGACCTCGTCTGCCTCTTCCGTTTCACACTGTTGGCGACGAGTGTGTGACCCTGTCATGCGCT